GCTTATTTCTATATATGAGTGTTCCTTTTTATGTTGAGATATCCACTGAGCTTTATTTGCTCAGCGAGTTACCTGTTTAACTCGCAGGTTTTGAGACTGGTCCATAGAGAGTCCGCCTACAACTGCTGCAGTTCATCTGTAGAAGACTCAGTCTTCAGGGTAGCTACTCATTTGGATGTATATCTTTTGTCTATTTGTTTCATGGCATGTACAGGGCACACAGTTGGGCCCATTCCATTGTGTAACTAGTAACATGTTTTGTAAATATGCAGTACATTATTTATGTAAACAACATCAGCATGCTATTATGAATTCAGCATATCAGGTCATTAAGTCAACCAGTTTGTAACGTCTCGGCTCGATTTATTCGGGTTTATGGGTGGACCGGGAAGGGATGTTACACATAGTCCTGACAAATAATAAATCTTCCTTTGGGCCGATATATCATTGTCATGGAAAATAATCAACAATTATCACATACTTATTGCCAAACATGTGTTTAAAACTCAGCCAAATAGCAACCTTCCTTTAGGCCGATTAACTATCCGCAACGAATTCTAGTACACCTGTCTAATACTCTAAAATAAATCAATTCAAGGAATAGAGGTCACTTTGGTGACTTATTGGGTGACTTATTGATCAAATCAATTTATTTTAACAAATATTAAACACAATAGGGACTTAATCACTCCAAAATTTAATCTCAAGTCGACAAATTAATTCATTGTAATTAAAACAAAACAATTGCAATTAAATGAATTGAATGTCTAAATATTTAATAATCTAAAATTATTTAGCCCAAATATATATATATATATAAGTCACTAAATTAGAGACTAAGTTATAAAATTGGACTAAATAAATAAAGTTCGGGGTCTAATTTAATTAAATATATGTCCATAGGTCTAGACGAAAGAAAACAGGAAATTAGGGGCCTAATCTAAAGTTACAGAAAATTAGGGGCCTAATTTGAAATTACAGAAACTTAGGGGCCTAATCTGAAGTTACAAAAAATTAGGGCCTAATACGAAATTTTCTAGGGACCTAACCGTAATTTTCCATCCCTAACCTTAAAACCAAAACGATCAGAGACAAGCTCTCCTTTCCGCTCCCAGCTTTTAGAGCATTCTCTTCGAAAGAAACCTATACTGTTTTGTTTTGTTTTTTTTTTTTTTTTTTTTTAAACAAGATCGGCCACCAAAAAAAACAACCAAAATACCAAGACGAACAATTTAATCGTCAATGGCGTTAGTTCAAAACCTCCTTTTTTTTTTTAAAAAACCTGTTCTTCTTGGAGAATCCGAAGAACAAGTGAGAACAAAATTTTTTTTTTTTTATTAAACAAAACCTCAATTCGTAAATAGTAGGGTTAAACAAATAAAAGAAAACATTACGAAAATCAAGTCTAAAAGATCTAGCATTATGCACAAGGCTCTGATACCACTTGTTAAGAATTAATCTCAAAATTCCACAATAACCTAAGTTCGTGCAAACCACTTAGATTTCCAACAAAACAGAGTTGAATAGAAAAAGGTGCGTTACCTGACATCGTTGTTTGTCGATCTTTAATGTGTTAGGAATTGTTTGCAGCCTTCAAGAATTGAAGAATCGATTAGCGGAAGCAGGTACCGAAGAGGAAGTAAAACTGAATCGTATTCAAGCTCCTCGTGGGGACACACCTTTATACTACCTGTAGAGTTTAGTACAATTCCTATTTCGGTCCTTTAACCGAAATAGGAATTATATAATTGGGTCCTACACTTTAATATCTATTAATTAGTTGATACCTCAATAGTAATTATTCACAATCAAGACCACATAAGACCACATTTGAAATTGACTTTACAATTGGACTGCTGTACATATTTAATTTTACATATTAAGCCCACAATAGAAAATTAAATCCAACAGAATTGGGAGAGGAAAAGCCAATCAGTTGGCATTAGCCCTTCATTTCCATAAGAGAATATGCTTCCAAGCTACCAAAGTCTACAAGTCAAGGAATGCCACTAAGAAAATTTTCAGAATCTTATGCCTTTTTTAGCTATGTGATACAATGTGTATCGCACCTTTCTTGTTCCTTTCAGACCTTTCTTTTTTCCTTTCATTTTTGCCTAGCTAGCACTTGAAGTTTCAATGAGGAAGAACCTTTCCTCTTTTCAATCTCTAATTCTTCCAGACAATTACCTAATTGATGAACGCAAATGTTTTCCTTAAATATTAACATGCAGTGCATCATGCATTTTCAGATATTTCCAATAATTAGAAAAAGATACTTTTATAGCTTATCTATATGATAAAAGCTGCAGACCTGCAATAATCTGTCTTATTTTTCAGTGTTTTGAAATTCGGATCAGACCAGTCGGTTCAACTGGTTGAACCATGAACCAGCCATTTTCCAGTTCTAGTTGAGCTCATATCCGGAACTTTCAAGCCCATGCATTCATTATTTGAACCAGCCAGCTTGACCTTAAACCGCTCAAAACTGGATAAATTCGGCCGGGTCAGCCGCTTCGAATCTGCTTTGGTTTTTAGTTGGTACAAAAAATTTTCTTTTTTAAAAATGTTTTTTTTGGATATTGAAACATGATCTTGGGTATAAGTTATTGTATAAGACTTGCCTATACCTAGGGTTTGTTCGGCAACTTCAATAATTCGATTTTGAAGACAAAACTGATGCAGTAGAGTTGGCAGTGTAACAGCATCAGAATACTATTACGAAGTATTTCTATCAAGTAATGGACATGCTTAAGAAGACAGAAAGCATATCCCTCCTCTGATTAGCATATATTAATATAAAGGCTGTGATATATTCAAAAAAAAAAAAAAAAAAAAAAAAAAAAAAAAAAAAAAAAAGCGCCAATTAACAGCCTTTTTAAAAAAAAAAAAAAAAAAAAAGCGCCATTAACAGCCTTTTTTCATACCAGTAACCAACATTTTTGGAAGATGATGCTAAAATTAGTAATATCAATACACAAACTTAATATTATAGCTTAAAGCTTTAAGCGGACATTCAGGGAAAAAAAATGAAGAGGTACATCTCGTACAACAACAACAAATATTATTCATCAATAAACATAAAGAAGATATGTCTTGTAGTAATTATATATACTTAAAAAATTTGTGAGTTCCCTCCACCGATACTGGATGTAGTTCTGATCTTAATCCTGGCGCGATCAAGATATTCTGAAAACTCATCTTTTGCTGATGCATTCTTTCCATGATCACTAATATTATTAGGCATTGGCACATCAGTACTAATATTTGATATAGTTCTTGACATCTTGATCTTTACTCGATTGATATAGTCAGTGAAGCTATCTTCAATTTGCATTTCCAGTTTCTTTCCTTCTTCTGTATTGGTTACTTGGCCATGATTGGCAATATATGTTGCTGGAATTGGCTTAGGCTTCTCAACCGCCTTGCCCTTTTGGGTTATGAATGATTTGGGATTTTCTGAAGAATTTGGTCTGGTTTTCACAGGAATTGACGGTGAAGAACCGCGAAGTGTTTTGATAGCAGAACAGACAGTAACTGCCTTGTTGATCTTTTCATATACATCCATGGAAATTATTTTTCTGTTTCAGAAGTTATGAAGAAGAAAATGAACAGAAGCTGATAGCAACGGTAGCTTTTGTCAGGCTGAAGGATTTGGATTTTATACTGTCTTATGTATTGGGATATTAAGCAGAAGGTGATGGCTGAAGCAACTTGTGAATAACAAAATGATGATAATTTGCCAGTGTGATGGAGAAAGATTCTGAATGTTTACTAAAAAGAAAAGAAAAAAACCCTGTCAACTTTTCAAAACGATGTGATGGTATTAGACTATTAGGAATCTAGGATGTGTGAATGAACAATTAGAGGGAAAAAAAAAAACATATTTAAGCTCCAAAATTTATTGAGTTTTGCTCCATTAAGTCCTCAAACTTTTATTTGTTAATGGAGCCTCATATTTTTGTTTTAGTTAAAATATTTTGACTTATTTAATTGCAGGTTTGTATCTATTACGAGATCGCATATGTACTTACTATTGAAATAATGACTTGGTGTGCATTTAATTGCAGGTTAAAAAATAAGTAATCAGCAGATTTTGCTGAAGTAAAAATGTCATTTAAATGGCTAGTTATTTTGAATAAACTTTTATTTAATTAAAAAAATTGGTGATCCTTAGAATAATAATAATAATAATAATAATAATAATAATAAAAGAACTTCGACATTTTATCACAATTTAACGAAAAGGATTAACAAAAAGATTATTTCAACTAATTATTACTTATAAATTTCATTAAACCAAGTAATGATTCACCCTGTTACTGTTAGGTTATATACCACTTCCATGTTTTCTTTATAAAAATAGAATATGATAAGAACAGCTTAAATTTCAAGCTAAAATATTAGATTAGAGGGTAGTTTTCTCCTTGAAAAATGACACAAGTGAAGAAAATATCAGTACGTTTCGATGACTTTACATCAGCATCAACAAAGTATCAGATTCTGGACCCGTACCGAAATATGGCGTGAAGTAACCTCCATTGCAGGAATCTCAAATTGTAATAAGCATGACACGGGAAGAAGGTGGATCATACGCTTCCATCCAATAATTTTTTCAAATTATGCAGTAAAACTCCAAGAAATGGACATTTCAGATTCACAACAGGAAATGCAAAACATGAAAATCCTCTGCAAGCTGTCCAGGAAAAAGATTCGTGGATAATTTTCTTTTACCTCTTTTTGGAGCACTGGGAAAAGGAATCTGAAATATTTATGCCAGATGATATACACACTTGTAGATCTTTATCTGCTATCTCCTTATAATGGGAACGAATATGCAAGTATAAGAAATTTTTTATTTTTTGACAAATGCTCAAATTTGTCCCTCATTCAGCTTCTCAATTAAAACCCTTTCCCATCCATAAATTTTACAACCTAAGATGAATTGAGAAAAAGAAAACTTGTAGTAATGTCCAGCACAAAATAAAAAAAGCAGGAAAAAAAAGAAAAAAAGGAATGTTCTTTCTCAGTTGCTTACACATTCTACAATTGCAAAAGTGGGGAAAGAAGGTTGGTTTACAATATCCATTCAACAGACAATCACAGAGCTGCATACATGCGCCCATTCACTCCAGTCCCTATCCACGTTTGAGGACAGGCTATCTCTAAAAATGCATATTATCTCTTCAAGGTATAATCATTAGATTTGCAGTATGTGTCAACCATAAGAGGCAGCGTCACCAATTTCAGAAGAATTACATTTCTATTAAACGATTGCTTATAAGAACTGGAATAAAAGGCAGCTGCATTAATGAAACTTTCATTTCCTCTTCAACACCTACTATAGACAGCAATATATATATATACCTCTGAATGGCAACAAGTTACAGGGGTGCTTGACTATAAAACCTCTGTAGTTTTAAAAGATGGTTGTGAAAAATGAATTTGGTACCTAGGTGGTACAAGGACCGAAAAATTTCTCGGCACAAACAGGAATGATGACAGGACATCCGTTGGGAAGGAATCTACAATCTTAGAAAGATACATGAAAATCCTTTATGCGCAAAGAAATCAGGTCCTTATGACAAGTTTCTTTACCCAGGATACTTGCTCTCAGAAGTGAATCTTCAATGACGGAAAGTCTTCACTACCTGCTCTATACGTCTCCGGCAAAGAGGACAGTTTGTCAGATGTGAAGAGCAGGCTGTACAACAGCACATATGGCCGCACCTGTGGAATATATAATAATGAGCATACAACTGAATCACTCAGAATTCAGAACATGCCACTCTCTAAACAAAGAAGAAAAATTATTCCAAAAAATCTTTTGCAGTTATGTGCAAGTAAGGCCTAAAGACCAGATAAATGAAGACATAAAAATATATATAACTATATGACCTTATAACGTCTTTGTGTGCCTGTGCATTTCTAAATATGCATAATATTTATGTGTAAGTTGAGAATGAACTTACGGAAGAAAAACAGCATTATACTCCTGCTCAAGGCATATCACACATAGATCTGGAATTGGGCGTTCCCTCTTACCATTGTCTGATCCATTTTCAGCTTTTCCATTTGAACCTAAAAAATGATTGCAAAAATCTATCATCATATTATTCTCTTCAAAATAACTGTTATAAGCAAATTTACCTTCAGAATCTTGATCTTGTCTCTTAGCAGCAGCAGCAGCAAGAACCCTGCAAATTCCACTATTGGTCAAAATGGATAATAAGAAGAATGTAAGTAGATAGCTGGCTGGTAGGCTAATATAATACAAGTATGATTACAATATAAAATGATGAAATCCTTTCCAAGGGATCACCTAAGCTAGGAACTGAGCAAGATCTAAACTTTCACATATAAATTGCATGTACACACAATTTAAAAACAGAAGAGACCTCCACAAGTAACCTAATGCCAAGTGTGCCCTTCAGAATGACTCGTTAGAGGCAGACCAGCCTTCAGTCTGAACAACCTGCTGATGTTGAAAGACAACTTGTCTCGCATTTTCAGAATCTGTTCATTCTTGGGACATGAAACAGTCTCTTACTTCTAAGACCAGTACCAAAGCAACCAGACTTGCATTATGAATTCGAATATCCACTGGATTCTTGGTAATCATTTATTAAGACAGATGCTCATGCATATTGGAAAAACGCATTCATATTTTGTATTAAAATTTTTCATTGTGATAAATTAATTCTAACAATTCGTCATAGATAGCACTGCAAAATGAAATAAAATATTTTGTATTAAAATAGTCAATATGATAAAAATAATTCTAAGAATTCATTATAGCACTGCATAACAAAATAAAAACAATACTTTGAAGTGTGGCCCAACAGACCTTCACTAATTTACTTGCAAACACATGCTGCTATATTATAATTGTCTTGTTATTAAAAATAAAACATCATATTTGAACTTTAGCTTCACCAATCCATCGTTCATTTTCATTTCCATAAAACAAAATGATTAACTACGATGATACATACCTACTCTGCAGCTCCCAACGACGCCTTCTCTCCATAATATAATCTAAGGCATGCTTGGCAATTAGAAAAACACCAAAAACTGTCAAGCCAACTGAGGCGTATCTGTACCACCTGATACACAAACTTCCATATGTTTTAATAGTTTCATCTTTGTTAGTTAATGTCAAAGGGAAAGGAAGTATTATGTGCAAGAATCTGAACCTTGCCCACTTTCCCAAATTTCCAATGAGTTCATCAATAGATTTTGGAGATATATAAAATGGCCCTTTATGGGGACGCTGAATCCGAACTGTTCCAATATCATCTTTGACAGCCTGCTCATAGATTGAAGAAACTGAAATAGCATCAAACGAATATGATAAACCCAATATACTTCGGTTTCCAACATTGAGAGGCTAGGAAATTAAGAATTTGATTACAGCAAATATTCAGAATGATAGACCGTGAAAATGGGAGCAATGGTCACATTAAGGCTATGTTTGGTAAGCCTTAATGGAGCAATAATAGAATATAATCGAAAACATTTCTAATATAATTTTGGAACGTAATGGAATGTAATCGAAATCATTCTAAAGTAAACATTACATTAAACATACTTCTGATTACATTACATTACGTTCCATTGCGGCTTACCAAACACAGCATAACTGTAAAACATTCGTGTGTAGTCCAACATAAAAAAGTTCTAGTCATTGCTGTTCTTTTGATGTTCCCTTGGATAAGAGCTAAGTAATCCCAGACGATAGTTACATTTTGGCTGGAAGGCATTAATGGAATAGTTTGATATCTTATAACGTGGAAAACCTCTCACAAACGAATCAAAATGACATGGCCAAAAAGCAAGAGCGTGGAATCACAAATCCACACACCCCGCAACCCAAAAAAATCTCTTTTTCTTTCTTTTCCTTCTCTCCAAGATTAATGATGATGCCAATAGTGCACTAAAATTTTTCAACTATACTTGCAAAATTTGATAACACATTTACATCATCAACTATGCAAATACCTACTGAAATTGATCTATACTTCAAAATTTGAAAAAGCTAATTCTGCAGCCATCATAGTCCCCAATGATGCATATAGTAATCTCATAATTAATTACAATGGAATTGGCAACCCACCAAAAGTGTACAATAAAGACAAATGTAAATGATTCAAATTATTGAGCAAAAAAATAACATACCTCGCCAACCGCAGTCAATGAAGTGCCAGTTGGAAGCACCCTTTCAATACGCTTCACACCAAGCATCTGAAATTACAATAATCAAACAAGATTCGACAGTGCAAGCACAACTCCATATATGGAAAAACAAAGAACAATCCAAACCTTGAGGCCCTGGAGATAGTCTAACGTCCCGCGCACAATAGATCGTCCAGACTCCTCAAAAACTTCACTTCCAACAGTTAATGCAAAACCTGAGGCACCTCGGGCCCCCACGACAAATACTCGATCAGTCCCATCATCCTGACACAAGATCCCAAAACACAATTGGTGGGTTTCTTAACCAACCAAACATCATATGAAATACATTTAGACTTTAGGCAACAGTGTTTGACTTAAACAATTACGCAATCATAGTTATTAAACGCGTGCTTCACTTGCGCGCAGGGGCTGATGCCTTGAACATCAAAAGGCGGGCAAGTTGTCCAAGCAAGGGCTCAAGCACAAAGGTGCGCGCCTTGCAGGCACGAGGTGCAAAAACAGGCTTGCCTTTGTGTTTTCAATAGCTGAACATATATTTTAGGGTTTTGTGCTGTGTTTTATAATATTAGCTGTAGGATAGGCCTTTTTCAATTTTTCCCCATGCATAGTTAGCTGAAGTTTCCTTTCATGATTATATGATCTAGCCATCTTCACTATTCATATATTATATATTTACATTAATAATAATAATAATAATAATAAAAGAAGAAGAAAAGAAGAAACAATTTTCAATCAGCAACAGATTCTCTCAGTCATTCGAAACTAAGGCATGTCTCTCTACCTCTCAGACATTGAAATTAACATATGTCTCTCTCTTTCAATCTCTCTTGCTTCTACTCTCTTCTCTAATTCAATGGCTTACCAAACATAATAGGTTATGATTTTTTTCTGGTTTGCAAAATTGCAATAAAAAATAGAAAATACCATTTGTAATATAATTAATGTAACCAGGCATTAAAAGGAACAGATACTACTTTCAATCATATTTAGAAATTCTAATCATTTAATGGTGTAATTCAAGATTTTAAATGTTCAATGTTATAAATGAGAATTTTTTGTTTAATTTTTAAGTTGTAATATATTTATTAATTTTTTTTATTTTTGCATCTCACCTCACTCGGGCAAGAACCGAGGCTCCAGCAGCCCTGCCTTGCGCCTTTAATTACTATGTATGCAATATGATTAGCATTCCAGACGAGCACATGCACATACACAAACGAATATATAGAAAAGAGTTCTGCCTCACCAGGTACCATGGGACCTCTTTACTCATTGACAGCATTAAGGCTGAATCTTGAATCCAAGATCCTGCATCATTGTGCTTAAGGAAGTGTTGTTCGGCCTGAAGAATATACAAAAAAGATTATTCACATACCGTTGGAATGATAAAGACTATCACATATGATGCACATAATAAAATTAGCAACAATAATTTGGTGTTACCGTCTCCTCTACTATGACACCTCTCAAGCCACTATACTCGCAATTGATTGGAGTTTCTGAGCCAACTCTTCCAGATATAGCAACAACCAGTGGTAAGACTTTACTTTCAGTATCAAGTAATTTTGCTGAAATTAGAAAGAAAAAAAAAAACACACGTCATTTAGGGAACAAAATGTCATGGATAACAATGTAATAAATAGTTCGTTAATTTGGTTCTCAATCCTCACCAAAATCCCAACACACCAAAAAAAAAAAAAAAAAAAACTGAAATTAGAACAGAAAAAAAAACACACGTCATTTAGGAACAAATGCCATGAGGATTAACAATGTAATAATAGTTCGTTAATTTGGTTCTCAATCCTCACCAAAATCCCAAACACCAAAAAAAAAAAAAAAAAAAAAAAAAAAAAAACAGACATTTTCACCAAATATGCAAAAGATGTAACGCACAGTTGATCAAATTAAGTGCACAACCAGTGAAGAGGTTATTAAAGTTACTAATATCAGAGCCACTAAACTAAGCAGCAATTAGTTTAACCTCAACATCTAAAGCTCCGCGCTTTACCATGTAAAGAAATTATTAAAGCAGCGTCTATCACATGTATTCAACTATATTCTAGAGCTACTTAGATATTGATAGCATATTAAATAAACAAATGATCATAAAGGAATGCAAGAGTCTTGTGCGAACAACATTAACTGGAGTCAATTGGGATGTTAATATACCTAATTCCTTAAGCTGATCGACTCTTGAGACCGACTTAAGAACCTCCGCATCCCTATACCATCAGAAGACCCGCAGCAATAAGCAAACAAATAAGTACATAACAAAACATATTTGTAACTGCAATCACCATTTGTGAGTTTAAACAAGGCGTCACCTTCCACTGCTCCTGCCAAGTAAATAAAGTGCAACACCACTCAAGCAACAACTAATTCCACCCCATGGAAACATCTTCCAAAAATCAACTTAACAAAAACCAAAACCCTAAGTAACTCCAAATCCTCTGAATTTGAATTGGTACAATGATTTGTGAACAATATCGCAATTGAACAGCAACAAAAGTAAAATCCAATCTGTTGAGAAGAGGAAATAAAATCTGAAAAACTAGAAACGAAGCTAATGCAAAACGGAGAGAAAGCTAAGGCTCGTGGGAGGGAGGGAGAGAGAGAGGAGGAAAGAGAGTTTGGAAGATAGAGAGATAGAGAAAGAGAGAATCAGGTGCGAGAAGTGAAGGAAAAGGAGAAGGAAGAGAGTGAGTAAAAGTGAAGTAAATTCATCAGCTTTTTTTGTATTTATTCACTTTCTGTGGTGTCCGCACTGTTACCACTAACCCCAAACAATATATTAATTGCTAGAAATAAAAGCGTGGAGGAGGGAGAGGGACACCGACCGGCTTCCTCTTCCGTGGTGGGTGGTGACTGACGCGCGCCAGTTTACCTGTGCTAAATTATTTTAGGTTAACATAATAATTGCGTTATAATCCAAAAACTTAACCAAATGAATGATTATATCCGGTTAAAATACAATATCCGAATTCGGAACCCTATTCGTAATTAGGTATCAAAATCCATATCAAAACGCATTTTTACTGTTGGAATCTATTACCAACTCGATAAAATTATCCATTGAATAATTAAATTTATTTAAATATTGGACACAATTATATAGTAAAAGATATAAAAAATGATTATCTTTTTAAAAAATTAATTAAACGGCGGGTATTCGAATACCTACACTCAAACCCACTCCGAATCTGTTGTCCAAACCTACAGAAATTGGATTAATATTAAATCGAATTGCATAACCGACGGTTCGGGTAATATTGGTATCCGCACACATAACTAGTTGTTGGGCCGGATCCGCTAGTTTTTGTTTGGCTGGATTTTCCATATGTAATAATGGATTGACCGATAAAGAAAACGTTTCCATCCGAGAAAGAAAATTTTCCCTTTCATTGACAAATGACACAGAAAATTTTCAATATTCAACAGCAGCTGGATAATGCTATGTTTTATCTAAAATCCATTAATAATATAAATTTCTATAAAGAAAAAGGAAATAAGTTATCAGGACCCTGGACGTTGCTAGCTATTACAACATTTTGTTGTTAATGAAGTTTGATTTATCAGTAACTGTTCTATTTGCAGACAAAGGTGGGTCAGAATAATTTCCTACAAGGATTTGTTCTGAAACAAATAAGTTTGCTGCTTCAGTGTAATGGTTCCCATCCCAATTCACGTACTCAGTAGTATTATCACAGGGTCTTGCAGTCACTATACTGCCATTCAAATTCTTGGTTACTCCACAAGCGATTCGGCTGTCAAAATTCAATGGCGGCCCACCATAACCGCAACAAGCTGCTAAAGGCTGTTTGAAACCTGAAAAGCCATAGCCTATCAGATTTCGTAAATATACCTGAAACCATAATTTTTTTTTAATTGATTGATTAGTGATAACTTACCATACTGAGAAAAATTTGCTATTAGGTTCGATTTTATTGAGAAAATGTCTATATAAGTAACATTAGCATCAGGAAATCGTGCCCTAAACTGTGCACAAAGATCAAGTAATTGTTTGTTGAAAACAGTTGCTGCTCTGTTGTGTGAGTTCACACATCCAAACTGGTCAAGCTTTGATGCCTTTTTACCAAATGTTGAAATGATTCTGGGTAAGCAGCCAAGTGGTCCTGTGTTATGAATCCAGAAATTTCTGGCTCCGGAATCGTATAATATCTGGAGTGTCAGGAAAAGAATGAGTAATTTAACCTCTTCTGGTCAGAAAAATTACCTCTTCTGATTAGGAAAGTTGAAATCGATAAAAAGGAAAAACCTGAATTCCTGTCTGAAATTCTGACAAGATTTTTGGAATAAAAGCTACTACTTGACCCTCTGATTTCGAATAGAATGCACCATCTAGATCATTCTGACCGACATCAAACATATAAAGGCCTTGCTTGAAATCATTCTCCAGGGGAAGATACTTCTCAAGCTCTCCATCTAAGACCAAATATCAGGTAAGTTACGAAAATGACATTTCAAGTTTCGACCACTATCAGACATTAACGTAAAGTCCTTAATTTTATTATCTAACACAAATAAAAAATAGATACCTTTTGCTAGTAATTCAAGAACCCGAGACTTGAATCTGATAAACTGGGCCACCTGAATCCCAAATGAAAATGGACTAATGGAAGCTGCATTTGCTGGTAGTATAGTAGACCCTCCAGTCGCAAAATTACACCCCTTCTGAAAGTTTGGGGCACCAACAGAGTCCAAATACGGATTCAGAAATGGGTTGCCCATTGCTTCCACTGCCAAATAAAGTAAATTAATAAATAGAATACGTACACAAGTAGCTGCACAGTAACGAGTTCTTAAAAAAAAAGAAAGAAAGTAGAGAAAGACTACTCAGAAAATCAATAATCAAGCGGCCATCACAGAACCGGCCAGCTGGCTCCAAGAAAAAGGTTTGTCCATTAGGAGGTCCAACCGGAAAAGATACTCCGGCAACCAGACCACCAGTGTCTGAATTAGAATCACCGAAGTTGAAAACTGCAGGATAGCTAAATTCCAAAGGAGTAACAAGCAAAGGCAGAAAAGAAAAATAGAATGCTATTGCTTGCAGGGAGTAGACTTCAGAGGCCATGGTTAAGGACTTAAGGAGTTAAGGTTAATTGCAAGCTTTGAAACAATTATGGAGAAGAAAAAGAACCATCTATAATCAAATTTCTCTTAAGTAGCTGCAAAGCAAAGACAAAGATGCTTTTGCCTTGCACACAAAAAACAAACATGCGTGAATGGCTGACATCTTATATTAGCTGCTGTTCGAATTAAAAGAAGTGGCTTTGTAGTTTACCAATAATTATTGCATAAAGATGCTTGCTTCAAAATTAAGTACAAACAGAAAGATTCAAGAAATGATGGTAAATCAATACACACAGTAGCCATATAAGTCACCTTTTTTTTTTCCATACATTTTGGGTTAATTGTATTTACTATTTACTCGATGAAGCAGAGTTTTTGTAGTCTTCAGGTCTTCTCTTTTATGTTACAAATAGGTAGATGGTGATGTTCATACCATAAATTAAAAACTAATTCTAAACCACCTGTAATATTGGTCTTGAGCTTTCTCCTATGGAGACTAATAAAATAAATCATACCCATAATTCGGGTTGATTTAGTTGAGCTACCCGTATATAATTTCTGAATAAATTCATATAAAAACTTGGAATTCATAAGAAAAATGTAACATACAGTTTGAATGGGCAACCAGTTTTTATTTTTGTTTGTGAGATTTTTGTTTTCATGCATTGGAAAGGTATATTCCTACCAACTTAATTATGAATAAACTGAGAAAAGCTACATCAGTAATTCATATATTTAAAGGTTACGTATATATCCCAAAAATCCATATCAACAATATAAGAAGGAGACTCTGAATTTAGATTCATTTCTCAGTCAAGAAATATATTTGCAGAGCTCTCAATGGAAGGTGTCGTTTTTTCTAGATAGAACGACAGCTCGTTAGGAGGTTGAGTTTGGCGCGAGGCGGAGGCATGCTTCCTCATAACTGAAACGAGCCCAAAAGTAATAACCATAGGCCCATAGTTTCCTAGTCCGTTACCCGGCCCAAAAAAGAACGAAGGGAGCCATGTCGGGGAACAAAAGGCCAGTTTCTCTAAAACCCTCTTCAGCAACAACCCCTAAAACCCCCACTGAATCTCTCGTCTCCGCCTCTCTCCGGACGTTCTTCATTTCTCTCTTGCCTTCTTCGTACTAATGGCTTCAGCGGTTCTCCGTAACCCTAATTCTAAACGTGTTCTTTTCTCTTCCAAAATCTACTCCTGCTGTCGAGGATCGGCCTCCGCTCATTTCTCCATTTCCGATTCTCTCTCTGGAAATGACACAGCTTCTGTTTCCGCTGGTACTTGGTGGAGATCCATGGCCACCTTTACTAGAACGTAAGCCCAATCCTCGATTCTTCAATTTTGTAAGGGTTTTGATTTTTGCACTTAAATTTGTAACTATTTTCAATTGTAAATGGACAAACAGCAAATGACGTTTTAGTATCTTTCACTGTCAGTATCAATTTTAGTAGAAAAATACTTGTCCTGCTAGTAATTATGGTAGAACTTAGAGATTGCTTTTGGATTATTTTTTATGAAAATGGATACCGTTCGTAGTTTCGTACTGATGCATAGTAAAGAGAAACAGATTCTTTATATCTCCTCTTTTTATCCTTACAGTAAGCCTCACGTTAACGTGGGAACAATTGGGCACGTTGATCATGGGAAGACTACCCTGACTGCAGCAATTACTAAGGTTAGCTTCTTGATGTATTCAACATTTCCGTCAATATATAATTTCATTTGCTTTTAACTTTATCATTGCAGCATTTTTGGAATTTATTTGTTTGCAAATTGGTTATGGGTTTACCATGAATGGAAGATTCACTTACCTAAGACTTCTAACTATTTTGCAGGTTCTAGCAGAAGAAGGTAAAGCTAAAGCTGTAGCTTTTGATGAAATTGATAAGGCCCCTGAGGAGAAAAAGAGAGGAATTACAATTGCTACGGTTGGAATGTCATTCCTTTAGTTTGTTTCGTGCCTATAATTTAGCTATGCTGGGAATTAATGACTGCACGCTCCCATTTATCTTTTTTCCTCATTAACCAAATTTAGTTGGCCTGAACTTTTGCAGGCTCATGTGGAGTATGAAACTGCTAAACGTCACTATGCCCATGTCGACTGTCCTGGACATGCAGATTATGTCAAAGTAAGTAGGGAATTACATCATGAGGCAAAGATATATAAAAGTTTTATGGTCTTTGGCTTCATACAAAGTCAGACTCAGACCAAATTTGAGCCATTCTAAAAGATGTATAGGGTTGAGATTTTTGGCAGGTTTGGATTATGTTCAAAAGGCATGTATTTGTACATTGCTTGAAATTAAGTTATGCATCTGAAATGCTATTCAGAACTGTAGACTGTTGAACTGAGTGAATAGCAGTCATGTTTTTGGGGGCTAGTTCCTCACAGTATTTAAGTCAGCTGTGTGACTTCTAGTTTTCCCAACTAGTTTGGGATTAAGGCTTAGTTGCTATTGTTATTATTTTTGTTGTGTAGTTTTACTTCTTTTAAACCGTGTTACGGACTCATTAATTTATTTACCTAATCATTTTAATTAATTTGCAGAACATGATTACTGGAGCTGCACAAATGGATGGTGGAATTCTAGTTGTATCCGCTCCTGATGGGCCCATGCCACAGACAAAGGAACATATACTACTTGCCCGTCAGGTGAGCACCATCTTTTATAGGCTTGTGAAGCATATTATCTTGTTCCTTTTGCACCTTCCTGTTGTCTGGTTTTGTCATCTTAGGGATTTTTAAATGAATCGGACAGGTTGGTGTGCCATCACTTGTGTGTTTCCTGAATAAAGTTGATGCCGTTGATGATCCAGAGTTATTAGAGCTTGTGGAAATGGAGCTTCGTGGTAGGTTTGCCGTGCTCTTTTAATATCAGTGTGTTTATTGACTAAGGTTTCTTGCCTTTTTTTCTTTTTGTTTGCCCTCAATTCTTCAGTCTTCAATTTCTGGCAGAACTGCTTAGTTTCTACAAGTTTCCCGGAGATGAAATCCCCATTATCCGGGGATCAGCATTGTCTGCTCTTCAGGGAACAAATGAAGAAATAGGGAAAAAGGCCATCTTAAAATTGATGGATGCCGTGGATGAATACATCCCTGACCCTGTCCGCCAACTTGACAAGCCTTTCCTTATGCCAATTGAAGATGTTTTCTCAATTCAGGTAACAAGACACATTTAGTATATTTATGAAGATTGCAAAGAACAAAATGCTGTGCTACAAGCAGTATCTTTGTGTTTCCTCTTCCTTGGTTTATCTACATTCGATGGGTTTTTTAGCTCATGTTTTGGTGCTCCTAGATTCATATTACTATAAATTAGTTTTCCTTTCATCCATAAACTCTTACCACGGATGTATTATTTAAATATGTGTCTTGGGATACCTCTTTTTCTTGATTAATGTTATTAGTTGCGAACCAGATCTGTCTTGTCATTCTATTGTTGAAAAAACTATTCTAATTCTACAGAGTAAGAGGAGGAAGTTTCTGGTCTGAGTTAAACGTTTACTAAATTTTGATTTGTTTTTGTTTGTTAAAGGGACGTGGTACTGTTGCAACTGGACGGGTTGAACAAGGGACCATTAAAGTTGGTGAAGAAGTTGAGATTTTGGGATTGGTGCAGGTTAATTTTATATTCAGCTGTTCTTCCTTTTTTTTGTATGTTCTTGCAGTTTATGTTGCCTGTGAATCGTCCTTCAGTTGGTGAAGTACTCTGATTCATTTAATATTGATTTTGGTTCTTGGTGATGCTCTCAGTTTATTATTTAGCATTTATGTTGACTAAGAGATTTCGTGATGTATTTATGCTCCTGACTTTGAGCTGTCTTTTTTAGGGTGCTCCTGTAAAAACAACAGTAACTGGAGTCGAGATGTTCAAGAAAATATTGGACCAAGGACAAGTAAGTCAGTAGTTCTAACTTTCTACGCACTCAGTGGGTTATTGAGGCTTCTTTGGAGCAATTATTTGTAGAATTGTGGGTTAATGCTTTATTTATTTTACTAGGCTGGTGACAATGTGGGTCTTCTCCTACGTGGTTTGAAGCGAGATGATGTGCAAAGAGGGCAGGTAAGTGAGAACATGTGACAGTATCTGTGCATTTACTAAGACCTATATGATATCTCCAGCAGTTCAGAAAACATGTGACAGATTACTAGGGCTATTTCAGAAAACAAATTATCTGTGCATATTACTAAGACCTATATGATATATCCAGCAGTTCAGAAAACAAGAACTGTTTGATTGTTCTTTTGGTTTTGTGGGGAAACAAGAGCTAAGTTTAGGCCTGCCAATTGGGCTGGTACCCTAACATTAAATGACTTGTAATTCAAGAAGTCAAGGCTTTTAACAAGCCACTCTCAATTCTTTGAATTTTAAAAGAAGTTAAAAATAAAAGATTCTACGCAATCATTTTGTTATTTCTATTGTTTAGGTGATTGCCAAGCCTGGAACTGTGAAAACATACAAGAAGTTTGAGGCGGAAATATATGTACTCACAAAGGATGAAGGTGGGCGTCATACCGCTTTTGTTTCCAACTACAGGCCACAGTTTTACATGAGAACTGCAGATATTACTGGGAAAGTTGAGTTGCCTGAAAATATTAAGATGGTTCTGCCTGGGGACAATGTGACTGCAACTTTCGAGTTGATCTCACCCGTTCCCCTTGAAGCAGGTTTGTTCAACTAGATATCTTGTGCTTTCGAAATTAGAATATTGCGCTCCTTGTTTTATTACCAACACATTGTTTGCATGTGAACTTTTAACTTCTAGAAGTGACAAATGAATTTGGTGTTTTAACAAAGACACTAGGCGTCTGTGGGTCTCTAAAGCATAGGAAAAAAAGGTGATCTAAAGCATGTAAAGTGGTCTATGCTGTTATTCATTTACTTGTAATGACATGTGCTTGAACTTCTTAGCTATGTTTGTTGTCTCCAAAAGGGTTGTATCTATATGTTGTCTTGATATAGTACTGCCTGCATGCAACAGTTGATTTTTATATCCTTTGATATTGCCTTTTCATTTCCAGTGGACTATGAACTAATATTGATGTTATTACTTCATAAGTCAATAGATCCTATGTACGTACTGGATTTTATGCCCTTCCAAACTGAACACCTGTTTTTAGTTATTTCTGGTTTGCTATTCTGCCCCCATAAATCTATACTGTGATAAATGCATGATTATTTTCATGACTGTTGTTAACTAGGGCTGCAGCCTTTAGATATATTTTTCTATGTAACAGTGTCTGTTTTCTGACATAACAGGACAAAGATTTGCATTGAGAGAGGGAGGTAGAACAGTTGGAGCTGGCGTGGTCTCGAAAGTAATTAGCTGAGTCATTTGATGCCAAATCCTTTATGCTTTTTCCCCTTTTTCAGTAGAAGTGCTCTAGGTAAGAAGACGTGATTGATATTTGATGAGAAAAAGAAAAGGGATGTGATACTTTCTTACAAAGCATTTGATGCAATGTTGGTTCTAGGCATTACTGAAGAGATTATTAATGATCACAAATTGAGTTTAAATTTGAAAGAATGGTTGTCTCCGGGTCCCTCTTCCGCAGCATGCAATTGATCAACATAGCTTGATCTTTAAACCCTTCAGGTTTTATGTGGGTATTAAATAATTTTCCTTTCCAATTGTATTAATGTTTGACTACATGTCACTAATCATTATTACTGACGATTTTTCTGCCTAGCTTTTCATGGCTGCTACCATGTATAAAAAGCCAATTGTCATTCATAACATTTAAAAATGTTTTTACTGGACGGATAAGGCTCATGCTCTGCCTGGTTTTACCAAATTTATGCTTTGGTTCAGTAGAAACATTTATAGATTTATTGATTCAGTTCGCTGAGCAAAATGGGTGCAATTTAAGCTCCAAAAATGCCTACTTCCAGTGGCTTCTCCGAAATGCAGAGGTGGTTGCGAACTTGTCAAAAAAAAGTTAATAGTGGCAGTAAGCCAGAAGCCAATGAGTTAGCTTAGAGCTCTTTATGATTCCTATGGGTGAATGACGAAAGTTAGCATCATTTGCGACCATTACTATGTTTTCTAATCTAACGTTGCCCTGTTCATATGAAATATCTCTATGCCACAAACCTACCACTTTGGCGACGCGATTGAACCAATTAGAAAAATCATCTTTCTTTCTGGATCGGATTAAAAGCGGACCTGTTAATCAATGACTTGCACGTACATAGAGACCCAAAACGACAAAAGCAACAAGGATAATTTCCACGCAAAATTGTATATGTTCACATACTTCTGTTCCACTTAACCTCCCCTCATTCACTTCAATTACAAATGTGTAACCTAAAAATGAGAAATAGACTAAAGTTAACTGACAATAGAACATGCACGACTCAGTCTCTCAGGAGCTCAAGGAATGTTTTCAAAGCCCTACCTTCTGAAGCCAAGATCCAATGGCAGAGTCCGTACATCTCATACCATATACTCCTTGAGACTGCCAATCTGAGACATCCTTGCAAGTGCAATAAGGTCTTTCTCTCTCTCAATATAGCTCTTAAATTACAGTATTTACAGTTACAACCATCGCCCAGTCATGTCATCCAATCAATCGACTTTTTTTGCAACAGTGTCTCGCCATTCATTGCTCATGTAAACTTAAGCATTGCCACCGCCATCAGTGTTGCAGCTCTGAAGTATATGTCTTTCAAACTTTTATCCACAGTTTCCAGCATATCTTCATCCTTCATACCTAACTTACTTGCATTCTTGCTGACATATGCAATTGTGTCGCTCAGTCTATTCACTGCCCAGGAAAGCCAGACCAGCCCAAACCCAAAACCTGTAGTGAAAAGTTTTGATGCACAAAAGGGTGCCCTCCCACAGGCTAATTTGCAGACAACAGAGAAGAGAACAGCGAGACCAGTCCCAGCAATGCCAGCTGAGAACCGGGTTAAGAGTGCAGGAAGTTCAGGACCAGATTTCTTCAATGATAGGATTGCGGTTTTGCCATGCCGCTTCTTGTCCATCATCAAGGATAGAAGGCTCTCACATGCATGGAAGTAGTTTCTTTTGTAGAGATCCCTTTCTGAAATACCTCTCCTGCTATTCTTCTTCTTTAGCGATGGCTTGAGCTTTATTTTTTCAGACCTGCTAACAGCGAGGAACCATTAGATAGGAATTTTTTTAAAATTAAAAGAGAGAGATAGAGGAAGAGGAAAAAACAGAAGTAACTTGAACAAGACATTCACATCTATCAGGCCTTCCAGCATAACTATAATAATTGTCTACTGTTGTGAGGTCAGCACCAGTGGAATCCAGGAAGTAAAAAACAAAAGATCATAATACCAATTCAAGAAAAAAAAAAATGCATTTGCATTATTCTGTGGACAAGTCCATCTCATGTTATCTTATGTAGTACTTGAAGTCTTGAACTCACCAAAGAGTTTGAATATCTATACTTTTACCATTATTTCCGGTAATTCCTCATTCTAACATTCACAGCCATATATGGACATCCTCATTCTAAAATTCATTTCCAAATTATGCTGTGGATACCTTCATCCACTTTTGTGCCGACAATCATCATCATTTCAGAGTTGTACTTCATGCAAGGGAAAGGGAACATTAATTTGATAAAATGAATCTCTCCCTAATCAATCTTTGTTTCTAATTTTGGTCTCATTTTCCCTCAGCAGAATTCTCAGTCTAGCTTAAGCATAGCAATTCCAGTCTTCAAATTTAAGCTCAGAGCCTCAAAAGAAATTTAGCCACATTATTTGAGATTGCAAAAGAAAAAAGGATAAACGGATTGTCTCATTTTGGATATTCTCTCACCAAATATGCTAGTTATGGAAAGATCAAGAAATTAATAAACAAAAAATGTGAAGAAAATTAAGTGCTTCTGCAACAGATAAGAGTCAGATACCTCTTCAAAGGTGCAGCTGCCACATCGTTGACCTTCAACGAAGAACTGATAACACTAACATGTGCTTCACTTATATCAGGCCTGTACAATCAGATAATTAAGAGTTAGATGCTTAGGTTACCAGCTTGACAACAATGAAGAAATAAATAAGAATATTTGAAGTACCAGGTAATCAGATTAGCAATGGCAAATCTTAAATGTTAAGACATGTTTGCTCAACTTCAGCAACTATTAACAATAACAAATCAAGAAAATTGCAGCTCCACAGCATAATAATAACAAATACAGGAAAAAAGAAACAATGGGGCGTAAGTAGCAAATATTTATTGGAAAGGGAGAATTTACTCTTTAAGTCTTTATTACAACTTTACGTAAGAAATTTATCTTTAGTTGGTGCGACCTCTGATTTAGAAGGTGTTTAGCATTTTACAGTTCAAATTCATAGTTCAAGATCATATGCTTAATGAAAATAATGACCAATCCAGTATGCCGCTTAAAAAACTAAAGATGAGAAAGAAAAACAAGCAATTTATATAAGTTGAACCTTATGATATTTAAATGCTACATAAACTAGTGCTTGCAAACTGAATATGCTTCTGATTTAAATCAATCAGGTCTAAGTATCCGTACCAGCTAAAGTGGGGAACAAGGATAGACTGCTTTGTTTGCTTAGTTGAGTTCTTCGACAAGTAAAACTCAGCAACAATAGAAAGAATATCCTTAATCTCTGTCCCACTGCCAGTGAATAATACACGACCATCTGGATGAACTGTAATTTTAGAACTACGCGCCATATCTCCCACAAAGTCAACTAAAGGATTTGGGGCATCGTATTTTCCACTTGGATAAATGAGAGGAGCACAGGGCTGCTCATGCACATCCAAAGCCAATGTCTGAAAACCCATCAAATCAGACAGCACAGATAAATCTAATCCATCTTTCTCTGGGTCACTTGATCCGGATGTGAGAAACTTCAAGATTTTCTCATGTTTAGTGCATTGTTCAGCTATCCCATAGCTGAAGAGTACAGAGTCTGGGCAAGTGTCTGCCAGCATAAGAAGAGCATTAGTTTGATATATAAATGTATTCTGAAATTGTATATAGAAAGTTATGCTTCTGGAAATGCACAAAAATAGAAGTAAAGAAGAAGCAAGGAAGCGTGGCAGCCTTCTAGTGCAATGGACAACTGATACCATTCTTTTGACTGAACTTACCCTAACCACCAGGGTGACCTAAATCCTCTTAGGATTTTTATTAAATAAACCATTTATCGTCTCAGAGATGAATTTAGCATCATTTTGTGCACTTATACACCTATTACAATTAGTATCCCAGCAGCGTATTCCACAAAATAGTCTTTGTTTTATGCAACTGAAAATTACATAGTCCAGGTATTGCATTTCGCTGCATAGCCATCAAAAAATACAGTAAGTTACAATTACAAACCTTGCATATCAATGAGTACAGGCCTTGCAACTGTTGAGTCAATCTTGGCAAACTGGTTGTGCTCACAGAATCCACCAGTGGGTCTCCATGATTCATCATGCTGTGGCCTCAGCCTAAAGGAGTTCAGTTTTTTTATTTCTTGTCTTGCTCCCTGACTTGGCAAAAAGGGCGGGCAGTCCTGAATTAACAAAAGATTTGTCAATCATTACTTATGAACATCAGCGGCTAATAACGGGAAACAATATTTTTGTCATAAACACATTAAGATCAATTTACTGAGCATCACCCAACAAATCAGAATATTTTCATTAGGATGATAAAATCTTCCAAAGAAGCTTTTATTGCCTTCTATTAGAAAGTGAAAAGCTAAGTTATCTCAAATATAATACATGTATAAATTTACCAAAAACATATGCGGATGAATCCAATAATCAAAACATGTAAATAAATTATGCAAAACTAGCAAATAAATAGACTTCAGTGTATCACTAGTTCAATGTCAGAACTACGCCAAATTAACAGTAAATTAGAAGGATCATTTACCCATATATGGTCGAAGCAAATTGGGTCATGGAAACAAACTCGAGAGAGTTCTGCAACTTCTTGGCTGCAGGCACAGGAGTTTTACCAGTACAGTCGACAACAACAAATCATCTACTTGTCACAAGAAGACAGCATAGTTTGGAATAGTGCCATATGGTTAGTTGCATCTTTATTATCAAAAATCTTAAGTTCGAACATCACCATAAACGGTTAGAAGGAACTGAATTACCAAAACTGTGAAGTTATAGGCCTAAATCCAACAAATAACATTGTCAAAAGACGCGAGAAATTATTTATAATTCTCCATATTATCAAACGCATCAAAGCAAAAAGGAACTCGAAAAAGAAAATGCAAACAAAAACCAAAAGAATTAAAAATCACCAAAGATAGATAATCCTAGCAAAACCCAAATAAATTAAAACCAAAAAAAAATAAACAAATCCAAACTACAATTCAAAAGCTACCTTGATGACTCCTGTCCGTTCTTTGTAAAAGACTAGTCCTGGACCAGGAGGGTTTCCGTGAGAAGCCATCGAGTATAGCTTCAACATTATCTCTGGAGAGAAGAAACCCAGCTAAGAAATCAAAATTTCTGATGCCAAAATCTCTTATATTTTCTTATACCCTTGACCCTTTTCTCACAACACCATAAACTTATCCATCCATAGACCTTAAAATCCAAAGATATTGGCTAATTTTCATTTTTTTTGAGTGGTACCCACAATGAAATATGCTGAGATTGATATGAACCAATTGTTTGATCGAGAATTTTCCCAGCTTCAGGACCTGTGGCAGAGGCTCTGCCTTGAGAATCCAGATTGGGACCCTGAAACAGACAAAAACGTCTCTGCTTGTTATGTTATTGGAATTTACTCTGCGAATCCGAGTTTATTTCCTGTGTTTTTCCCTCAATTTTTTTAATTTGGTCCTGCATTTCGTTTCCGTTCTATCAACGGTTGATTTTGGTTGGTTACTAAAGTTTGTACGGCATCGATGACGAGAGGGATGATCTGCTGGAAGAAACCTAGGGAATGATACCGTCTCCCTGTGCGCTGTGCATAGATAAGTCACAAGTGGGAATAAAAATCTAGGTAGGGCCGACGAGCCACTTGTATGAGGTTTTCTCTTCCATTGCGCCAATTAAATTTCTATTTGAAAGGAAAAATCAAATTTGTGTAAGCAAGCATCCGAAGTTAGATTAGAATAATAAAATATGACCACTAAGTTAGGCAAAACCAAATTAATTAAACATAAAATTAAAATATAAAAAATTTAATTCGATTATATCTTCAATGTCATAACTATTATAAATAATATCAAATATTAAATTTAAAAATAAATAAGCGGCCCATCAAAAATACACAACTAAAGAACAAACTAAAAAATAAAAAATAAAATTTTAAATTAAGAAAAAACCAAAATTTGAAGTTTCTTCATTTTAACTGTGGATAGAAACATGGATGAGCTCTTACAAGTTGTTCAAGTTCTGGTTAAGAAAAAGCTTTAAAAAATTCAGCTTAAATTGAATTTGAGTTTAAAGAGATTCAATTCAAGAGCTTATTGAACCTTATTAAGCTATTTTTGTATATCTATCTATCTATTCATATATATTTATCTATTTATCTTTATCTATATCTATATCAATACATAAAAGTGAAAATGAGGGGAATAATGAGATTACTTGTAACGAGCTTAATGAATGTTTTAAAATCCTAAAATATCCTCAGTCATTGGATTAATAATAATAGTTTGAGTTTATTAAATAATTTGAGTTTTTAATAATTGATAAATTATGATTTTTTTATATTTTTATTAATAGATTAATATTATTCTTTTAATATATTATTTTAATTTAACTTTCAATCATTGATTATTTACGACATTAATTATTTTAAAAAATAAATTATTATTTTAATTTTAGAGTACACACGAAGAATAAGAATACAAGGAGCTTATTGAACCTTAAATTAATTCTATTTATTTGATATATCATTAATAACACTTATCTTTATGCATTTATATGAAATTTATACTATTTATCAATATATCTATTTATCTAATATAAATACTATACAGTTTTGAAAATGAACCGGGTAATATATGAAGATTAGACTTGCTAACTCTTAAATGAATGTTTTTAAAATTTCCTAAAAAATTAATCCTTCCAGTCATTGTGTAATTTAACTAATAATAATATTATGATGTATTTGATTAATAGGTTCTTTAAATAAGTGATTGAGAACTATGATGTTATTTTTATATTTTTTATTTAATAGATTTAATATGGTGAGTGTCTTTTTTGAATATAATTATTTCTAATTTGTAACTTTTTCAATCATTGATTATTTACGACACTAATTATATTTTAAAAAGAGTAAAATAATATTATGTTTAAGTTTTTAAAATAAACTTCACAAATGCCAAAAAAGCAAACATATACAATACATCTTATTGAAAATAATTATCATTGTTTGAATGCGCTCACGTGTTTAATAGTTATAAATGTAACTTTATTATAAAATTTTATATATATCATCTGTGTATAAGAATTTTGAAATTTTATTTAATTCTTTATTATATATATATCACTTTTAGAATTTTGAAATTTTTTTCTTATTTATATCTAAGTTTTTCATAGAATTAAATCAACATTGAATAACATAGGATCATATTATTTAGTTTTTTAAAAAAGAATATGCTAATTAAAGTTTAACCTTACCATTTTCAAAAAAATTTAAGTATAGTATTATAATTAATAATAAATTTTTTATTTTATCTTCTATAAAATATAATTATTTTATTAAATATATTTGACTTTTAATGTTGTCCTATCATATTAAAATTAGTTGAATAAAAATATTATTCGCTTATACTATAAGTATTATTAATTATGTCTTAACATCATATAAATGTCTAAAGAATATAAGAGAAAAATTATAATCATACTTAATACTATATAAAAATAAATTGATGAATATAAACAACGAATAATATCAAATATTAACAACGTGCAATGCACGTCGCAAAAAACACTAGTGTGTGTGCATATATATATATATATTGCACGTTGCAAAAAACACTAGTGTGTGTGCATATATAACCCACTAAGTGAAGTGTGCCCCTCATCCACCATATACTCATAAATATAATTCACGTTGACCAAAAACAACACAGTGTGTGTGCATAGATATACCCTTTATATATCACTAGCATACTACAATAGAATTATTTAATTTTATTAAACCCAGAAAACTGAACTACTAGAACTATTAGATAGAGGAGAGAGAAGAGATAGCACGAGAGAGAGAGAGAGAGATGAGAGAGACGATGAGCAGAACGAGAGCATGAGGAGAGAGACACGAACATGTCCTAAAAAAAGTACTGTCAAAGCTTAACTGAGCTCATTACTCCACATCCTTGCCACTGATCTATCCCCATATGAGTATGATTTCAAACATGTAATTTTCTAAGCTCCCAGATGCCTCATATATATTATGAGAGAATAAGTAGATAACAATAGATAATAAACTAGATCCTATGAGCCTAGTACACTAAACATATAAGAGACATAATAGATAATAAGATGCAAGCTTGATAAATTAGGTTATAAAGAGAGATAAAAAAAAGAAAATCAATATAAACAAAAGTAAGAATACTATTAATTTCTTTAAGGTTTAGCGATATACCGTGGAGTAGTAAACTATGACAGGTTACGACTGACACATAAAATAAGAAATTCATAATCCCTTCTAATATACTCAAGTAGCACAAATTGCTACAAATATGTAGTATCTTACTAAACAGTAAAATATACACATAGCAATACAATAATGCGACTTTACTATTTGTTTTCTGGTTAACATAAATCATTATGAGAGTCAAGAATAATCTTGTATTATATTTTCTTTACCTCTCCCTCAATACAACAATTTACTTAACTCAATGTTGTTTCATATATTATATAGGCAGTTTAGCGGGTTCAGTCTTTAATCTAAACTGAGTCAATAGAAGAGCACTTCATTATTGTCTCCTTATAGACCTATAGTGAGTCATTCAACTACTGTGTCCATTTCCCTAAAATACTATAGATTAGAGATCGCGGAAAACATGAGTCTAAGAGCGTGTAAATGAGCACCTGAGCTCAATCTATACGAGCTCAAGCTACGCTGTACTACTAATTCATTCAGTCCCGACTCGTACAATAGTCACATAAGAATAACTGACAAAGATGTTGTAAGTTTGAGTTCGCTACGATAGAGCTAATAACTGCCACATATTACTCATTTCGAGGCATCATGTAGCGTTCATATTATAAAATTTTGATTTAAGCATTGACTCCTAGTAAATTAGCTAAGAGACATGAAATAAGGGCGCAAGCTATCATCTTATACTACCTATATATAACAGCTCGCAAGATTTTGAGAGCTGAATCATAAGAGCTCAAAATCTCGATTGGGACGGAAGTCAAGAGCTTCTTTCACCAAAATTTCTTAACGAAGCCGAATTCGAATAACTGCACTAAGGTCCACAGGCACGTCATACTAGCACTTTTCTAACACGATTATAATTGTATGAACACTATTGAAAAGTCTTGATAGGTCTAGTACAAATTCAATTTCCCGAAACAGTCACTGACAAGAGTCGATTAATTGACCTACCAGGGATCTACTGCAATACGGACCATATTTATAATAATTCACGTTCATCACATTGCTCTTAGATCCTTATGCTTAACAATAAAAAAAAAAGATTGAATGTTTCGCCGAAAATTGAGAAATTTAGTTATTCTATATTTGCAAAAAACAATGGTTCACACATGTGCACATCGCATTATAAGACTTATGTAACAGGAATTAGCTGCGCCTTTGGATCAGAATTGTCTATATAAAACTGCAGATATGAGAGAGCAATGAGTATCAGATTAGATTCGTGCTAAAACAGTATCTGCTAAAATAGGAACGAAAAAGTGCTCCTTATAATGAAAAGCTAAGTTACAGTCCGATCTGAATCGATGATGATCCTTAGGATAATATAAACAAATTATGGTAAGTAGCACGCACAGGACCATTATTTGGGCACAAATCTATAGTCACTTTTGCCACAACCTCATTTTGCAGTATACGTTAGCATCATCTGTTCTTCCTGAACCCTATCATCTTTCATGTAAGACCGTCTACTCTACCATACCGCATGCGTGATGCATTAGATTCATGTGCACCGTGTCGAACAACTCAGCTACAATTCAGCAAATCCCACATGCATGCATTCAGTTCTTCAGCCATCGCGTCCAATTAGCGCATGTGGTTCCAACTTGCGTGAAAGACTATAGAGATGACCGCCTAAGTTCGATGTGATGAGTCCGACACTTAACTAATTGATCAGAAAAGGCAATATCACTTATTGAGAGTAATAATCTAAGTGAAATGATTATGTATTTTAAAAATAAAATAATAAAAAAGCACTCTACTTTTACGTCTGAGTACATGAATCTAAGTAATGCTTTGTATGTCGTCCTCATCTAATTTGATAAATGATGGAAACTCTTTTACAGGTATTATTACCCCTGCAAAGTTAAGAACATAATAAACCTAATTGAAAGATTATTTTTAAAAATTAATATAACACATCTAGCCTCATGTCAATACAGACATATGAGAGCTCAGTCTAACAATAAAACTATTGAAACATAATATTCTCATAAACTTAGTAATATCACATGTATGTCACAAGCAGTCATAAGAGTAATTAGAAATGGCTACTAATATGAATGTAGACATATAAAATAAAAAAAAGAAACATAATTTTAACTACATAGTGATATTTGAGCAACTCAGACAACTTAGGTATTAGAATTATGACAAATAACATTAAAAGCTAGTACACGGACGACGTAAAGACCGACAGCTTGCCAAGCTATCTAGCGGTATAACTATCAAAAAAGTGACAGCAAGTTGACCATATCGTTAGACAGCTCAGCATGGCAATACCTCATCTTCGTATAGAACAGGTTCTCCTAAACCTCTACGAGGTTTCTACAAGCTCTTACCACGCAATAACAAAACCTATCTCGCCTACAACACACAGTCTTATCTCTCGAATCAGCAAGCACGCCGAGTCTCGTAGCTTAACCACATATCTCGATGGCGCACCGCACACACGAGAACATAAGTTATTATCTCTGCCGCCGTCCTCACCTGTGTATAATAATAACTCCATTATATGTCTATCATTCTATTACATACACCCTCTCACCTCATCATTCACTTTATCTTAATCATCACTTTCCATTTATCTCTCAAACTTGTGCCCTTTCCTTCACTCTCCACAGAGCCAGAGCCCCCTAAGCAGATCACAAATTCTAGTTCCAAATAGCCACCATATCATCATCTCATTCTCAACATGCATGCAGCATCACAATGCCTGACTATTGCTACACTTCCCCGCGAGAGAATCAAAGTCTAGCTTAGTAGGTCCCCAGGCGTAAACTATTGAAAGATTATTTTTAAAAATTAAATCACATGTATAATAAAGCTATAAGAGTAATAAAAGGTACAATAGAAGTAAAAAAAAAAAAAAAAACATTTTAAACAAGTTATGACTCAGCAGATAGTAAAAAACATTAAGTAGAAGGGTAAGAGCTTGCAGCTGGTAGTTACCGACAAGAAAAACAGAAGTTGCCTTGACCAGCAGCATCAAACTCATCCTTAAACATTGCCTAAAACTCAGTCAAATTTACCGAAACAACCCTATCTCCCTACACAGTTATCCTCGTCAGCGCGCGAGTCTGTTGTAACCACATACCGGGCACCAATTATTCTCTCTCCTTCCTCTTTATAATAATAACCCATTATTATTATTTTTTATTACATCACCCTTACCTCATCATCATTTTTTATCATCACTTTCCATTTATCTCTCTCTTTTTGCTTTTCTTTCTCTTCCTCGAAACCCTAGCAATCAAAATTTTATTAAATACCACAATCTTCATTCATTCGTCAAATCAAATCCCAATCCCTTGATTTTCTATCACTTCCCCGAGAGAATCTCACTTGTGTCCGGTATTATAGAGGGCATGGGAAGGATTCTCAGAGAAACTAACAGGCCCTCATCGTCTTCCTCATCGTCTGCTTCTAATTCCACCACTACATCGACTTCGGTTACGGAGACGGTGAATGGGTCCCATCAGTTTAAGATCACAGGGTATTCGTTGTCGAAAGGTTTAGGGATCGGGAAATATATTGCGTCGGATACGTTTAATGTAGGAGGTTATTCGTGGGCGATTTATTTCTATCCAGATGGGAAGAGCGTTGAGGATAATGCGACTTATGTATCGCTGTTTATAGCGTTGGCCAGTGAAGGGACCGATGTAAGGGCGCTTTTCGAGCTGACGCTTTTGGATCAGAGTGGGAAAGAGAGGCATAAGGTTCATAGTCATTTTGGGAGAGCGCTTGAGAGTGGGCCTTACACGCTCAAATATCGCGGTAGCATGTGGTCAGATATTCTTGTTTTCGCCCCTAAATCTTTTGTTAATTTCTGGAATTGATACGGTAATATCTTGATTTGGTGGGTTATTGAGGTCCACATTGCCTTGATTAGCATAATATGATTTATGATGGGATTTTGAGATGATTGCGTAATTGGAGTTAATTTTTATTTTATTTCTTATTCAAAAGAGTAATCTCCGGAGAGGGTTAGGATGGTGAAATAGGTGGTGGATTTGTGACTTTTGGTAGCTTATGCAAATGTTTTTTGGGGTTAATTTTTGCTGCTGAGCTCTTACGCTACATGAAAATGAATAGCTTGTACAGGATAAAGATAATTTAAATGGCGTGCATTTTTGAAGTTATTGGATTTTCTTGTAACTTAGAAATTTCTGAGTGATATATGATAATTTAGTTTATAATTCGAATAAGCAACCAATTTTGTTTTAGTACATTATAATTTATTCTCTGAACAATTGCATTAAAAATTGACTGACTGATAAGATTATGGTATCGTTTGAGTTGTGCAATTTTGCAATATTTCCCTCCTGCACCATAGCTTATTAGAATCTTTCCATATATACAGCATCCTTGTTTGTAAGTTTGTTGGGAGTTTCTTTTGATAATCAGAGGGATGCATGGTTACACATGCCTACCTGTCATACCTCAGAGGTTGATTTGCTAAAGGTTTTTAGCATTTGCACACGAAGTAGATATTCTAATAGCTTCCAAATTTGCACCTTTGCATGTCAGTAACGGTTTACCACTGTAAGGGAGAATGCATCTGCTTTGAACTATTAGTGGTACAGCAATTTCGTGATGATTTACTGGCCTCTAGGAACCGTATGTCATGTACTTATGACTCGGTGGCTGGTACAGTTGGCATTTTGTTATGCCTAATCTTTTTCCATAGTTCATTGTGTATGCTAAATTTTGTGGATCCATATTTTGGGTCTTGATCTTCTTTTCTGCTATCAACTAAATTTTATACTTGTTACATGCAATTGTGTTTTGAATAAATTGTTTGTATTCTTTTTCTCTGTGGCGGACTATAACGGGATTAAGTGTTGGATGCTGCAGGGGATACAAGCGGTTTTTCAAAAGGACTCTTCTAGAGTCATCAGACTACCTCAAAGATGACTGCCTTCAAGTTCATTGTAGTGTAGGTGTTGTTAAGTCATGTACAGAAGGCCCTAAGACTTATTCTATAGCAGTTCCACCTTCCAACATTGGCCAGCACTTTGGACAACTATTGGAAAATGGAAAGGGAACTGATGTAAATTTTGAAGTTGATGGAGAAGTTTTTGCTGCCCACAAATTAGTACTTGCCGCTCGATCGCCTGTATTCAGGGCCCAACTTTTTGGCCCAATGAAGGATCAAAACACCCAATTAATAAAAGTTGAAGACATGGAAGCTCCAGTTTTTAAGGTTCTATACTTTACCATCTTTCCCTTTGCTACTGGTTTCTTATTCTATCTCCCAGATTATTGGCTTTCTTCAGGATTATTTCTGCTATTTGTTTTGTGCATAAAATTAAATGTTGCATATTTACTTTCCATAAGCGCTTGCTATGTTTTGTTTTCCATAAGCATTTGCTTCCTTTACTTCATTCCTTGTGCTGCAATCACTGGACAAAGGGCAATTGTGCTATTTTTTTTATATCCCCTTCAAATTTAGCATTGCTGGGTTTTCTAGTTAATGCAACTTGTAATCATACATGGTAAACACTAGTTCTATTCACCTAATGCTTTGGTTCTCCTTCTTCAATCCTTCAGGCATTACTTCATTTTATATACTGGGATTCATTACCTGACCTAGAGGAGCTTACTGGTTTAAACTCAAAGTGGGCTTCAACTTTGATGTGTCAGCATCTGCTTGCAGCAGCTGATAGGTATGCATTGGACAGGCTTAGGCTGCTTTGTGAGGCCAATCTGTGTGAGGATGTGGCTATAAACACAGTAGCGACTACACTAGCCTTGGCGGAGCAGCATCATTGTGTTCAGCTGAAGGCTGTGTGTCTCAAGTTTGTTGCAATGCCTGAAAACCTGAGAGGTTAGCAGCTTCTTCAAAATACCCGGTGAATCAGTATTGCATGAGTTTGCAGATATGACTGTGATGCGTAATACTTTTTAATAGTTTTGAATAAATGTGTTTGCTTTTAAATACTTAAATCATGTCATAGCTTGCACTTCAAGATGGATTTGTTTTGGCTGAGTCATTTTCCAGCTGATTAGTATATAGCTTCAATATTCATACCTGTAAAAGGACAACAAATTCATTCCAGGAAGGGCTTTATTTTTCATTTCTTTATGAAACTTGTTGCCTTTTGACATTTTTGGACACATCAGCCACTTCACGCAAGTTGAATTTGCTAACTTCTTGGATTGTTTTAGTTAGTCACCCATTATGCATAACCATGGAATATGAAGTATGCAATCTATTGATCAACTGCTTAAAATTTCTAAATTCACCTGTAATGCTTCCAGTGAGGTGTTCCTTTTCCTTCTACGATGAGCTAAAGGACTCGTACTACATCACTTGAAATTCATCAGCAGTTGGAAAATATATTTTTGCCTGGAGTCAATCCTGATGTCAAACTATATTAGTGCTTTTCTGGAAGCTTACACTTGTGACATTTTTGTTTTTCAGCTGTGATGCAAACGGATGGCTTTGAATATTTGAGGGAAAGCTGCCCCTCTGTCCTTACAGAACTCTTGGAATATGTGGCTAGAGTTAGTGAACACTCAGTTATTATATGCAGACATGGGAATGAAGCTATCCTTGATGGCAGTGACCTGAATGGGAGGCGAGTGAAGCAAAGGCTATAGGGTATGCATCTTTGTAGCAACACAAACATTTAAAGAAACAAGTTGTAGGAGTAGAAAAGATTTTCTGCTTAGTTTGTAAGAAATGTAAAACTTAGTTGCTGATTCAGTGTCCATTATTGGCTTGCTATGTAAAGGTTTCTTTCGCAGGCTGCAGTCTTTCCCCTTTCCTTGAAATTTTTTCATTTATCACTTTTGCATTTTTGTTGGATGACTGGTCTGTTATTGTTTCTCCTCATTACTTGCTTAAAAATACATTGAAATCAACCACTGATGATCACAGACATTGCATGTGCGATTTGATTGTTTTTATGGTTCAGTATGACTTTTGACATTTTCCTTCTATTGGTTCAGTTTCTGTTAAATCTTGAAGCTGTAGGCATTTACCCTTAGCGGAAGGTATTACTAAGTCTTGAAAATTAATTGTTAGCATATGATGAATGCCAATCACTAAGCCAACGTTACGTTATACCGACAAAACGTGGCCTATGGTGTTATTTATAAATTTAAATTTTTATGGATCAGATGAAAAAAAAAATGAAAAAATGATAATATGAATTCAATTCTATAGATTTAAATATAATTAAATTAAATTAAATTAAATTAAATTATACTAAAGATGAAAATTGTAAATGAATTCTATAAATCTAAACAAGCCAAACCTTTTTTATAAAAATTCTTCGCCCTTTTAGCCTTCTAAAATTATTATGTTAATGATATTTTAGAAATAAAAGTAAATGAATATTTAATTTTAAATTTATTTCAAACATAAAATTAAATTATAAATGAATCTTATCTATTTTTGAATTCATTTGTACCAAATGTGTCAAAATATTGGTTTTTGATTCACCCCAATTTGATTTGACTTTCTAACTCTACAGAAGGCGATTAATAATAAATGATATATCTGATTCTAAGTATTGAAACTTTTCCCTCAATATAAACGACGCCGTTATTAAATAGTGCCTAATTGGCTCCTTTCGTCATTCGCGTCGTTTCGAAAAATCCATGTTTTCCCCAGAGCTTGAAACGACCTTGTCTTTATATGAACCTGCAAACAGAATACTCGTGGTTAGGGTTATATTGGTAAATTAAATAAAATTAGGTATTTCAACGTTAAACTGAACCTGTCTTGCTTCTTTCTTTACTTGCTTGAAGAGAGTTGTAGTGATTTGTCACCGCAGAGGAAGGAAGAGTAAAACGAGAGCCGCTTTAGTTCAATCTTCTTTCAAGATTCGATCGAAGAATTATGGTAATTTTTGTTGTCCTGTTATATAATTCATACTTCGAGTCTTTTTCTCTTATTTTATAAATTAAACAATAACCTAATTGTTCAATTTTTCTTTTCCATTCAAATACCCTCGCTTCTCCCGGCGTGGTTTGGCGGATTGTAGCTGTTCTTTTCGTATTTCAAGGACTTGGTGGGTAGAGAAGTGACCGTGGAGCTCAAGAATGATTTGGCAATTAGAGGAACGCTCCATTCTGTTGATCAGTACCTCAATATCAAGCTCGAGAATACTCGGGTTGTTGATCAAGACAAGTACCCTCACATGGTACCGCTTTTTTCCTCGTCTCCTCTTTTCAGTTAATTAGGTGTTTGAGTGTTGGCTTGCATTGTGATGGTTTCTTGTTGGCAATAGCCTTTTTGTTATTGGGGCATTAGAGTTTTGGGTGTTTTAGGTTTGGTTTCATAAGGGCAGTCCTCATAATGTGGGAATATAGGGTTTAGACTTTGTCAAGGTCAAATGTGTTTTTGGTTTTAGGGTTTTTGGCATCTCGTGATTTCTCAATGATTGACCATTGCTTATTAATGGGAAGTTTCGGTTTTGGTGTATAGCTGGGAATTTATGAATTACTCGAGTGTCTATTTCCAGTTCTCTGTTTCTTAAATCATAGGTAATTTGGTGATTTTTGGCTCTCAGTCGCAAACTACTGGTGGAATGTTGTTGGTAAACATTAGTGCAACGTGCAAATCTCTGGTCTAGTATTTAAACTAAACATCTGAGCCACTACCTCCATGGGTCAATTTTATTCGTTTGTCTGTAGATCTCAATTTCCCTTGTATGTTGTTCATTCCAATCTCTTGCATTTTCTTAAATCGCTGTAGATTAATCTCTGCCCGTTGTTATGCTTTCTTATGGGGATTTTCTCTAAAAGTTTCACATGCCTTAGGGTTTCTTATGCAAAATTTAAAATCTTGGTATCTATGTCTGGGACTGGGATTTTCTTAAATCAGGTGTTTTAGTTATCCTTGTTGTTAGTAGCCCTTACGGCATCTATGTTGGCTGTTTTCAAGTTTCAAAATTGGTGTCCAGCACGTAAATGTCCTCCAGTATTGTGCCTTAACTTACCCATGTGGTGGAGTCGTTTATAGGGATCTGTAAAATCAATTTCTCTGGTCTAGTGCCTGTGTTGGTATTAACTATATTGGTTTCTTGTTAACTTATACTGTTTGAAAGAATAGCCAACTCACCAGAACATTTGCTCTGATCATGTATGAAAGCTTTATGTGAATGGTGAAGTTGTGAATATGATCAATTTTATGGATAAACACACATAGTGGGAGCAGTACACAAAAGAATCAAGTTGGCTTGCATTATATTGTTAAAATGGATGCTGCTTATGCAACATGTTTAAAGAATATGGATTATGTGCTATTTATATCCGATTGCATATGGGAGTTTCTTGTGAATGGTGTAAAAGATTGACATGAATATTGAGTATTCTTTTGAATGATGGCATGGAGCTCAATGTAGTCAACGGATTATGAGAAATCACTGTCACAACAAGCAAGGACTGAAGATTTATGATGGATGTATAAAAAAATATTGACAGAAAGAAAAAAAAAAAAAAAAAAAAAAAATGAAGATTTATGATGGATGCTATTAAAAAAATATGACAGGAAAGAAAAAAAAAAAAAAAAAAAAAAGAAAAGAAGGAAGGTTTATGTTGCAGTACATTGTTACGAGTTGTGCCAAAGTCTATCCTCTTGCCATCCCATTTTTTCTTTAATCTCTCTGTTGGGAGTCCTGTCCATTTGTCGAGCATGTTCATTTTGATGAGCGCATATTTTTTATTGACTACATATTTCAAAATAAGCACCCAATAATATTTGTTTATTGTTATAAATGCTAGGACACATGCTTATGTTAATGTGCTTATTATATCGTATGCATTTGGACCTATCTTGCGGATTAATACCATGCTCAACTCTTTGGTTTATTTGATAACCTTCTCAAGATAATACTCTTTGGTGATTTGCTCGTTTATGGAGTTTGTGACCCAGAACTGTTAGTTCCCTAAATCCACAAGCGGCACAATGTGAACCTCTTGGATGAAGTTGTTGGTTTTCAGTTCGCCTTTGCTGTTTCTGCAATGATATTGCCTACGTGCTCTAAAAAAAAAAAAAAAAAAAAAAAAGAAAAAGAAGGAAGTGTTTATGTTGCTAGTACATTGTACGAGTTTGTCAAAGTCTATCCTCTTTCCTCCCATTTTTTCTTTAATCTCTCTGTTGGGAGTCCTGTCCATTTGGTCGAGCATGGTTCATTTTGAGTGAGCGCATATTTTTATTGATACATATTTCAAAATAACACCCAATAATATTTGTTTATTGTATAAATGCTAGGACACATGCTTATGTTAATGTGCTTATATATGTATGCATTTGTGGACCTATCTTGCGGATTAATACCATGCTCAACTCTTTGGTTTATTGATAACCTTCTCAAGATAATACTCTTTGGTTGATTTGCTCTTTATGGAGTTTGTTGACCCAACTGTTAGTTCCCTAAATCCACAAGCGCACATGTGAACCTGATGAAGTTGTTGGTTTTTCAGTTCGGCCTTTGCTGTTTCTGAATGATATTGCTACGTGGCTCTAATTATTTTGTGTTCAATGGCAGCTTTCAGTGAGGAATTGTTTCATCAGGGGATCCGTGGTTAGATACGTTCAATTGCCTCCAGAAGGTGTTGACATCGATCTGCTTCATGACGCAACAAGAAGAGAAGCTCGGGGTGGCTGATACTTGTTTTAACTGTTGCTTCGTGTTTGTATGAACATCTCATGTAGTAATTGTTTTTGTTTAAACCAAAGCCGTCTTGCCATTCAAAATTCTGTATGCTGAAGCGACACTAATCAGTTGTTTAAATGGTGAAACATTTTTCAGTCAAGAGTTTATGTTCCATCTCCTTTTCTGATCCAAAAGCTTCTCTATCCTACTTAATATAGGTGCCTGCAAAGCCCCTCTCTATGACTGCCTCTTACGGTAGTGAGAAGATGGTGCGGGTGCCCTGTATTCCTGAAAACTTTTTGGAACTAAGGTCCTTTCATTTTGACATCTTTAGGTCCAGTGGCTGTAGCGCTGGCTAAGAATATAAAAATAACATTTGATCACTTAAAATTCACCCAAATTACACTTTTATATTATTATTCTTTTTTAAATTCTCACAACCACTATTTAAATATATTTTTTAACACAAAAATTCTTTTTATTAAAACTTGATATTTTCATAATTTTCTAGAAAATTTATTAGAAGTAATATTTTAAAAAATAGAGTACCAAAGATTAGAGCAAAATTAAAGACAACGAAAATTGTTTGTTTGTTTGTAAATATAATATAAGAAATTGTTTCCTTTTAGAGTGATACATAAATCAGATTTTTCTGCATCCTATTCTTATTTCCTTTTCAATTTCCATTGATCATTCATATTTTCCTAAATATGGAAATATAAAATATTTAGGCTAATTTCCAATTTTTCAGTGAAGAAATCATATATAATATATTACCATTTTTGAGGTTTTGAGATAGTCCTTTAAAATTATGGTAAATCATAAAAGTCATACAAAAAAAGAGTTTCGATATATACATTGGCAACTTGATTTCTATTATTGAAGGTTTTTCATGGCAGAGAATAAACGTGTAAACATTCCTGTAAGATTCTAATCTTTCTCTGATCAGTATTTTCTATATGCATATAGACATGAAGACTTTTATATTTTGTTTTGTTTTTTCAATATAGACTTGTGTTCTGAAATCGGATCTCAGTTGCTGTTCAAACCGTGCAATGAAAGTGAAGGAAAAGTTGCAGAAAACCAAAGGTACAGTATTTCTAATTAAGTTTTCTGATGAAGGGTTTCAGTATTGTTTATTGTTTATTTAATCTGCTGAGCAGGAGTGTACTATATCAACATAGACACAGAAAATGGGTTGGTGCTAGTTTCAGGGTTTGTAGATCCTCCCACAGTATTGAAGACAATTGGGAAGAATACACAGCTTTTGGCTTATGAAAAGGACTCCATCGACGCAGAGAAGAAACTAAAGAAGTTATTAAGGAGAATGAAAAAAGAAAAAAATAAAAAAGATGGTATCCAAGAAACATGTTCCTGTGATTCTGATTCCGAGGATGATGATGATGATCAAAGAAAACCTTACGATACATTTTATATGTCTAATCCAAATAATGGCATTAGAGTTAATGATCCCAGAGTTTTTGGAGGTTACAGAGATCCTTCACTTTGGTATGGAAGGCCATACTATGCAACTACGCCATATGGCTACCCAGGAATTAATTATCCTGCCAATTACAACAGGCCAAGGCCACCGCCGGCAAGGCCACAAGTGTTGTCAAATGTTTACGCTGTCTACGGTGGACAGAGAGAACCGCCGGTGGGCAACTCCCTCTACCACGCTTTCAGTGATGATAATGTTAGGGCTTGCAGTATAATGTGAGTCTTACGGGTCATAGTTGGGACTAGGATGGTGATTTAGAGGATAGAATTCTAAGTTTTCTTTCTTGAACAGAACATGAGGACTAGATATGTATACGTGTATGGCAATATAAATGCAATAATATCATAGATCAATTTTCAGCCACCATCATCTTTTTTATCTGATCAAAATTTTTGAAGAATTCATAAATGAAGAAGATAATTCTTAGGTATAATTACCATTTTATTTAATTATTTTATCTCTTTATTTTCAAAAATAGATAACTTTATATTTAACGTGTAATGTGATTTCGCACTTGCATTTTTTAGGTGTAATTACTATTTTGTCCCTATATTTATAGTATATTTTGTAGAATATATGGAAAATAGGAGTGGAAGGTCAAAGTAGTAATTGTTGATTGTGAACGTTTTTTATTTTTTTCATTGTTGATTGTGAACTTGCTTCATTTTCCTTATTTATTAACTTTTTTTTTTCTCACTCTTGAAAATCAATGAAAGATTCATTTACCTTTTTATATTTGGAAACTCAATGTTAATATTGTGACATACATGCATTGTTCATGGAAGTCAAATCTTTTCTTAATTAATCAAACGATTACTCCATTTTTTTATTTTGAAAATGAAACAATTACTCAATTAGACAATTACCAAAACAAAACACTGTTTATTTCTATAAGAACACCCTCTATCCCTTGATTTATCCATACTACAATTTGTATCAATGGAAGATAGAACTCAACTTTCTTCTGAAAATCCCAGTGTGCCGGCTCCGGTAACTCTCTTGATTCAATTATGTGTTAATTAGTTTATTCTTTACTCTTGTTTTTATATTTTTAAATTGTATTATTTGCAGAATTTTCATTTGAAAGTGAATCTCAAATGTTGCCTAGCATGTCCAAGGAAGGCAAAGAAGAAGATAGAGAAATTATATGGTTTTTATTTTCTTTCTTCTCCCTCTCTTCTTTCTTTTAATTCATAAAAAAATTTCTTAACATTTTCTTTTTTGTTTTTGCTATTTCTAGGTGTGGTTGCTGTCACCATGGACAAAGATCATGGGTTAATAGGTGTTTCAGGTACTATAGACCCTCAAATACTAATAAAACAATTTGCAAAATGGGGAAGAAAAGCAGAACTTTGGTCCCCTGTTAAGGAGTCTGGAAAAATGGAAAAACACCAAGATTGTTCTTCCCATTTTGGTGATTCTAATTCTAATGCATCCAAAAATGGCAGTAATATCAGTTGGCAACACCCCGATCTTGTTTTGAAGAAACCTGTTAGCAACCGGAAACCCAAGAAATCTTGCTGGTTTTTCAGTTCGTTTTGCAAGGGAAAAGGTGAGGAAAGATCGCAGGGTAAGGTTGAGAGTGTAAGTAGTCCAGCATTCAGGCATAAAGGAGCGAGTTCTGCTGGTAATATTAGGCCATTCATTTCAAGAATGGGCAGACCTCCTGGATATGGAGTCTATGGGCCATATGGAACACAACAACCACCACCGCCTTATAGGCCGATGGTGTATGGAGGAATGGCGACGCAACCACTACCTCTGTGCGGTTATTTGGGGTCAGAGCCGCCGCCTCCTTCACCGCAGTTTAATCCCATGATCCACTACACTAGATATGAGGACAACTATACTTATTGGTGAACTGTCTATTTTCAGTATTTTATTTTTTCAAGGTTTCCGAAGAATGATGTCATGTGTTATCTTACTTGGAAATTATATAATATTATTCAATTTCAGTTTATTTTTTTAATATTAGAGACAAATATGTTGTCAGGATGTATGTGCATTTACTATTAGACTATACTTCGATATCATTTTTTTATTATTTTTATAGTTAGAACTATCTATACATATGTACATGGTTATTCAAACATTTAATTTTAAAAAATGTAACCTAGGCACAATTTATTCAACTTTTAATCATAATGATTATGCAATTTTAAAATTTCAAATATTTATAGTGCATAGAAATTGACAATAAAAAAGAAAATATTAATTTAACCTTTAAATGTTGATGTTAATTAAATTTTTTAATTATGTAGATTTTAACTTAATTACACTACTAAAAAAATTCTTAAACCAGTCCTCGAGTGTTTGCTTCCTAGTATTACACGACAAGTCAATTATTTTAGGTGACAAGTCAAACGACTGGTATCTTTGTTCCACCTTCCACGAACAATAGATTCATTTCTTGTTTGTATGTGATTTGTTCGTTTATGTACGACATAGTTGTTTATTCTTAGACGACATCAGCATGGCTCCACCCGACAAATCCCATTATATCCGTCACAAAACGACGTCAAACTTAAAACACGGCGCTTGGATGCCAAAAGTAATTTACTGATTTATCCCGCTTTCCTTCCCTCTGTAAACTTTCCCACCTTTTGATCGCCGGTGGTTTTTCCCTCTCTACTTGGTTTTGGAGATGGAGAGTACCACATTTGTTTAAATATTCTCACCTCCAATTCTTCTTTCGACTTCCTGCGAATATAAATACCTATACGAAATATCTCCTGCCAATTTCAGCTGAATATATGGATTCAGATTCTCACTCGCCAACAAAAACCCTAACAACGAGGTTACTCTCTCTCTCAATTGCTTTGTTTACCGGGGAAAATGTTGGAAAGGAAAGGAATTTGGTATATGCTTTGTGTTTGTCTAGTTTCTCTACATCTTACGTGAAGTTTTATCTGCTGCCCATTTTGTTATTTTCTGGTTACGTTAAGTCATGAACAATATATGATTGACCGACTCCAAGTGTAGGTTATACCGTCATAGTATCATGATTGGACATTGGTTCTGTTGGATTAAATGGATATCTGAAAATCTTGCATCTATTTGCAGGCACAAATGCTCTGCATGCTACAAGCAATACAAGAAAAAGGAACATCTTGTTGAGCACATGAAGAGCTCTTACCATTCAGTTCATCAGCCAAGATGTGCAGTGTGCCAGAAGCATTGCAAATCTTTTGAATCTCTGAGAATACATCTCACTGGTATGATAGTATTTGTAGTTCATCCTGTTGTGTTTGCTAATTGGTTGTCTATAATGGCTCTTACTCTTATCATTTAGGTCCGCTCGCAAAAGCAAATTGTTCGAGGATTTTCTCTGACCGAGGTTGTGATCTTTGCTTGAAAGTTTTTGATAGCTCCAATTCTCTCAGCAAGCATAGGGAAATGTGCTGCTTGTCTGCACCTGGTTCTCTTGTAAGTTGATTTTTCAAATTTGAAGCATTGGTGCCAAAATTAAGAAACAAATCTTATTGAACTTCTGGTTTATTTTGCGAATCAAGTGAATGATAAATGGAAGTTATTGCCCTCACTTATTCATAGTCATTGGGATCTGGAACCCTCGGTTTTTTTGTTGCAGGTAACGAAGGTACCACCTTTCAAAGAATCACAAGTTTATATTTCAGTACCAGCCAAAGAAACTTATGCTGGAAAAGGTGTTGAAGCTGTTGCTATTGACTGTGAAATGGTTGGTGGAGGAAGTGATGGAACACTTAACCTTTGTGGTAGGGTGTGCCTTGTTGATGAAGATGAAAATATAATTTTTCAGACGTATGTTCAACCTCAAATTCCTGTCACTAATTATAGGTACCTCTAATCTCCTCTTCTATTTCTTTAATGAATAACAAGAGAATGAAAAATATCTTTAGGGACGGGCCTTATTCTCATTCACAACCGTACATATGTTTCAGATATGAAGTGACTGGTTTAACTGAAGAACATCTAAGAGATGCTATGTCACTTCAGGAAGTGAGAAATAACATTTTGGAAATTTTGTACAATGGAGAATCTGTTGGTAAAGTAAGGTTGGATGGTGGAAAAGCAAGGCTACTTGTGGGCCATTCTTTGGACCATGATTTGGATTGCTTGAAAATGTTCTATCCTGATCATTTATTGAGGTACGTTAAAATTTTTAATAGGTCAACTTGGCGGTTGAAGCTAATTTGTTTAATATTGTATCATAATATTAAAGAAATTTGTGATCCTTTTCTAGTGGCATTAATCACCTTTGTCCAATTTTGGCCGGAGCCCTGGAAGGAATTCTAAGATTAATGTCTCTGGCATTGTTTGAGGCTTAAGTAATATTGTTGTCCATTTTATTATAACTGGAACGTAATCATATTTCCTCATACAATTGGATGTGCATATCTTTTTCTTATGTATCGGGCATTATATTGGCATTCTAGATGGGATATGTTTTGCAGTGACTTTTCTGTAGTATCATAAATGTCTAATCTCGTTCTGAGACATTTCCTTTCACATCCTGATCATATGTGTGATCAGATTGTCATAGAGGTGGTTATTTCTGTCCCTCTTTGCTGTCTTTTTTGTGGAAAGGTTAAGCGCGTTCCAAAACCCATTGGTGGCTGGCTATCTTTAAAATTACCAGAAAAATTTTATTTATTGACAAACCTGTTTTAAGCGACCACTTTGAGACAACTTCTTTATTGAATGACAAACTACGAATGAGTGCCATTCACCTATATTATGATGGGTAAAATTAGTAAATCAATAAAGGAAATAAAGTAAGCAGCTTTTTTAGAAGTTTGATGATAGAGTTAGACATTAATCCTGGAGATGCTGATATTTGAAATAAGTAGCTGTATCTTAAGGGTAAGTTTCATTTCGCTTTTCTTCCCAGATGTGGATCTGTTACGCATGGACATAGTAGGTTGAATGACAAAAAAAAACACTATTTACTTTTGATTTGACATAAAAAAACTCTATTTCTAAGAAGTAAAGCTATACGGTTTGAAGTATTATGCTCATTTTTTTCCTGCAGTAGATTGAATTATAATTATGCAGGGATACAGCTACATATCGTCCATTGATGAAGACTAATCTGGTTAGCCATTCTTTGAAATACCTCACGCAAACATATCTAGGGTAAGTTACTCTTCTTTTTTGGTTTATCACTCCCTATTTTTAATTCTTCTCTGCTACCTAAGTGCAAACATATATCTTTTGCTTTTTCCAATTAAAATTCTTGAAAGAATGAATTTAAACATTGTCTTATGCACTCTGATTCTAAAATACTAAATTTTTAGTCCCAGGATTTCTTAAGGAGATGGGCAAATCGTTCTCAATTCAAAGCAGAAAGACTGGAAACAATATTCCTAGAATAGACTACGTGCCGCTTATATGTCGTTCTCTGTTTGCAAATAACTGTTGGCAGAATTTGAGAAACATCATATCCTACTCTTCACATAGAGCACTACATTACTTTATCTCTTTCGTATTTTTATTTTTATTTTTTTGGCAACTAACAATTGTAATTTTCTGAGAGTCTGACAAAGATCATACTCTTCCTTTCCCCTGTATCTATATCTCAGGGACCTTGGTCATGCAATCTATATAAATCACATTATTGGTTTTGTGATCATAAACATTTTGCTTCACAGGTATACTATTCAGACCGGGGTACATGATCCATATGAAGATTGCGTATCTGTGGTGAGATTGTACAAGAGAATGCGCGACCAAGATCATCAGATGGTGGAAGGATCAGAATTGCAAAGTACCTGGGGTGGTTTCGACTTTTGGAAACTTAGGGAACTTGAGAAAAAGACACCAGATGAGCTATATGAGATCTCCAGATCAAATTACAGATGTTGGTGCCTGGACTTGAAAGCCAGCAATCCGGCTTAATGTGCAACATGCTTACTATGTAGAAAAACATCAGTGTCAAAAAAAAAAAAAAAAAAAAAAAAAAAAAAAACAGCCCAGCCCCTCAAATCCGGGCCGTTAATGTGCATTACATGCTTACCTATACTATGTTAGAAAACAAAGTGTCAAAAAAAAAAAAAAAAAAAAAAAAAAAAAAAAACCAGCTGTAATTCTAAAAAAAAAAAAAAAAAAAAAAAAAAAAAAAAAACCAGCTGTATTCTCCTGACTGACCTGCATCTTTCCAAGTAAATGATGTAAATGGTTGTGTTTATGTTTTAGATTTCTTGGTCAGGTCCTGTTTGCTGCTTTCTAAGCGCAATTATGATGGTATATGACCTATTTTGGCAGGTTGCAAGAGCTCCCAGAATCATGTATTATATTGAATATTAAACGGCGTATGGAAATTAAAATTCTATCTAAGCAAAATATTGATATATTTACAATAATTAATTTCTTGCAAAATTAAAGAAATAAATTAAATATAACAGAAATTTAGTTTATATCAAATCCTTAATAGTTGCAAAATCAAGGAAATTAAGGAAACTAATTAATGCTGATATCACATTCTAATAATATATATGATTTATAATATTATTTTATAGATAAAAAAATAACAAAAATTATATCTTATTATTAATTTTATACATTTCAAAGTATATTTATACCATGAGGATTTAGGGGGACCATGGCCTTGGCCCTTGGGTCTGTATAAGAATCAGAAGCAATAATAATATCTGGTACAAGTGAAGCTAGGATAATTATTTTAGAAGGGCTAAATGAAAAGTTTTTAAAACTTTTAGGAAGTTAAATAAAATTTTTCAATATTTTAAGGATTAAAATCATTTTTCATAAGAAAATTAAAAAAAAAATGTTTTTTTGGGGGCCAAAGGCCACTTAGTCCCTAAGGTAGGCTTGGCCACGGTTCCAGAACCGGCGGTTCCGGTTCCGGAACCGGCGGTTCCGGTTCCGGAACCGGCGGTTACGGTTCCGTTCAACGGTTCCGGAAAAAATTGGGAACTGGAACGAACCGAAGAGGTCCGGTTCCGGTTCCAGTTTGGAACCGTCCGGTTCCGGTTCAGGTCCGGTCCGATCCGGTATAAAACCGACGGTTCCGATCGGTTTTTCGGCGAATCGCATAATTTTAAATCTTTAAATTTTGAAGACCGGTTTAAAAAAAAAATTATTGAACATAAAAATTAAAAAATCACCTAAAAAATTAAAAATACTTCAATTAAATTAATTTTTTTTAAAGACTTTGAAACATAATTATTTTTTTTAAAAAAAATTTTCAACTTGAATTTAATTTTTTGTTTTAAAAAAAAGCTTTGAACATAATTAAATTTTAAGACTGGTTTAAAAAAAAAAAATATTTGAACATAAAAATTAAAAGATAACACCTAAAAAATTAAAAAAAATTCAATTAAATTTATTCTTTTAAAAACTTTAAAAATTTCTCACAAACAAAATTTTAAAAAAAAAAAAAAAACACTGACAGTTTGGCCTTAAGAAACCGCCGTTCGAACCGGGTTCGAACCGGCGGTTCTAAACCGGCCCGGAAACCGGCGTTCCAGTCCGGTTCCGACCGGTCTCTGGAACCGCCGTTCCGTTCCAGCAAAATTTGGAACCGGAACCGAACTGGAATTTTCCGGGTTCCCGGTTCCGGTTCGGCCCCGGTTCCCTCACCGGTTCCGGTTACGGTTCCGGACCGGCTCGAACCGACGGTTCCGGTTCCCGGAACCGTAATATGGCCATCTCTACCCTAAGGGAGCTCCGCCTATCTGGCAGCGAATCATAAAGGTTCATAGGACTGATCAACTGTTGTTAAAACCTAGAATTCATTTTCAGAAGAAAATTAAAAACACTTGGAACGGACAAGAAAATGGCTTTGTCACATATGGTAATTATGATTATGAGACAATGGATGATTTGTTAACCCATCGTTAATCTTAAATTTGTGCGTTTAATGATTTAATGCTCCATAATTGACAGGGAATAATATTCTGTGTGTTTCAATTGGTCAAAATACTTGAATTTTACGGTGATGCCCCTATCCCACCTCTTAAGCTTGACTTTGCTTTCAACGGTCAACACGCTAACAGTGGGAAAGCAACGTAATCACTTCGCAATTAAGTATAAACACATAGTACTTAAATTTTCTTTTGTCTTCGCTTTTCTTCTTCTTCTTCTTCTTCTTCCGTTCGCTTCTCTCTCCATGAAATTGTATGCTGTTGCCCTAATCCAGAAGCAAAATAAGTAAGTAAACAAAAAGGATGGCGGTTTCGCTGCAGCAGCCGAGTCAGCAAAGTCTATGGGACTGGGTCCTCGAACTCACCAAGTCCGCTCAGGACAAAAACAGCGACCCGCTCCTCTGGGCCATTCAGCTCAGCTCCAGACTCAACTCCGCTGGAGTTACTTTGCCGTCGACCGAGTTGGCACATCTGCTCGTCTCTCACACCTGTTTCGAGAATCACGTGCCGATCATGTGGAAGTTCCTCGAGAAGTCATTGGCTCTCAAGATCGCTCCTCCTACTCTTGTCCTCGCTCTTCTCTCTACCAGGTACGTTACTCACTTTTTGGCCGAAGTGCGCTCTTTTTTTTTTCTTCTACTGCTATTTTGGCTTTTTAAAAAGTATTTCTACGTATTTAGCTGTTGTTGTTAGAAATTTGCTCGTTTTTAACAATTGAATGCTGTATGAATTATCTACATAAGAAAAAAAAAGGTCGCTTAGTTATCATTTTATATTTTTTATTATTGGCTATACGATTGTGAATGTGCTCGTAGTCTACGGATATGTGTAAAACAGCGAGTATGTTTTCTTTAGTCCTTTACTTGGTATATTATGCTATAATTGAGTGCTTTCTTCTGTTGCTTTTTTCATGTAATTTTTGTCCTTCTTATGTTCAGCTGAATGGCGTTCCTTTATTTTGACCTATATGCATCACTTAAAAGCATAGTTTTTTCTTTATTCTTGTTTGTGTTTCTCCAGCCCATTCCTTCTTTGATTTTTTTTTTTTTTTTTTTTTTTGCTACAGGGTATCCCAAATCGAAAGCTTTCACCCACTGCAAATATTTTTTTTTTTTTTTTTTTTTTTGTGCTACAGGGTGATCCCAAATCGAAAGCTTCACCCAGCTGCATACAGGCTATATTTGGAACTCGTGAAAAGGCATGCTTTTTCGTTTTCATCTCAAATCAACGGACCAAACTATGCAAAGTAAGCTTTAGTTATTTTATTTCACAGCAGAAGATTTTCATAATTGGCATCGTTTTCCCATTGAATTTCAACTAGTATATCATCAGGTTTGGTCACAATGTATTGCTGGTCACCACTAATTGTGTAGAACACGCAATGGACCCATATTTACTCATACATCATAAATGAAGCTAGAAAGAGAAATGGGGAATATTAAGAATAAGAATTTGGATTTAGGTTGCTTAACCTGAGAATTAAACTGCCATTCAAAGGGGCCCTTTTGTGGAACTTCTTCGTGATTAGTTCTGCACATTGTTGATGATTTGTTTCTGCCAAACTTTGTGCAAATATTGGAAATAATGACTCTTAAAGTCTGTAGCTGAACATGATCATTTGACAAAGATTATTATCCATCAAAAGTATGTTTAGCTTAGGCTCTACTGTGCTATGAGTGATGCTTGTTTAAGGCATCTTTTCACTCCTGTAAAAGTTGATGGCTCTCTCAAGTAGTTCCATTGGCTGTATAAAGTATAAACCATATAGTGCCTTACAAAAGTAATTAGAAGCTAGAACCAACTCTTTTAATGTATAATTGGTCAGGCTGTTATGGTCAAATGGGTGGCTTATCTGTTCACTTACTGTATAAAGGTCTAAAGGCGAACAGCCAACCACAAATTCATTCTGAAATCGACTTTGAAGTGAATCTACTTTTTGGGCTCTTACGTGTTAGTTTTGGTACCAATATGGTGGCAGCAGTAATATCTTCGACTTCTTCTTGTTTAGGACTTTGCATCTGCAGAAACAGAAATAATTTGTGCCATTTTCTAAGTTTGCATTGGCTAGTTAGTTGCATGATAAAGATATGAACACTGGAAAACCATTTTAATTTGTAATTTGTTAATCGTTTAATGCTTGTTTCTGCAATTTAGTTCTCTTCTTATGACTTCCAAAAATATCAACATTTCTTTGGTGCAATTACAGGATTATGAAATTGACTGATGACGCTCTCCATCTTTCCCATATATTTGGCCTTCAAGTGTGTAAACCTGGGCTTATTCTGGTTGAGTTTGTCTTTTCAATGGTCTGGCAGTTACTTGATGCATCATTGGATGATGAAGGGTTACTGGATCTTACCTCAGAAAAGAAATCTAGATGGTTGACCAGTCTGCAAGATATGGACATAGATGGTCATGAAAGCTTTGGTGAGAAAAGAAATGAGCATAATGAGGGGCTGAAAAGTGCAAATACCACAATGGCTATTGAACTAATTGGAGAGTTTCTGCAAAACAAAGTAACTTCAAGGATTCTCTACTTGGCACGTAAAAACATGTAAGAATTATATTTGGGACTTTATTTTATTTTATTTTTATTGTAACTTTGGGGTTTGACTTTTCCTCTGATTGGAGATAAGAGTGAAAAAAAGAGCTTTTATTAACTTTTTATCTTCAACCTGAAAAATGCCTCATGGGTGTATTTTTGCAATTTACTGAACCATGAGAATAAGCCTGTAGTAGAAATTGGAGAAACATATTTCAACAAAATGTAATTAATGCAGGATTCTCTTATCATTCTTAGGTCCTCACACTGGCGCGGCTTTATTCAGAGAGTGCGACTGCTTGCAGCACATTCGGCAGCCTTGAGGAACTCAAAACATATAACTGCAGAGATACTTCTGCAGTTGACATCTGATACACGGCAGCTTTTGTCTGGGGATACCAAAAGAATATCACAGCAAGATTTTCATGCTGTCATGTCTTCCAGATCTCTGATATCTTCTGCTGGTCAATGCCATGGGGCTAGTTGGTCTGCGCTTTGGCTTCCAATTGATCTGTTTCTAGAAGATGCTATGGACGGATCACAAGTGGCAGCAATCAGTGCTGTAGAAAATCTTACTGGTACATGTCAATACTTGCGTTTTGATGCTTGAATATAGCCTTAGTTGAAGCTGATAGGCAGTTCATCTTCTGGCAATATTATTAATCCAGACTTAATATTGCAGGTTTAGTCAAGGCTCTGCAAGCAGTCAATGGTACCACATGGCATGATACTTTCTTAGGTCTGTGGATGGCATCTCTACGGCTTGTTCAACGGGTAGGGACTTGTGCCAACTTGTTAAAGAGATTAATCCTCTTTGGGGCATCACATAAAATCATGGTTGGAAGGATATTCTTTAAAAAAATTATCTATTACAATGCTTTTAAAAGCATTTTCTTGTTTTTCTTTTTTATAAAGTAAGATATTTTGCGTTTGACTTGCAAGTTGCTTGCTATAAGTTCTTTTTACAAACTAATTGTGTATTGGTTGAAGGTAAGGAAGATATGCAGTGTAGTGTCATGATGCATTTCAAACTCTCTGTATGGATTATGTTTGATTTAGTTCTCAATTAAATGATCCAGTTACATAAGAAAAAAATATGCAATAAGATTTTAAAGGTTGCACAATTTTCAATGTTGTTCTGGAATTTTATGCACATGTGTATGTGTGTTACACACACACCATTCCAGACTGACTTTCATATTTTTGTTCCTTTTTTCTAAGTGTTTGTCCATTTGTGGCCTTTTAGGAAAGGGAACCCAGTGAGGGTCCTGTACCTCGCCTCGACACCTGTTTGTGCATGTTATTGTGTACTACAACACTTGCAGTAGCTAATATCATTGAGGAAGAGGAAGGTGAACTCATTATGGAAACTGAATCCAACCCTACTGACCAAATGAAAGAAAAGCAAGGTCTTGGAAAATGTCGCGAGGGACTCATTACAGCATTACAGTTGCTAGGCGATTATGATAGCTTGTTGACGCCTCCTCAGTCTGTCAGTTTAGTAGCTAATCAAGCTGCTGCTAAAGCTATGCTGTTTATCTCAGGTGTCACCAGTGGCAATAGCTATTACGAAAGTATGAGCATGAATGACATGCCTATGAGCTGTTGTAAGTGATTATAGTCATCACCCATTGAAATTTCTATTTAATTGGAGGTTTTACGCTGTTAAAGAAGCAAGAAAGGTCTGATAATGTTACTGTACATTTCCAGTGTTACCTTCTGCCTACCAAAAAATTTTGGTGCAGAAAGCCATTTTACTTTCTCAAGAAATCCGACCATATATGTCGACTTCATTAAAATTTATGTAGGATTGTCTTTCTCTTCTCAGAAAAAGATCATTTTGATTATTTTATTATGTTTATATTGCCGGGTGGTCTTGCCTTGATTTGACAAGACTGGTGAGAAGCCTTTCTTCTCTCTCTCCATCTCCACCTACCAAAGTACCACTTCTTTCAACATCCTTTTGGTGTCCCTTTGCTTCTGACTTTATGAGGGTCCAGGAGTGTGAAATGAGTTAATTTTTCCTTCTCCTGATCACACTTGCATAATTTATTGTCTTCCCTAACTATTGTCGCATGTTTACAGCTCTTTTGATGACTTCTCCTGTTATAACTTTGTAATAATTTGTTGTTTGCCCATGATGCTTGTTGATCCTCTTTTCTTTGTTATTTAGCAGCTGGAAACATGAGGCACCTGATTGTTGAGGCTTGTATTGCTAGATTTCTGTTAGATACATCAGCATATGTTTGGCCAGGGTATGTGAATGCACACTCCAACCAAATACCACGTGGTGTTCTTGGCCAAATGCCTGGCTGGTCGGCATTGATGAAGGGGTCACCTCTAACTCCCTCGATGATAAACACTTTGGTGGCAACCCCAGCTTCCAGGTGAGCTGCCAGTTGTATGTTTTATTAACTAACTACAACTATTATGCGTCCCACCATGTCCCCCAGCTCCACCCCCCAGTTAAAAGATGGATGGTAATTTTTATTGTCCGATCAAACAAGATAGCAGACTGTCAGTGCCAATATGACACGATAAGCAAGTTCTTTGTTGTGGTTCACTAGTTGCTTAGCTTTGAATGCAGTTGTTTAAAAGATTGTGGATCAGTGAAAGAGGTAAGAAAAATTTTAAACATGGGTTTGAGTTTCTAAAACTCAGAGATTACAGGGTTCTCTCAACAAGCTCTAAGTGATTCCAGGGTTCTCTCTTATTGAGCCCTAATTCTATCGTTAAATTCTATCAAATACTCATAACTAGATCCAAACTTGGGACCCTAATAGGGTAATTTAGAAATTGAGTCATATTTGGTGGAAGGACAATAGAGGATAATTATCAGTTGTTTCCATAGGAGTATCGCCCAATTATGTAAATGGGTCTGCAAAAATGTCCTTAGAATTATTAGAGAATCATTAGTGTACCCTGATATTGCACTATAGCTTTTAAAATTGTAGGCCATTTTGTGTTTATTTTGTGGCCTAGTGCTGTGAGGTCTGGTTCAGGATGTGAATTTGTTTTCTTTCTCAATTTAGTTTATGCTGGGACGCTGCTGTTGGTTGTTTGTGAAGTTGAGTCTGGCCTTTATAGTTTATATACTATGCCTAATAGTCAAAAATTTCAAATGAATGGATTTGCAGTTGAAATCATTTCCCGTTTGCCATAATATCATTATTAAATAACATATACAAAAGAAAAGATTCATATTCAGACTGTAATATAACACATAAAGGCAATAGATGTGTAATTAGTGAAACTACTCCCTAATTTCCTAACTATGACCTGGTCTTCAGTTACACCATTCTTTTTCCTGAAGCCAGGTATATCAGATGCTCTTTTTTGTAAATTTACCAAGTGGTATGGCAACTGAATTTAAGCTCATGGATTTGATGGAAGTTTACCAGAGATCGAGAAAGTATATGAGATTGCACTCAATGGCTCTAATGATGAGAAGCTATCTGCTGCTACCATTCTTTGCGGAGCATCTCTTTCTCGTGGTTGGAATATACAGGTAATGGTTTGGACGTCATGTAGCTTCTGAGTATCTGTCTTATTTTCTTCGCCCGGCCCCCCACTCGATATCATTGTTATTTTATATGGTATCTGTCTGTTACTTGCAGGAACATACCATTCTTTTCATTATAAAATTGCTATCACCACCTTTTCCTGCTGATTACTCTGGGAATGACAGCCACTTGATTGATTATGCTCCACTTTTGAATATTCTTCTTGTTGGACTATCATCTGTGGACTGTGTGCAAATTTTATCCTTGCATGGTTTGGTAAGTTTGAATATTTAACAATGTGTTCTTTTACTGACTGGTTTGAGTGTGTGTTTAAGAAAAGGGAAGGACAATAATAAACCAAGCTCATAAGAGAAATCTGATAAAAATTGATTCATTCATAGAGTTACCCTCTTTTTGAAATTGTTGTCTTTTGTGTGCCAATGAAGAATGCAGTGATGCTTGTATTCAAGAACATGAGAAAATTTATGTAAAGGGCTTGTAGATGTTAAATAATGGATATCAAGCTGTGAAAATGAATGAAAAAAAATATTTAGGACTTATTATCATTAGCTAATGATTTTTTACATTTATTGTCAGGTTCCACTACTTGCTGGTGCATTGATTCCCATCTGTGAGGTCTTTGGTTCAAGTGTTCCCAAGGTCTCATGGACTCTCCCATCAGGGGAAGAAATAACTTGTCATGCCGTGTTCTCCAATGCATTCTCACTTCTGGTGAGATTGTGGAGATTTCATCATCCGCCTCTTGAGAATGTGACAGGAGATAAAACACCAGTGGCCTCCAAATTAGGTCCTGAGTACCTTTTGGTGGTACGGAACTCCCAATTAGCATCCTTTGGAAGTTCACCTAGGGATTTCATCAAAAGTAGGAGATTTTCAAAAATTTTAAATATATCTCTAGAACCCATATTCATGGATTCTTTTCCAAAATTGCAACTTTGGTATCGGCAGCATCTTGAATGCATCGCTTCCACATTTTCTGGTCTTGTAAATGGTACCCCTGTTCACCAGCTTGTTGATGCACTCCTCAATATGATGTTCAAAAGGATAAATAGAGGTGGTGTTCAGTCTTTGACTTCTACGACATCTGGTAGTAGTTCATCAGGCTCTGGAGCAGAGGAAGCTTATGTTAGACTTCAAGTTCCTGCTTGGGATATCCTAGAAGCAACTCCTTTTGCACTTGATGCAGCCCTGACAGCATGTGCCCATGGAAAATTATCCCCCCGTGAACTAGCTACAGGTTTGTAGAAATGGCTTAAGAAAGTATTCTTACATCAAGTTCAATCTTTAATGGACGAAAACAATTTAAATTTCTCAAAAAAAAAAAAAAAAAAAAAAAAAAGTATTCTTAATCAAGTTCAATCTTTAATGGAACGACACAATTTAATTTTCTCAAAAAAAAAAAAAAAAAAAAAAAAGAAAGGACATAAAAAAAAAAAAAAAAAAAAAAAAGAAAGGACATATTCGGGGCATAAACCTATGAATTGATAGAAAATTTGAAGTATAACAAGGAGCTTTGGAGAAAAGAATACTGTTGAGTTCTAAGAAAAAAAAAATGTACTGTAGGCACCAGTGCTGAATGTTTTAATTGTTATATGCATTTTTCTAATCTATTTTGTCCTATCCCTTGCAACGCAGGACTCAAGGATCTTGCCGATTTTCTACCTGCATCTTTGGCTACTATAGTCAGCTACCTTTCAGCTGAAGTTACACGGGGCATATGGAAGCCAGCTTATATGAATGGAACTGATTGGCCTAGCCCTGCTGCCAATTTATCCACTGTTGAACAACAGATAAAGAAAATACTTTCTGCCACTGGTGTCGATGTCCCAAGCCTTCCTGTAGGTAATTAAATGTTCAGATGGATTATTGTTTTTCTTTTTTAAAGTTTGGTTGAGGGAACTTTCTTTATTAATTGATGAACCGTCTTTCAAGCTCCTTTAGATGTGGTTTATACATTTCGGAGATCTATAATCATATTCTTAAGTTTTAGATTCTGATTTCCATCCATATGTTAGACATGTATATCCAATTCATGCCATGCAGTTGGAAGCAATATGTGAATATGCTTTAAAGTTTTGCACAAAAAAAGCTCATGCCTGATTTAGATTGAGGAAAAAATCACAAAAGATACATTTCCAAACACCAAACTGAAAAAAAAAAACAAATAAATAATGCAAGGGCTCTAAAGTTGTTTCTTCTTGCAGGGGGGAACTCTCCAGCTACTCTTCCTTTGCCTCTAGCTGCCCTAGTAAGCCTTACAATCACTTACAGACTTGATAAAGTGTCTGAACGACAACTTGTCCTGATTGGCCCGGCCTTGAATGCCCTTGCTTCTAGTTGCCCCTGGCCATGCATGCCCATTATAGCTGCTTTATGGGCCCAGAAGGTAAAGCGTTGGAGTGACTTCCTTGTGTTTTCTGCCTCTAGTACTGTCTTCCACCATAAGGGTGATGCTGTTGTTCAGCTACTGAAGAGTTGCTTCACAGCCACTCTAGGTTTTTCTGCCCCTCACATTTCTAGTAATGGAGGTGTTGGTGCCCTTCTGGGCCATGGCTTTGGTTCTCACTTTGTTGGTGGTATCTCTCCTGTTGCACCTGGATTCCTTTACGTGAGAGTGCATCGTTCTCTCAGAGATTTTGTGTTCTTGACAGAAAAAATTGTATCTATTCTAATGCATTCTGTTAAAGAGATTGCAAATAGTGGGCTGCCTAGAGAGACCGTGGAGAAATTGAGGAAGACCAAGTATGGCATGAGGTACGGACAAGTTTCTCTTACTGCAGCGATGATGCGTGTCAAGCTTGCAGCTTCTCTTGGAGCTTCTTTAGTTTGGATATCAGGTGGATCGAGTTTGGTTCAATCTTTAGTGAAAGAAACTTTACCCTCTTGGTTTATATCAGGCCATTCATTAGAGCAAGAAGATGCAGAATCTGGAGGTCTAGTAGCCATGCTTAGAGGTTATGCGCTTGCATACTTAGTGGTGCTTAGTGGGACATTTGCGTGGGGTATAGACTCAGAATCACCAGCATCAAAACGCCGGCCGATGGTTCTTAGTTGCCACTTAAAATTTATTGCAAGTGCACTAGATGGGAAAATATCGCTCGGTAGTGATTGGGCCACTACACGAGCATTCGCAACAGGAGTTTTGAGCTTGATGGTGGCTTGCACGCCAAAATGGTTAACTGAGGTCAATGTCGATTTATTGAAGAGACTGAGTAAGGGATTGAGGCAATGGAATGAGGAACAACTTGCTCTAGACTTGCTAGGACTTGGTGGAGTTGGTACAATGGGTGCAGCTGCTGAACTTATTATTGAAACTGGGTCATAATCCTTCTCTGCAGATATAGCTAGTAGTAGGTTTGATACCTAGAAGTAGTAGGTTTGATACCTAGAATATATCAACTCTATTTATTTATAATTTTCTGTTAAATCATACCACATGTAAATTGAAATATCATATAGTTTTGTATAAGATAATAGGATTTGTTTTCTATAGACACATTTCATATGTAGTAAATTTTGCTTTTGTTTCGTTTTCTTGACCCTAATGATTGTATTTGTAGATTAAGATTGATACAAAACCAAAGATGTCTTGACCTAAAATAAAACATTTTTACGCTTGTGATCTGCATCCACGAGGCTTATACATTTTTACATATTACTATTTTTACATTTTAGTAATAATTTGCGAAATACAATTAGATAATAAAAAAAAAAACGTGAGAATAACTTTCGATTATAAAAAAAGGTAATTACTATTTTATAGTCTTAATCTCAATCCTGTCACAGTGCCGCTCAACTTCAATCGGTGACTATTGGGTCTGTAGATTTTGCGCTCTAGCCTTCCAAGTCGAAAATACATAGAGGAGGGAATGAAGCGCGAATAAAATAAAAAGCGACTGGAAAGACTTTTTTTCTTTTGTTTTTCTTTTCTCCTCCTGATGATAAAGAAATGGAAGCAAATGTGTTCAGGTTGACATGGTCAATCCCTCTACCATCGCCTTCCTCTCTTCCTCAAGTGCGCGCCTTTCACTTTAAGTCCGGGAGGCCAGCCGGTGCAGGTTAGTCCCTACACACTCGCTTTTAACCGTTAAACCGTGTTTACGTGATATTATTTGCTCCTACTTCAACTAAACTGGAAAGCACTTTTGATTTTGGCCCAGTTTTGAGGAGGAGCCAAGCCAAAGAAGAGCCAATTCTTGAAGGATTGCCAAAGGAGTATTATGATGAGCCACTTCTTGAAGGAATGCCAAAGGAGTATTATGACGATGTACGTATGGATTTCTCTCCTTTTAATTGATAAAGTTTTGTGCTTGGTTTTGTTTATTTTTCTGAATCAGATATCGCGATTTGCTAATTCCTTTTCATGGGTCTATTCTTGACTTGTCCTTTTTATCTTCCAAATATTGTATCGTATTGCTATAAATTCTGTGCCAATGAGAAGAAATTTATTGAGAAGAAATTTAATTTTATGTTATAATTACTTTTCATGTATTTTAAGCTTCATAGCCTAAGATTCAATTATAAGTTATAAATCTAGATATTTGTATGTCTTGAAAGTGGTCTGGAAAAATGTTCTGACTATGGAACTTTGCCCTTTTCCGGGTTATAGCGTTAACTTGGAACTTGTGCGTTTAGTCTCGGGTTAACAAAATGAGGAGTTAAGGATGAGAGTTTAGTCTCAATCATTTGTGTAAAACTCAGGGCATTTCATTGCAATACTGCAGTGGCTATTAATGTATAAACAAGTTTGTTGTAATTTGGAATCCATTTGGTTTGTTTAATCACATAATATCAATTCTCTTCTCTCATCCTTTAAAAAGAATTCTTTGAATTATGAATATCTTGCTTGAATAGGTAATCAAACTATTTGTCTTTAAATGGATATTAAGACACTATTTGTGCATGTGCTGCATATTTCTGAAGATATAGTTACTTTCTTATATCATTTAAAAGTTGCCTTTTACAATATACTGGCTAGGAATGGCAAGCCGAACAAAGGAAAAAGTCTAAGGAGTTACAACGCCGCCGCCAAATCGAAGATGAAGAAGAAGAAAGAAAGATTGAAGAGTATCGTGAAATTGGTTTACGGTTGAAGGGATATCCAGAAGAAGATGTTAAGAAAGCAAGAAAATTGGTTTCAAGCTTTATAAGAGCAGAAGAAGAAGTGGAAGAGGTAATCAGCAATCACAAATGAAGAACTGATGTGAATCAGCTGCAATTATTTTTCAATTGAAAAACTTTAGGCTTTAAAATTATGAGAATGTGATAAATTTAAATTATTAATGCCCCTGCATGTAATGTGCATTGTATTCAGACAACTTGAACAAAATGGACCAATAGGTAACTTAGTAGTTAGAACTTCTTCTAGCTTGGCATGGACATTTAGAAACAGTTTGGATTACAGAACTGAGAGAAAAGTATAAATCTATGTTAAGGTAACAAGGAAGAATTTGTTAAGGTTTTCACCTTATTACTTAAGCTGTGGTTCTACAGGTTTTCCATGAGCATCCTTAATGTTCTTTGACTGCATATTCTGGCAACAGGCTATAGTTTTGACTTGGTTCTTGTAGCAGCGGATAGGAATCCTTTTTTGAAAAATGATCCTCCAAAGTGGTTCATGCTTTCTTTGTCATCCTTGTGGAGGATCTTTTTATGTTCTTGGCATTGCGACAATTTATTTTTCTGTTTTCATCCTCAGGAACTTTTCTCAGCATGATGATTTGAGTGAAAATTAAACCTGATGAATGATGAATGTTCTTATCTGTTTTGAACTTGATTTTGTGCAGAAAATTGAGGAAGCTGCAGAGAAAGGAGAACTAAATGAACTTGTTCTAATGGTCATATGGAACCGCCTTGATCTTGCTCGACGTGATGTTAGTGAATTATATCATGCTTATTATCTCTCTAGGAATTGCCATCATAAAAAATTGTTGTTTGGAGATATAACTTATGTAAAGAATGAGATCTCATGAGTGTTAGTGAATGATAACCTGATTTATGTCAAATTTGAGGCCCAGATCATGCTGGTATTAAATATATGTGCATTTTCATGAGTGCTTTCTTGCGTACTGACGCATTGGTCAATTTTTTCCAGGATGAAAAGGATGCTGTTAGAAGCCTTGATCTTTTATACAGAAGGGTTGAGGTATCCTCCAGTTCAGATTACAAGCACCTTCTGGCACGAATCAATTTCATTGTGAAATTTGCTAATTTGTTTTACTTGTCTACATGTCTAAAGAACTTCATAAGAAACTTTATTTTCATGATTGAGCTGCCCTGTGAAGCTGCCAGTCCAGTGTTCTTATGGACTTGATGTTTGGTTTTATATGTTCTTGTCTAGTGGAGTTAGATTGCATTGTTTATATGCTAATACTCTCTTGAGAGTGGGCCATAGTACAATAGTAAGGTTGCTCCTTTGGGGCCACAAGTCAAGAGTCATATGAGAAACAGCTTGTTTATAGAAAAGCAGGGGGAAGGCAGTATAAATAAATAACTGCCCTGGGGATTTAATTCAGGTTTGTTTTGCATGTGTTTTTTTCTGTCTTTTATCTGCTAGTGGTGCCTACTGCACAATATAGTGTGTTTAATTCATTAAAATGGCAGCTGTTGCAGTGTTTTAAACAGTTTTATCATGCACTGGAGTGTTTGAAATAGTTTTATCATTCATTTTTAAGGAGGAAAGATTGATTCCATGTTGTACTTGCATTTCAGATGGAGATTTTGAAACGAGAGGCTACTCCTGCCATGAGATTGCTGAACGATCTTTTGAATATGCATGATGGTTTTGACGATGAAGGATGGCTGAAAGAATGCAAAAAATGCATGATTGATACCTTTCCGCGTGAAGATCCATTCAGCATTCTTGTTCCGGCAGGGTTTGACATTGATAAGGTATGTTATGCTAGGCATATCGCCCCTTAATTTAACATTGCACATAGTTTCTATGTTTCAAACATATTAAATCATTAAAATGGCCAAATTTCTTTTTTCAATCAGCATCAAGGGCCATTGCAACCACCACTAGAAGCAGATGATGTTCTTTTGAGGGTAGATTTTGTAAGGGAGGTTGATGCTTTGCTCCAGGAAGTTCGGCATGAGCCAAGTGAAGAACAGAATATAGAAGGGTTTGATCCTGAATCTGTTGCAAGCAAGCTGAAGCAACAAGAGAAGCAACGAACAATTAGGAAAGTAGAAGCTCTGCTAGACCTAGCTATTAATTTAAAATGGTAACCATGTACTTGGTCCTCCCTTTATTGTTAGAATAGAGCTTTGCTTTATTCATAGAAAATTCTTTCTTGATTGAAGCTGTATATTTTACTATAGTATTTTGAGCCTAACTCCATTTGCCAAGTTTGCTTCTTATTACTCCCATTAACAAGGGAATCTTTTCCCTCGATTGTAAACCACATGACAACCGTCCCTGTTATGTGCAAGCTGCTCATGCACACGTCATTTGTATTTTTTTGCTTCAATTAACAACACTGAAAAGTGAAAACCAGCGAAAGAAAATGAGAAAACAAAGAAAAATTGAAACATATGGATTTGTCATCTTGTGAAAACGGACTCATAGTAAATATACAATAATTGCAAAAGCATCAATTCCTTTGGAAAGAGAATAGTACTTGAAATTTCTTAGTGGCATTATTCTACAAAAGCTCGAATCATATAATTACAAAGTTGGCACTAACAGAAACTGAGCAAGAGGGAAGACACTAACTACCAGTGCTTCTGGCTTCAAACAATATGCAGCTGTGAGATTTCATTCCATAAACAATTAACTCTGCCATCTGCTCAACAACTGGTTCACCATCATTTGAAAAGAAACCTGGGAATGGAAGAGCAGTATCAACCAAACGAAGCCATGTCATTCCTTCAGGAAGCTGGGGTAGAATAACACTCTCTGACTGGTCAGCAGCATTAAAGGCCATGAATAGATTACCAGAAGACTTGGTCCTCAACGTCATTGCCAAGAATTTGCAGGACGGATCTTCCCATCTCGGTGGAGATTGGTCAGTTCCATACCAATCAATATTTTCTTCCTTCAAGAAGTTCCTTTTTTGAAGAACATCACTCCACCGTGTTCTCAATGAACTCAAAAATGAGATGAACTGTGTCATCTGAATACCAAAACCTGTTGACAGTGAATTCCAATCAAAAGGTTTCCTATCACCATATGAAATGGAACCGCCAGAAGATTGACCACACTCATCTCCCATGTTAAGAACAGGAACACCCAATGAAACGTATAGAATAAATAAATAATTACGGATTTGTTTAAGTCGTCTTTCAAGGACAGGAATTTTGTTTGTAGGTCCTTCTTCCCCACAATTCCAACATAACTCTGAGGCTAGTTCATCACTGCTAAAGCTGACCAAGTCTACTAGAGGAAGTCCAGAATTCCTGGCAATAAAATTGAAAGAAAAAGCCGGGCCTCGTCCACTTGAAAAGATGTCTCCACTTCCACAAAGCCGTGTTGCAAGGTCACTAAGAAGACTTTCACCTCTCAAAAAGTTTCTTACATCAGAACGAAATTTTGTATTTATCTCTGCCCATCTTTTCCAATGAGGTAGGCAAATTTCCTCTGGTGTCATGTCTTCAGGGTCCCAGCAATCTGCAATAATTTTGGTATTTGAAAGTAAAGGATCAAAGGCTATTGCTTCAACCAAGGGAGGGCGCGATAAAATTTCACCATGAAACCCTCTCAGTAGAAATGAGGCATTCATGAAACAGAAACCATCAATATGGAACTCAGTCACCCAGTGCCGAAGACTATCTAAAATCATCCGTTGAACAATAGGATAATTACAGTTCAAGGCATTTCTTGACTCTAAATCTACAACTCTATTTGCATAATAATAGGAGAAGTCGTCAATTCCTTGCAGTGCTCCAGCTTCAGCAGTATGAGTGAAAACAACTTCCAGTAAAACCTCTACCCCATTAGCATGCAATTCCTTCACCATCTCCTTCATTGATGTAATGGCAGATATCGAGCCACCAGAAGGCCCATATAGATTCGATGGTGAAAAAAAATGACATGGAAAATATGGCCCTTTTCCCTCATCAAATGGAAATATTGGCTCTAATAAGACTGCATTTACACCAAGATTTTTAAAATGGTTCAACTTCTCTGTCAAACCTGCAAAGGTCCCATCAATATCACTATATAGCTTACTAGACTTGCTTTCAGTGAAATGCTTCACATTCAACCGATAGACAACTAGTTTCTCCATGGCCAAGTTTGGACGAACATCATCTCCCCACTCAAAAGCAGGTACCTCACATAACCGCCCAAGATACTTTGTAGACAAACCAGATCCATCATCTGCTGTACAGTTAACAATGATTCTAGCATAAGGATCCAAAAGAACACGCTCCACATCAACTTTACCTGTTCCCTTGCATCGATAGCCATAACTTGTAAAAGTCCATGCACTTTCCAATGAAGCGTGCCATACATCACCGGATCGATTAACATATGGATCTAGATCAAGCTCTAAAGCAGGTTTGTCTGTTGTAGAGTCATCGTACAAGCATAAAACCACACCTTCAGCATTTCTTGAAAAAAATGCAAAATTCATGGAACCATCATTTGAAAAGGAAAGACCTAGTGGATTTGGATAACCTGAACTAAAACCAATTGGCACACAAAAATTTGTCTGCCTGTGATTCCTGATTTCTAAGCTACTTGAATCACTATTGAACATAGATTTGAGCAGAAATGAGAGATAGATGGGAGTTTGTTTTGCCTCAAACTCCAGTTCAAGTGCAAATCTACCAAAAGAATTCTGTACAAATGGGGTATCCATGGTCCTGGCATCCGGGTCTAAGTGTTGAGAATCCAATGGCATGAAACATGCCGAATCAGATCTATATATCCCCCAAATGAGCGTCAGTTTGTAGTCTCTAGTACTGATATCCAGAGATGAAACCTCAATATAAACAGCATGTTTGCCATTTTTCTTTCTGACAAAAACTTTCACATGACCACCAATTTGTGACCTAAATAGATAAGTTGATACCTTTTTCCACTCATCAACTTCAGTGCTTGTAGAAAACATCCGTTCAGTTTGCTGAATAGGAACCCGCGCCGCAGCAAATGCTCTTGAATGAAGAGTCCAGGGTGGAGTTTTTCCGACATTTTTTGCGATTTCTCCAGCCAAGTGCCTTTTATCTACATCCATTCTCCCAAAGCCCCGTGCGACTCTGTTGGAAGAGATGTAATGTGCAGTGCCTATCAATTTAGATGACTCCACAACTACAAAGTTATAGCAGCATGGCCTTATCATAAGTGATGGAGGAAGAGTTGTCATCTTTGGTCTCTCCTCCGTAAAGACAGATAACTAAAAGCAGCAAGCAAGCTCAACAAAAATCCTTGCAAGCAAGAAGGAGCATGAAGTCTTCTACAAAAATGACATCCTGATTGAAATTACAGAGATTGACTCCATTAAACAAAGATCAGAAATATAAAAACGGTAAACTTCACCCCTTTTTTTTTTCTTTGAGACAAATTTCACCCATTTTGAATCTATTCCAATATATATATATATATTTAAAAAAAGACTAACTAAATAAACTCGGAATTTTACTTGTATCGAGTAACTATCAAATGAATTAATAAACTCCATTCAAAAAAATAATAATAATAATAATAATAATAAACACACAGGAAATTTTTCAAAATTCAAATTTATATATATATCCACAAACATCCATCTGAATAAATCACCTAATTATTGAATTTATAACATTAAGGTTAGAACCATATTAGAAAAATAAAAGAAACCTGATAATCAAATTTTCAAGAGGGGGTGATAAGGAAGAGCCAAGCAGAATGCAAGAAGTTAATGATGAGCATTGTATTATCCAAAATAAGAAAGAAACACAAATAAAATGAATCAAAGCATCAGAGAAAAAAAACCTAGAAGCAAACTCCATTAAAAAAACTGAACTTACATTAATGAATTAGCGATGAACAGGGATGAAGAGAGAGAGAGAGAGAGAGAGTGAGAGTGGGGAGAGTGAGAGTGGAGATGAAAATATCAACTATCATTATCAAGCTAAGAAAATAAGCTGGAACTTGTTCGTTTCTGGATTTTATAGCGCTTTTAAGCACCGCAAAACGCACGCTTATTCTTAAACGGCGACGTTTTCTCAGTTTGATACTTTTATCGTCTGGTTCAGCAATTTCAATTTAATTATTAGGCACTCAAATTTGACTAAATTTACAAATCAAATTCTTTATTGACGAATCTTAATATTTTGTCCGTTAATTTAAAAAATCCTTAAAATGGATCAAATTATTAAATTTGATTCCCAGACGTTAATAAGAAAAGATTCTAAACTTGAAGAAACGATTTAGTGTGACCAAGGTATAATTTAACGACTAGTCGTTTAATATTAGCTCCTGTCGTTCCTTCCCTTCCCACCACCACCTATAATTTTGACACCTGGTAAGTCAAAAACACGCCTTCACAATACTATGCATAAAGAAATTTCAGAAAAAGCAAAGCAAGCTGTATATATTGTAAGCTCTTCTTAATGTTTCTACATGAATTGAAAGAAAAATTAAATATTGTTTGGATACACATATTTGTAATGGGATAAAAAATTTATCTAAATTGAATAACTGTTAGAATGTTTTTCCTAATCTATGCAACTGCAGAATTGGCCTCAGAATTATGTTTACTACTCTTTTGAGTGTTTCTTACTGTTGCAACAAGCGAATTGGTTTCTTCCTCCTCAATGATCCGTCGTGTCTCAACTTCACCACCCTTGAACACTGGGTGTATGTATGCATCCTGAAGATATAGTTTCAAGTTTAGGTTTGGATCTGTAGCTCGTTCAAGTGTATCCCTCACCATTGCTTCCTGTGATTACAATGTCAGATAAGTCATTATCATGCATGCCAACAATCATAGAAATCCTAATTTAAGAGGGAAAAATGGCATCTGGATTATTTAACCCAAGTACTTAATTAAAACATTATCAGGTTCTAAAAATTGCCAGAAGTGCTCCATTAGGTATAACTAAATGATCATGAAGCTAATGTTGGTCCCACCAAATAGTTTGCCCATTCATTGTATTTACTTCATTAATATGTTTTCCGTGCAAAACCCTCCAATTAGACATCATTTAGCTAAATACAACAGTTTAATAATGACCGCCTCGAAAATCCAATATTATCTTAATCATAATTCTAGTCTCAGATTCTTAGAAATACTATCTTTGAATTCCTTGGCATATAATCATTCTTAGAAAGACTTTAAAACATATAATCATTCCTGACCAACCTGTAGTGGGAATTTTACAAATGCAGATTCAAAACGCCCCTTGCAGAGTATGTGGAACCAAATTGTCAGAATAGGAAGTGGGGCAAGTGATGGTGTCAATTCCTTGGCATCCTTTGTGCTCAGCAACCCCAACAAAAGTAGTTGAGATATCATTAAACCAATCATCAGTCGCCGATGCACATCTGGCCAGAATGCACCTCCGCTCTCATATTTTTGGTTATATACATTAATAATCTTGCAATAAGAAGCAAATAACCATAAGCAGGCCCAAACATTTAGATTCCTTGGTGATTCATATGAGAGAATTTCTATAACATTTATAGATCAGACAAATGGTTCTATAAAGTGATATTGTGAGCAAAAGAACTCTTCCCCCAGTTATTGAGCATGAGTAGTATGTTATATAAATTGTGAATAACAGTGTCTAAAAGAACGTATTAGTTTTTGAAAGTAGTGGTAAATCTTCAGAGGACAGGAAATAATTGCTGTTTTCTATGTAGAAATAATAATTATTTCTAGCTTCTGTTCATAGTCTATATTACTCTCAATCTGCTTTCTTGTGCTTATTGTGTCAGAACATGAAACAAAAGAGCCACTTCCATAAGCTACCATACCTGATGGCGAAATACCACGTAGGCAAAGGCAAAGAAGATGATGATGAAAGGAAGAAGTAAAGGTGTCACTGCAGCATAAACAAGTCCCAGCAAGAAATAAAATTGTATTCGAGGTTCATATGTTGCGAAGTCCACACAACCAGGATCCGTTGCTTGATCCCTATCTTGATCTGTCTTAACTAGAAATGTGTTCTTCAAATGGAATATGACTAATGGAACCAATCTGAGGATCTCTGCAGCAACTGCTGCCCAGCCATCCACCATTATATAAGTAATGAAGAAAGTGGCTTTTAGTGGGATCGACACACCAATGGTTTTTGGAATCCTGGAGAGAAGAATAATAATACCTGTTAGGAAGCCCTAAAATCTGACTCCTGCTGCATGGAAAAAACATCTAAAGTAAGTGAGAGTCATTAGGGAAAGTAACATACTCCGTCGCAGACTGATTAAGAAAAGTCTTAAGCTGATCCAATGCTGTTCCCGTTACAATGCTGCCAATGAACACATTAAAAAGTAGAAACAAATGATACTTTGCAGCTGATCTCCTATCCAAAGATGACAGTGATATAAATCCTTCTATTCTGGACATCATCATAAGAATCATTGGAAGTACAATAAGGAATATCTTCAGAGCAAGGCCTGGAAGAATGCCTTGGATTAAAGACTTGACAGATTTCCTGCAAAAAAATTCCCAAGGAAAAAGTTGGAGCACCACATGCTAGGAAACTATAATTCCACACGCATGACAAAGTAAAGAGTTAATCGATCCTATTATTTTTGGCAGCACAGGCATATGAATAGGCTATATTTTCCGGCCATCATTAAGATAAAGAAGCAAAGACATTTAACAAATGAATTTCACATGCTAAGCAAAGCACCAATTTGATCAAGCTCATTGTTGTGCTGCTACTCAAAAATAGTTGTTTGGCATTTATACTCACTTACCTTTTCATCTCATTAGCTCATGGAAAGTTGTATGGCATTTACATCTGTTTCTGAAAAGGTGAATGGTTGCCAATAGATGCATTTTAGGTATTAGTAAGTAATATGAGATTATTTGCTGGTAGAAGATTTTCATCCATAAGGTGGTCAGCTTATGAGATAGTGGATAAGATAGAAAAGTACTTCAAAATGCAATGAGAACATTTTGAAGATATTAGCACTTAAGAAACACAGCTGACTATTACCAAAGTAAGAAATTGAAAAATTTTAAGCATTCAGAAGGAAGGATCAATAAAAAAAAAGAAGAAAAGCTTACGTTTCTATTAAAGGTGTTAGGAAAGGAAAAACCTTCTCTATCCCCTCAATGCTGGCTAGAGACTGTACAAATGCTATAGGAATCATGAAAAAGAAAATTAAGAAAAATAGTCCGACTGCCATTAGTAATCTTCGAATGGTGAGTTCAACGTATGGTATTGCTAGATTATCCCAATATACATCACGAGGCTCAGGAGCCCTTTCAGTCAACCAAATTGTTGGGTTGCTTGTTTGCTGAGTTTGAGCACAGACAGCTGCTCCCCATCGGGATCTGAATGAAACAAATGCTACTGGAACTATAGCGTTTGGATCATTCATAACCTTTTCTCTTTCTCTATCTTCCTGCATGAAAGTGCCATAAATCAGAAGAAAACGAAGAAAATGTTGCTTTGATGCATTTCTTACTTTTATTTTCATTTGACACCCTTCATCTTTTCCTCCGGATAACATTGAATTTTACGAATTTATTTTAGTTTCATGAATAAATACCAAAATTCCCGACTCCTTTTTCTCTCTCTCTTTTTTTTTTTTTCTATTCTCAACTCTTTGATAATCAGAAGGTCATTAGTAGCAAAAGACAAAAGGAAACGAAAATATATTGGAAGTCTGCAGCATCTGTTCAATTCCATGAACATCAAAAAAATTCTGTACTTTAACGCACTAACCCATTTCTAATTCGGTTACCACTCCAGCTCACTTTTTCTCTTTCAATTATCAGCAGTGCCTTCTTTGACAGTTGACTCTTTAACATATTGACATTTCAATCTATCCTTTCCAGTCTCAAAACCTATCCACATGTAAGGCAAAAACGTTTGAGGTGTTCATAGCGTCTCTGTCTCTTTTTGGCAGGTAAGGATTGTGAAAGATCTACCAAGATCAACCCATTCATTAATCACTTGAAGCAAGAGCCATGGGAATTCCACCTCCCTTGAATTAATCAACAGTTTATTCCCAGTAAACTACTGTTAATAAACCATCACCAGTTTCTGTGACAACTGCCACATTTGCATTATGTTAAAATAGACAGAACAAAGACTTCATCCCGTTATTTAATAAGGACCAATTTCAGTGGGTTTCCATCCAAAAAAAAAAAATTTTGCAGACGATGACCCTCTTCGTTGAAATACTATTACAGAAGCAGAAAGATGGATGGAAACACAAGGGTCCGCATAAATTTTTGCCTATGACTGAAACAATAGCCACAGCAGGCGATAAAATAAAAAATATGTAAAAAAAAGATAAACTTAATGATGTCAAAGAAAACATTGAATAATAAATGGACATCAAAAAATGAATCTTCAAAATAGAATATATGAAACTCACTTCTTCACTAAGCTTTCCAATCTCAGCAATATAGAAGTCAATTGCATCGACTGTATCTCCCCAAAGACCCCAGAAACCTGTCTATAGATGGGTAGACATTGATAATTAAAATATACCAGATATTCTATTCAGACATCTTTTACTGAGAAAGAAATGTAGAGCACATAGCTATAACAGATGGTTTACCAGAAAGTACCTTTGTAGTAGGCTTTACAGAAGGATTTCTCTCATATTGGTTCTGGTGGTAAATCAACCAATTCTGCAAACTCTTCTTCTTTGCAACCAAGTTTGCAAGATTATTTGCATTGCGTACTATCTAAGAAATTAAATCAAGCATTGATAAATTATAAAACTCTAGTTGCAATGAAGTTAGAAACTCTTATTGATGCTTCCAAACAGTCCTTAAGTTCAAAGAACCTTCACTCATTAATAATGTTTCAATCCGTGTGAGAGTTCCCTACTTTTGAAATTTTTGCAGCCTTATGTGCTATTTTTTTACCAGTAATTGTTTTAATTGACACATCTTGACGAATATGCATACCTGATGAGTAAGATAATGATCAGGATGATTTACACAAAAGAAATGTTCAACATGCTCCGTGACTGATTCATCAGGATCTGGAGGAATATTCCTCACAAGAACCTGAAATTTTTTTTTATTTTTTTTAACAAGATAGAGTTAGTACCAGAAAGATAAATCAAAATTGATGGTTAAGCAACTTTTATATGGATCGCAACCAATCTTTCATAGACATCAAACATGCATATGGTATGGGGAATAGAAATGTAATCCATTTCTTAAAGTATATTGAATTGAATTTAAATATAGAATATGGAAAGCATGTGAGAACCTTAGTTCTAATTTGATGGTCTCCCATAAGAACCAATAAGGTATAGGAATCTAAAGTAAATATCAACCTGAGCTGGATAAACTATGGTTTTCCAAAAGGATCGTGATACCTATAACTTCTAAACCAAAGAAATAATATATAATTATGCACGCTGAAACAGTAAATACATAATCGAAGAAGAAACAAGCATCACATAACATCAAAAATATTTCATAAACTCACTGTGAAATGGTCAGGACGACGGCTTTCGGATGCTAAAAATTGCAACCTCATTGTAGCTATTTTCTTGTATTCATTGTAGATCACATAGAAAGTCCAAAAGGTGAAGACATATGACATTATAACGTGTGCCCAAAACCTTGAAAGGAGTAGCATAAGATTCTATTAGTTGATAGAAAAATGGATCAAGCGTCTGTAAGTTGAGAATCATTATAATCGACTTTCTAAAACCAACTGGATTACAATCAATAGTTTGAAAATTTTTGTTAGTGTAATTTGACTTGATATCAACACTCTACCAGCTAAGTCCATGATCTTTACTTGAAACCAGCTAAGTGAAATCTTTGGAGACTCTTGATGATGTTCCGATAGATCACAACCCTGTTCTAGAAGCAAGTTTATTAAATAATAGTACAGCTGTGCAGTGCACATTGGTCTATGGCATCTTAATGAGTTAATTGAAGTTTCAATCTAAACATTAAAGCAGCTACACCTAGAAGCATTGTGAAATTATAGAACTTAAATTTCAAGGCTATAATTTGTCCAACAAAATTGAAAGGTTAAAGCAGCATTTTCTCATCTGATGTCAACATTTTCACCTCTTCAATTCTCCATACCTAGAGGCATGTTATTTCCTAAATAATGTAATCAATATTTCCATATCCTTAACAAATGAGAGGTGATAAGTTCCATATTGATCAGAAAATTAAAACACATGAAAATTGGTAGCAATTTATTTCTTACCTTTGGGATCCAGCTGGAATATTTGATATTGACAACTTGTCAATGTCACTGAATGTAAGATCCTTGATTTGTTCCAATGTCTCCCCAGTCCAATTGACAGGAACCAGGACAGCAAAAGCGAGTATAGTAATGGGGACAAATATTTTCAAGCTGCACATTAAAGTCATCATATTAGATGGTTCAGCCAAGCTAAACAACAAAATTACATAGTCCACCTATTGTGCTAAGGAATATATATGCACTTGTCTCAATGCTATTTAAGATAGAATTCAAATTTGGTTTTGAAAATTGAATAGTTGATCTCACACATAAAACATTAAGTTCATTGCTAAAAAGGAACAAAGGCTATGGAAAAATTTGGTAATCATTATGATGCAAGAGGAAACAACTTGCATTTTGGATAAAGCTCTTTTATTTTCATGGTATGTAACCAATCATTTGATAAATTGACAAAAAACGGATACAATATATATATACAGACAAAATTCACAAGAGATAATCCCTAAGAAAGATCTGAACATATACATAATAAGTTCTGCATAAAGATCTTGAATATGTTCAGGATGCAAGGATAAGAAAAAGAGGGAAGAAAATGAATATACCCCAGAAGGTAAATCCGAATATAGACTACAGAATCAAGGCCAGCATGCTCTATAAGCTCTAGTTCTGGCATTCTCAAAGCTGCAGGCATCCAATTCAGAAACCGTATATATGTTCTAATGTCCAAGTTTACAAATTTGGTTACAGCTCCCCTAGAGTGTGTTGGGCTAGCTCTTATCCCTTTACGATACCATTTTGGGAAGTAAACTCTGTCATTAATGGGTTGAAGCCGTAATATTGCAAATGCCAATAGGAATGCGAATGCAGATAGAATATTAACAGCAGCTGAGTAAACAATGTCTTGAAGATTGGCCATTTCTCTCCCTGAACAAGACTAGTGGCAACCTACACTTCAAAGTGGAAAGAAGTGAGAAACATCTACAAGTTTAACTCCAGCTAGCTGGAGCTTGTTATGTCTTAACATAACAATAAATTGCTTAGTTATTAAACTTGGATTACATTCTTGGAAATTTTGCATTGGCACTCAAAGGAATTTTGCTTACCAATTGGCAGAAAATTTAAAAAATCCTAGATAGTAATAATAGCATAAATTGTGTGGATGATGTAAATACATGGCCTATGAAATCATTGTGACTCAGCCGCCCAAATTAATCCTTAAATGGAAAATCTATTACACCAGGTATAAACTCTTTAATTACATAAAAATGTTTAATGAATACAAAAACAAGGTAATTCACCCAAAAAATTGGTTTAATCATTGATAAGGCAATAAATAAATACCTACAATATAAATAAGTAGCCAAATGATCAATGTATCTTCTCCATGAAGTCTGAGAATATTAAAGAAGTTTATTCGGTTCATTCATTCAAATTTCTAGAGAACCAAACAGAAAATTCTCGGAAAACCAATGAGAAACAGAGGGAAAATAGAAAAAATAAGTACCTGTGGCCTTTTTTGCACAAAACTGAATTTGCAGGAACGAAGGGGGAAACGTAGTTCGATCATTTAAGAGGAAGAAAAGAAAAAAAAATAGGGTTTTTAATTTTGCAAGCAGAATTCGTAAACTCTTACCATGTCGATCAATAGGACAGAGAAATGCAAACGGAGGTAAGTTTGGGAATATGGCGGCAAGAAGCACGGAGCCGGTTTGTGAGGCTTGTAACGGTATATATTTGAGAACCATAAGTTGACAAACATTTGAATCCTTTGTTATTATCAATTTGACCCCTTCATTCTTTGCTTATTGTACTCCATGTCGTTAATTGCTAAGTGAATAAATATTTTATCTAATCCAAACGCGTCGTTTTATGCCGAATTAAACAATGAAACATATTTTCATTTTTATTTGCGTCATATTAAATATTATTAACTATATTTTCTTTGTACAAATAAACAAGATTATAATATTCAACAATAACAAGTAATAAAAATGAAAATTATTAAAAGAGAAAAAAAAACTTAAAATAATGTAAATGACAAACAAAATTTTAATATTTTTATATATTTATTTTAATTTTTTAATAACATACTATTGATATGCTTGCAGCAACATGTGGAATGCGATTCCTGATCTTAACGTTGGATGCAATTTCCATGTATTGATAGAATCGTTGTAACGGGAACGGGACAATGGCCGGCAGTTTTGCCGTTTACATCCCGGCTTCAATCAATTGAGGTTGGGAGAGGAGGGGATTTGATGTTCATGCTAATTAACAATTATTTAATAATTAGGCTTATTTTTAATACGAAATTGCATAAACTATTTTATTTGGTTCAATTTATTCATTTTACGTGAATTGCTCAATTTATAGTTATTCGATTTTGAATTAATCACGTATTTTAACATATTCACTGTATATAATATTAATTTCTAAAATCCATATGGAGCTACCACTTTTGGTTCAAAAATGAAAACATTTTTTTTTCTCCTTTTCTCTTCCTTAATATCTACAGTGACTAAGAAAATGAATTAAAGCTTGGATGAGATAATGGATTGACTGAAAAAAAAAAGAAAGTTTGAAAGGTTGGTGTTGGTTTGGGTAACCGTAAATTGTGGGTACGTTAACATTGAATTTTGTCAGGAATATGGCAAAAGAAGCCTGGTGTAATAGTATTTCACTTTGTGATTAAAACTTGAAATTCTACAACAACAATTTTCAGGCAATATGAGTTGGATTTAAGGGTGGACTCCACAAAGTTAGTTATTTTAACAGCATTCAGCTATTTAGCTTTGTTCGGCAACAGTCTTTGAAGTAATATTTAGTGTTTTGATTGAATTAAAATACTGATTTTAATTAATTATGTGTTTTATAATATCGTCACCTTTTGGGGAGGTTCATTTAATATCCAAAAACTGCTCAGCAACAGTTAAACAAGTAGACAATGCTAGGTGAACTAGAAAAGTTTAGATAAAGCCGAATCTCGTTTAGAGTTTGAAGTAGTGTTTCACAAAACGTTGAGTCTGTTCGATAAAATTAGTTGTTGAGTCTGTTCGGTAAAATTAATTGATTTATCAGCTGTTAACTGTTTTTAATAATGTTTAGGTGATAGTTGTTTAGTAATTTTTCATAAACTCTAAAAAACTAAACGTTACATAAATTATACAAGTGAACTTTTTATAAAACATTATATTAATCTCTAAAACTTATTTAAATGTTATGTTATAGAATAATATAAAAAATAACTATTAGCATTCTAAATGCTATTTACTGTGTTGTGAAATATATAGTTTAAAGAACTCGAATCCACAACTTTCTATGAATAAAAAATCCAATTGGTCCACGCTTAATTAGTAGAAGCCATAAGTTTTAAGTTCAACAATTGAAGGATATTTTTATGGACTTGTCCTTTTCCAATTTTATGGGGAGAACAGAACTTGGTGAGTACACATTATCATAACCTCCTCACAAGGGTTACTATGTTGACAAAGTAGAGACACCTTTACTTGTCATTTTTTGGTGAAATTTGGCAGTTGCCACGTTTTTTAAGATAAGGATGAAATTTGGATCATGCAGTAGTGGACATTCAAGGTAGGAATTGCTGTCGTTAGTGTAACGCCCATAATGCATATCGTATCTACCCATGATTGAGGCCACTAGACCGCATTTACGAATTTTTGTTTTTTTCCTAGTCACTCGAAATAAATTCACTTCACTTTTATTTTTTAAATTTATTCAATAAATAAATTAAGAAGAAGAAGGAATAAAAAGATAGAAGCAATCTAATACAAAGTCAAAATTACATAACCTCAACAATGCAAAGGATAAGAATTTCACATCCATAATCTCGAGGAAATAATGACTTCCTTCGCTTTTTCTTAGAAAAAAAAAATAAAAATAAAAGCAAAATCATGTTAGCATTTGAAAGGAGTAATCACCGTTAATAGAGTCGCAGCAGGCCCCACAACCAATATGGCAGTGAGCCGCGAATTCGATCAATTAGTGGGCCCTTGCCTCTTCACCTATGGAGCTCCAACTACCCTCCGTTACCGTCTGATTATTTTCATCAAAGTCGTCACTGCTGTGAACATCATCGTCAAGATCATCGCTGAAATCGTTTTCCTCGCCGTCGTCGTCATCGTCATCTGCGCATGCATCTGCAACTGCACCAGCACCAGCACCAGCACCAGCACGATTATCTTCATCGGAAGACAGCGGCACAAGCCAACAAGTCCCATACAAGTGGCCGTTTAAACATACAAAATACTCCAACCCACCTTCGCGCGAGCCAAGCCGCCTAGACGCGCTTTTCGGCACCAGCTGAGCTGAAGTCATACTCCACACTCGAAACCCGCAGTATGGACATCTAACTTTCGTCTCTAGCTCTACCCGCCGTCCGATTAAGCACGCTCTCGTTCTTGATTTCATAAATCCCTGAAATACCCCTCTGTAAATTCCCAAATCGTCTTCATTATCCCCTGTCGGATGCTCACACGGATCACTCACGTAGAGCAAATCGTCCCGACATTTCTTCGTTAGAAAGCTCCGACCCGATGTTTTGGAAAACCGAGAAGTTTTAACGAAGTGACCTGCTGAAGCTTGACTCACTTTGAAGTTCGGAGTTGACTCACATCCGCAACAATAAAACATAAGCTTCGCAAGCGTTTGCCAACTATCGGCGAAGGGAGCATTAGGAGCACCGTTTGTCAATGTAGCTAACATGCGCGGGGCGCGATAAACACACAGTTCTCGCCATAACAACCGTTTGGCTATAGCACGAAGCTTGCGGTTAACGGAGGCCGTCGCGCAGAGAGAGTGCAGGTCCCATTTTATGGACTCAAAGACTAGGAGGAGAATCCGCTCGTTGAGAATTCCCGACTCATCTGGGTCGGATCCAACATTCGGTGGGTTTGTTCTTAATCTCCTGCTGGCACTCATTAGGAATTTGCTTGACCTATCGGAATGTAATGCTCTTCACACCGTTGTTTATAACTCCAGGCTCTATAGCTAAACGATTGACGCGTGACCAAGACTAAAGGACATGTTTTCCTAAGACAGATGCTTGTTGTGGTGACAAACACGTGTTCTCCTACTATTGGCTAGCTGACGCGTGGTGATGTACAATTGCTTAATTTCCGTGAAAGAGAATCGAGGAATAACGTCAGCGATTGAAATTGAGTCCCGTGGCAGGACACGTGTCGTAGCCCTGATCAGATTGAGAAATATCTTTTACGTGGCTCAAAAATATCTGACGTTTTACGTGGCATCTTTGGAGGCTTTGTTTGGACACTTTAGCACACCTTAAATAACCTTAATACGCTTTTTCTATTATGAAATTTATTACTTTAACCCTTCGTAATTTATCACACCTTACTTTGCTTGTTTGTCAAAAAAAAAAAAAAATTATCACACCTTAAATTTATTAGCATTATTTAATTTTAATTTGTAAGATGAAATTAGTTTTACCTTACCATAGATTTTGGAAAAAAAAAAATTCATTATAAAATTATTTTAATTATATAGTACACAAGCCAAATTTTGAGTTTAGGCCAAATTAATTAAGATAAAGGTTTTATTTTTGGATTAATCAGACAAAATAAAAATAAGCTATTTCTTCTACACTTTAGAAAATAAAATTAAATATTAAAAAAGGTTACAAAACTAATACGCTTTAATAATATTCCAAACTTGTCAATAATCCTACATATTTAATTCAACCAAACAATGAAAAACACAATATGATCATAATTTTTTTATTTTTGATTTTTGATTTTTACATAATTTAGCTACATCCAATTAAATATAAAAAATTACCAATAAGAAAATTCGTAGAAATGAAAAATGAACTAATTGTAAATTACTACGAATCGATTTTTCTTGTTTTTAATTTTTAGTTTTAATTTTTAGTTTTTGATATTTCTTCTATTTATCTTTCAATTTTTTTATGAATTTTATTTTTTTAAAATGTACCAAAATTTTTTTGTTGCTTTATATTGAATAAAATTTAACTTTAATTTAAAAACATTATTTTATTTTTCTCGTAAAATTAAATTGAATTTAGCTGAAATAATCAAGTATTAATTGTAGAGTGGAATTTAAAAAAAAAAACCCATTTTATTAATTTCAAACATGTAAATTATATAAAGCTAAAAATTAAAAATAAACTATAATTAATACTCTCTATCCCACGATGTAATTCGTTTTAGTATGATAATTTTATTTCAAAATATAAGTTCTTTTGAAAGCTGAATGATATTTTTTTAATTTTATCTTATTTATATTAGTAGATATAATATAATGATATAAAGCAGAGTAATAATGTGAGATAAAATGAACTTTTGTTCAAATTATTTTTAATTTTATAAAAATTTAGAAAAATTAATTATTGTTTTAGTATTTATATTGTGGGAGACCAAGTAATAAGTACAATTATCGTAACTAAAAATAAAATGACTAAATTTATTAGACACGTGTCATCCCTCTTCCCTTTTTCATCCTTTTCCTTTAAAAAATTATTAATGCATTTTCCTTTTGGAGCAGCACATGCCACATGGTCGCAGCATGGACCACTAGAAAAAGTAAAAAGAGAATGCGTATGGAAGAGGCAGGAAGCACCGAGACACGAAACTAAATTTTCACAGCACGTGTGATGCACGTACTATTTACCACTTACACAGTGTTTTAAAGAACTGAATCAGAGAAATTTTTCAAAATTTAAAAAATTAAAAATTAAAAACTTAAATCAGTGTAATATTTTTTATTTGATAGAAAACTAAATTTCTGATTTTTTTTTTAAATATTCCTGTAAGTAAAAAATTTTGTGTGCCTTTCAAAATTAAAATTTTTTAGTAAGTTCCATCTTGTACAGAATTTTAAAAATCATTTAAATGAGTTAATAAAATGAAAAAAAAATCTTGAATAGCTCATTTTATATTAAACAAGTAATTAAAATCAATTTAAAATATCTCAAATTGAAAATGATACTATTAGATTTTCATTTTTAATTTGTATAATGTATTTTATACATATTCATGTATACTATTGATTAATAAGGATTCCAAGTTTCATATACCTAATTTTGTAATTATAATTCCTCAAAAAATATAATTCATTCTCATTGATTAAGCAGCGACATAATTTAGTTTTTAACTTTTGATGATACACATATTCATTTATGTTTTTACGCATTTACATAGCACACCAAAGTTAAGAATGTATGCAAAAATTTTCATTTTTTTTGTTTAGTTAGAAATTTTTATTTTATTATAAAAAATTTGAATTAGAATTGCATATGAATATTTAAAATTGAAAGAAATTAAAATTTTATTTTTTTATTTATATTTCTATAATATCTATTGATTTATGTTTATATATTTATTTCTACATTTTTATTTTTTATTTTTTTGCGTTACATAGTTATATTTAACATATTTATTACATTTCATATTTAATATTTTATTTTCCATTTATATATTTTCCTATTTGTATTTATTGTATATTATTCTATTTAATTATATATATGGCACGAATGTGGAAAAAATTTAATCAAATCTAACCGTACAATTTTTAAAATCGAAAGTAGAATCTTTGGGTTGTCAGATCGATGTGGACAAGAGCTTTTGTGTCAATGGATGAGTGGGCGACACATTGAACTGCGTACCAGACACGACGGCAATCAGTTCGACGGGTACAATATCCGCCACTAGATATATTCTTAGCCACTTAAATTCTGCCGCGCGTCCTAATTGCTTAACAACTTTCCTGCACGTGGCAACATATATGTACTGAAGTGATTGTATATTGTACTCCGGGGACACAATTATGCAGGTCAAAAAATCTTCATTCTACACGGTACACGTATACTTTTCTTTTGCAACAGTGGAGTTGCTCCACATGCATTATATATTACTTTTCTTTTGCATAAACAGTGCGAAGTTGCTTCCACATGCATTATATATATATATATTATATATTTATAATATATATATATATATAATATATATATATATATTATAATATTTCATTGTGATTTAGGTTTTTTAAATTATAATCAAATTTCTAGCTACCAGCGTCAAGGTAGGTAGCTAGAAGTCGCACGTCAACCCTGAACTTGGCCATAGTCCAATTTTTTAAATAGAGTGTGCAAATTTATAATTTTCCGTGTTTTTTTTTTTTATATATATTTATTGTGAATTTAGGTTTTTAAATTATAATCAAATTTCTAGCTACCAGCTCAGGTAGGTAGCTAGAAGTCCACGTCACCGAACTTGGCCATAGTCCAATTTTTAAATAGAGTTGCAATTTATAATTTCTGTTTTTTTTTTTTAATTTTAAAATTTACTAAATGGGAGTGATTTATTAGTGTTTGAAATTTTATATAAATTTATAAAATTTTAATGTATATAAATTTTATTTATAATTTCTTTTTTTTATATAAATTTTAATGTATTTATTTCATTTGTTTTGTTGTTTTAAAATTTACAGAATATTTATTATAAATAGATATGAATATAGATAATTATGATTTTGAAAATTTGTTTTGTTTAGTATTTTGTTATGATTATCTATTTTATATGTTAAATAGGTATATAAATAATATATCTCTTGTCTCATATTTATATTTTTATTTATTATCATATTTATATTATCCATCTTTGAAATATTTTTAAATTTTTATATTTTGGAGTTGAATAATTAAAAAGAAACTTTTAATTTTTCTATGTTTTGTAGAATAAATTATATTTTACTATTAAATGATTAAATTATAAATAATAGTTACTTATATATTATTCATATTGAATTATTTGAATAATAAAATTTTATGATTCACTGAATTTTATAATTATTATCTATGACATGATAATTTAATAATGTAAAAACAAATCTTTTGATAATATAGAAAATACATTTTATAAAATAAAATATATAATAATAATGTAACTCTCAATTGGTGTAAAGCACGGGCCTCCATCTAGTTTAAAAATTATTTTTTTATTTTGGAGAATCAATTAAAAGGATAAAATTCAGAAAGAGGGACCATTTTATTTGATGGAAACAATCTATGAAAACTCTTTAATGATTGTCCAAAATAGAGAGAGGAGGTAGTGAAATAGACTAAGCCTTAGGGACCAAATCGTACTTTACGCTAAAATACTTTATTGGATCCCTTTGAGGCTTTGAGCTTTTCATGCTGTGCCACTTGTGCACAGATTGGGCTTGTATGGATCATTTTGTAGGCCCAAAACCAATATTTAAAATATGCAATTTATGACCATCTTAAAACGGCTGAAACTATTACATTAAAGGCCGGCTCAAAAGAATATTCTGGTTTCAGAGTTAAGCCCATTCTGAAATTGGCCTTGGGTACAAATGATTGTTGCAGTTGGTAAGTCACGTGTAATTGCAAAACACTCACCGCATCATCGTTGCACATCGAGCGCACGTTAGAGCGCTACCCGCTACATATTTTAACCTATACTCCTTAAGCGCACCTTAGCTTTCGTCACTACACCACACCATTTCTCATATCTTCCACAAAACACAAACAAAACTCCCAATTGGACTCTTCGAACTATCTGTCCTCTCTTCTTTATCTCACTCTCGGAGAATTAGGGTTTCTGCAGTCTCAATACTAACTTTCTCTGTCTGGTTTGTGCTTTTCAATGCCTGCTAATTACTTGCCCAAATCGCGCCTTGAAAACCCTAGACTTTGCAGAACTCCTCCATTTTGTTGGGGATTTTGGGTTATCAGTGGATTGGTGTCTTCGCTTTGGTTGGAATTGTGTGTCAGAATTTGATTGAAGCCCGCCGGCGATTCTTGGATGGCGCCAAGTCGAAGGAAGGGCGCCGGCAAAGCTGCTGCGGCTGCAGCTGCCCGCCGCCAATGGAAGGTGGGCGATCTCGTTCTTGCTAAAGTCAAAGGCTTTCCTGCTTGGCCTGCCACGGTACGCCCTAGACATATATCTCGAATATATTGCTGTATCTATATGTCAAATTTGCTTTGTAATCAGAGATGTAGTTAGGCTTTTGGGTTGCATGCTAGTGTTTCTTGGGATTTTCTCAAGTATGGTACTTGGGAGCCCCGGTCGATACTGTGGAATCTGAATCAAAGTTTTGAGTTCTTTTAGGGTTTCAAATGGGAGTGCTGGGTTGCTTTCCCACTGTTCTCTAGTGGGCTTGTAATCACCTTTGGCAGTGGAACTTTTCACTAGCCTTTGTGCGCATTTCTTAAGTTCTTTTAAGGTCTTTCCTTCTTTTGCCAACCCTCTTAATCAGTTCTCGTGTCAAAGTTAAATATTTGGTAATATTACCGGAAATTGGTTATATACCAAATGCAATGATTACCTAGAAGTAGACTGATATATAATCTGCGTCTTTAATCTAATCAAACTAAGGATTCTAGTCTTATTCCTACACACCTACTATTAATGTACATATGCTTATAAATTTGGTTGTTGATACCAGGTAAGTGAGCCAGAGAAGTGGGGCTACTCAGCCGATTGGAAGAAAGTACTTGTCTACTTCTTTGGAACGCAGCAAATGTTAGTCTTTTTGTTCAATATTAATTTTTTCAATATCATGATTTTTAGTTATTTTTCTGCTTATGTGTTACTTTATTGATAACCAATCAGTAAACTAGTTGTTGGTAGGGATGATCCTTTCAACTGTGCACTAAATTGTAATGTTTGCTTGTTTGCATCCAAGGAGTTATAGAGTTATAAGAAGTTTTGTTTTGGTATGGTAGTAAATGTAGTCATTGAGAAAAAGTGTGATTATGGTGAAGTGCTGAAAAAATGAATGGTCATGATTTAGATATTCCCCAGTTGTGGTGTTGTTTTGATAAAGAAATAAGTGATGGTTGTAATCAAAAAGGGAGTGCCTAAAGCAATGGTGAAGTGGTAGAAAATGAATGCTCATAGTTCAGAACTAAGATTCTCTATCTGGTCATGGACAGTTTAATTTGGTTCATATCGGTTTACCTGCTACAAGTCCTAAAATAACTACATAAGATGTATCTAGAATATGTTCCCCCCTCGGTCATGGTATGCTATTACAGGATGATAATTTTTCTAATAGAAGCTTTGTCAGTTTTGTCCATTTTTTTATGCTATTTATGCATATATTTATTTTTTTGTTGTATTTTAATGAGACTAACTTGTCATTTCAAGTGACTTTATCCACTTAAAATTTGTTCATTAGGTCAACAATGGACTTTTTTTTGTTTGGCTACATTAAGATGCTGCATAATCTTATGGTTGTGGGTAGTGATGGGTGTCCATGAAGGCAAGAAAATTTAGGTTTTGGTAGACAAATACCTTTTTTCTTTTCTACGCCAACTCTCAAATACTGAAAGTGCTGTCACCTGTCAAGACTGCAAAAAGAGTTCTATGAGAAGCCGTTGTAGGATATATACAAATTCATGATCCTTTTGTTCTTTTTATTTATTTATTTATTTATTCATTTTCTGTTTGTTTATCCTTTTTTTTTTTTTTTTTTTTTTTTTTTTTTTTGTTCTATGAGAAGCCGTTGTAGGATATATACAAATTCATGATCCTTTTGTTTCTTTATTTTATTTATTTATTTATTCATTTTCTGTTTGTTTTATCCTTTTTTTTTTTTTTTTTTTTTTTTTTTTTTTTTTTTTTGAAAATTCTTGTTTGTTTAATCTATATATTCACGAGATAATGTATTTGGATGAAAGTTTGTGGCTAGTATGCTTTCAAGTAGAATTTTTTTTTTTTTTTTTTTTTTTTTTTTTTTTTGAAAATCTGTTTGTTTATCTATATATTCACGAGATATGTATTTGATGAAGTTGTGGCTAGTTGCTTCAAGTAACTTCATGAGAAAAATGTATTCATTGGTTCAACAATAGAGCTTCATGTCATTAAATGACATTAGGAAGCTTTGTTTAGACTGCATTGTGGGAGAGACAAGGTGCTTTTAATAAAAGCAATTTCAGTTCAATAAACAAATACCATATTTATCTAAGTAACACTCTTGAGGTTAATTTACCTTCTAGTAAAGGGAGAATGAGGGGCTGAATTAGGTTTTTTCGGTGTTCTCATTTCTTGAAAAAATTATATTTGATTATTTTTCCATTATATTATCTTTGTTGCAACATGTCTTTACATGTTTTAACAGTAACAATAGCACCCATAGTTGGAAACATACTTTATCCACTTGCCAATATGGTTTTAGGTTATGTTTGTGGCTTTACTGCACAAATTAGTCGAGTGAAGTGCTTGTAAATGCCCCTTGGGCCGGTAGACTGGATCTTTGAGATTGGAATTTGTAAAATTCGCCATGATATTTTTAGATTGGGATAAGGCGGCTTGTTATATCTTTCAAGAAATTTATGTAAAAAATATAGATTGGAATTTGATTTTTGCAAGGCCCTCCTATCTTGTACTTGAATGGGCTATGTGCTTAGTTATTAAAGGCATAAGACGCACCAAGGTGCAAAGGCTGCGCGCCTATGGCCAAAGCATGCCCCTTGCAATAAGTAATTATGCGATATCAGGAAAAAAAAGCCCAAAAATCTGAATAAGAATTGGCAGGATAGACGCTTATATTTTAAGGTGTTGGAGTTAATAGAGAAGGAAGTAAAAAGCAAGAACATAGAGAAAAATTAGAAAGAAAACATAAAGCAAATATGAGAAGAGAAATTAAGAGAGAGACACATTTGAATGGCTGATCATTGGAGGCTGGATTGTAGGAGGTGAGTGAGGTGTTATTGGAGGACTAGAGATTGGATAGGAAACCACAACCGGTTTTTGTGTAGCATTTTTTTCTTTTGTTTATTTATTTATTTGTAACCAAATGCTAGTGGATAGATTTATGCTAAAAGAAAACTCTAGGTGACTATTCTGGGAAAAAAAAGAAAGAAAAAACACGTTCTTTTTTTTTTGCGCGCACCTCTGCCCAGAGGCAAGTGCCTTAGTGAGGTCGCCCTCTAGACATTTGAGGCACAAGTCCTTGCACCCTAAGGAAAGTGCTTCTTTAATAATTATGGCCGTGTGTTACAATAATGATTAGACATGCAATTGGGAAGTTTATGTTCTTTTATAATTTGAGTGTCTTTTCCTCTGATTTTACAATAAAAGGAAAGAATCTTTTAGGATTAGGATGAAGAAATTGAAATGCTAGGGTTAAGACAAATTTTATGAAGCTAAATAGCTTGCCTAGAGGTCTGTTTGGTTTAACTTTTTTGTGATGGCTAGTACCTTGTAACAGTTGCTAATACGTGGTAGTTGATAGTTGTTGGTTGATGAGTGCTAGTTATTTGGTAAAGTTTAGTGATGGTTGCTGTTAAAATGTAAAATGACTTCTAAGGGTATATATATAAGGTTTTTAAAAATAAATATACTATTTTTATTTTAATGTGTCATATAAATAAAAATATTAATATTTAATAGTTATTTATTATTTTTAAAGAATTATAAATAAAATGATCACATAAAAATACTAATTTTAAGAAAAGTAGTTTTATTTGTAATTATTTTTATAAGGTTAATATAATACAAATACAAATTAGTTAACAGTTAATAGGAAAAAGTTCTAAAATGCAGCTCATGGAATGAGTGATTAATTGAGACTTGTATTAGTTATTAGCTACTAATTAAAATCTTTATCAAACACGTTTGACCTAACTATTGAGTACGAATCAACTATCAGCTGCATGAAAACACTGAATTATAGAGGCTTTCAAAGAAATGGGAATAATGTAAGTTTGGCTGACGTGAGTAAAATAACTCTATATTATTCATTATTTTTATGACCTGAGTTCAATGCTCTTACATTGCTCTTTATTGCATTAATACGGGTCAACTCGGTATCTTTTAAGACATTTCAAATGGTTATTGGAGTGTTCTGCTTTTGGCTAAGTGCATGCAAGCCATATCTGCTTCTTATTATTTCGGTAATATTTGATCTTGTGCCCTCTCTTTACATTTTTCTTGCACCATTGTTGCTGCTATGTGCTGTCTTTTGCTGTTCTGCGTTAATGCAGGAAGCATTTGCATGCGTTTTGGACATAAAGTTTTCTCGCAACATCAGAACCACAAATGCAATTTTCATCCTGAATAAAGTTATCTGCCTTTCGAAAACTGCTATTAAAATAATTATTAGTGGTTGTTCATTTTTATTTTATTTTATTTTCTGTATGACAATTATTTGTCAATCATATCATTATTGTGTTTTAGAGGACCTAGAAAATGTTATTTTCAGTGCCATATACTTAGTTATATGTATATTGCTGCTAGCATGACGATGAAGATATTGAAAAGGATTGATTGGATAAACTATTGGTGATATTTTACTAGAGGCAAAACAATTGAATGGATAATACTTAAAGGAGATGACTAGATGTCCTAGGGAGTTTGGTAGTAGTTCTTATTCTATTGTTTATTAGCATTAACTAATGACTGAGGCTACTGTGTCCATGCTAGTTTTAGCTAATTATGCAAGTGAGAGTTTTGGTATAATTTTGCATATTAAATAATGAATTCTGTGTTATGCAAAAAATATGTTCCTTGGACAACAAGGTATGGCTTCTTATGATATTATGAATCAATGAAGCTTCAATTGTTTGGCACCACTCTTCTTTGGTTTTTGTAGTTTCTTTTGGTAATCCTGTAGAGGTAGCATCCTGAGACTGTTGGTACATAAGAAGCTCACCCACCCACCCACCCACCCGAAAAAAAGATACACAAAAGCCCCTCTCATTCATTTCTTTCATACACTATGTTCCATTTTTGATGTTTGTAGCAATTTGCATGAGAGTTGTTCTTTTGTTGAAACACAATGGACTGAAATGTTCATAGGCAATAGCCCTGTTTTTTTGATTTGGAATTAGAGGCAATATTTTTATATTGTAGTACCTGTCAAATGCTAGCGACATTATGATTTTCTTCTAAAACATGTGTAAAGCATGCTTGTGGATTTGTGAATGTACTTCCATTGTTGTGTTCCATGAATGACAGTGATGTTCTATCAGATAAAAGGTGTTAGTTGAAGAAATGATTTTATGCATGGTATCCCTGAACCTTGAGTTTGTGTATCTATTGGTCTGGGATATCACTTGAGATGTTTCCATTTTTCTTTATTAGCCAATTTTCCTTGGATTGGAATGTCTTGAATTAATTTTGCCTTTGGGTGAGTATGTTGCAGAGCCTTCTGCAATCCTGCTGACGTTGAAGCATTTACTGAAGAGAAGAAACAATCTCTTTTGGTCAAACGTCAAGGAAAAGGTGCAGATTTTGTTCGTGCAGTGCAGGAGATTATCGACAGTTATGAGAAGTCAAAGAAAACAAACCAAGCTGATGATCTCAATTCTGGAGAAGAAGTTACTCTCGCAAATGGTGGGAATTCAATGGAGTCGTCGGCTGATTTTGAGTCAAAGGGTCGGACTGAAACTTCTGAAGCAACTGTTACAGGTAGAAATGATCCTTCTCTTGGAAGCAGCGTTGCTCCTGATGTCTCAAAAATCGGTTCTCTGCTTGATAAAGAGGCCTTATTAGAGCAGCCCACTGATAATGTCGTGGTCACAGCAAAACCTGTTATAACTACATATACTTCAAGAAAGAGATCTGGAGGCCTACGTACCCGTAAACGTGCCACAGAGAAACAGGATTCTTCAGTTGAAAGATCTAGAAGCTTTTCACGGTTAGAATCCTCTAGATTCCAGAACCTTATGATTCCATCTAAATTAGATGGAGACATGAATGTGGGGGATGCATCAACTGAAGTGATCCTGGATAGATCATTACGAAGGAACAAGCGAGTACGGAAATCACCAGATGCCTCTGAATGGGATGATGTGGATTCATCTGCTCATGTTTCAAATGGAAGCATCGAAGACAACAGTTCTGAAATTGTAACAGTTGATTCTGATTCTCTGAGTCTAAATGAAGGCAGCACTATAGATAGTGAATCTAAACCTGAACACTCTGAAACTGTTGTTGAGTGTTTGGAGGGAGATGTTGAGTTGAGCAAAGGGCTTGATTTTCAAATAAAAGCTGTGGTTATAAAGAAGAAAAGAAAACCAAACAGAAAGCGAGTGACTAATGAAGCAGCCGAGCAACATGTCAGGTTGGAAACAGAGGCTGATTTAGATGCTGGAGTGCATAGTAGTAGCCAAAATTCACAATCTTGTGAAAACTTGAATGAGAGGCATAATAAAGAAGATGGAGATGAGCACTTGCCTCTAGTGAAACGAGCTAGGGTTAGGATGGGCAAATTATCATCTTCGGAGGAGGAACACAGCAGCTTTTCTCAAGCTGAAGAAAAAATCTCTCATGGTGTTGCTCCCTCTGAGGTACACAATGGCTTATGTCCAGTTGAAGAAAGAAGCCCTAATGAGGTTGCAGTAGCTATGGTTGAGCAGATTGGCCCGCCAACTAACTTCAATGATGATTGCTCTGCTGATAAAGGCTTGTTTTCTGTGAAGGGAGCAGTGGATAATGCATCAACCCAAAAGGTCTTTGTTCAAATTCCGGCAAATAGGTCCCAGCTGTCAATAGTTAAGGAGAATCAGTCTTTTGGCTGCTCAGCAGATGGTGAAGCTGCTTTGCCTCCTTCCAAACGTCTTCATCGTGCTCTAGAAGCCATGTCAGCAAATGCTGCAGAAGATCAGGCATGTGGTGGGACAGCAACCATGAAAACATTAATGAATGAGAGTTCCAGTACTCTAAGGAGAAGCTCTTCTGACACGATCTTTGAAAGGAAAGAAAGTGATGGTGCAGGAGAACAGAGTGTAGAGACTCTTGGCCTTAGGACCTCTGCTTTCTGTTCAAGCTCTGACACAATTTTGGATGAACCTATCAAATCACCATTTGAAGCAGACATTTCTGTTCAACCAATAGCAGGTTCCAAGAGTCGAGAACATTGTGAAGATGTCTTGAAAGAGGCCTTGGAACATGAACGTGGCAAAGATCTTAATCAATCATGTGGAGGTCAGGCTTTTTGTACTGCTATTCAACAAAGCAGAAATAACTCTACACATAATTTTGACAGTAGACAGGCCAGTCTGCGATCCAGTGAGGGCTTATCAGATGAATTGTTACTTCTGAAGGATGAAGTCTGTTCTGAAAGACTTCAGTTAAGAGATGTTGGAGCTGAATACATTGGTTCTTCTGAGCATTCTCAACTGATTCCAGCTCTTATCTCACATGCTGATGAAGCTTCGAAGGTTACATCTCAAAATGGTTCAAATGTGCTTCAGTACAGTGCTGAGGATACTGGCTGTGAGAATACTGAATCATTGAGGTCTCCAATTCACGGCAACAATCAAGTTGATGGCATGTGAGTATCCATATAATATTTTGGCTTATATTGGCTAAATTTGCAGGCCTATGTCTCATTACAGCTAAGTTTGCAGTCCTATATTAAATGGTTTTTCACCAATAACTAGTATTTTTTTTCTCCATTTCATACAAGCATTTCACGGCAACAATCAAATCAATCGCATGTAAGTATCATTTAATTTTGGCTTATAATGGCTATTCGCAGGCCTATGTCTCATAACAGCTAAGTTTGCCGGCCTATGTTAAATGGTTTTTCACCAATAACCAGTACTTTCTTTTTTTACTCCATTCCATATGAGTTTTTCTCATAGAATTAAGAAGTAGGAACAGCTACTGTTCCTAGTCATCTTTTGTCACAGTCTAAGATCTGCTTCAAAAGGTCTGAATGTATCTGAGGGCACCCTTGTGAGATCGACAACCTTTTTTTTTGTATAATTTCAATTATCCTTATTGTTACTGAATTTTTGTCATAGGTCTGAGGAGGCAAAAGGTCTCAAATATGAGAAAAGACGGAAGGAAGCTAGTTATGCTTCTATTTCTGATCATCATTTGCATCACAGTGGTGTCTTGGTAGCCCAGTCAAGTCCAGTTCCGGCTGATGGAACAGAATCTCCTGCACAAACATCTCCACCCACTACCTCAACATGCCATGTATCTACCTCAGAAAGTGCTAATTTTGTTCAACATAGTGGATGTTCTACTCCCAATCATTCACACCAGAAGACAACTGTATGTACATCAGTTGAAGAAGAAAAAATTGAATTACTGGTGCCGCAACTTGCAAAATCTGCTGGCAGATGGAGTAATTATGCAGAAGCGCATGCTGCTTTATCATCCTTTGAAGGAACGCTTGGATCATTGACCAGGACAAAGGAGAGCATCGGTCGAGCAACTCGCATAGCCATTGACTGTGCAAAGTTTGGTATTTCTAACAAGGTAGGATCATGGTGCTTGCATGTGTGAGCTTTACAGTTTCTTTGTGTTGGTCCTGTTAGAATAGGTGAGAATTTTTATTTGGTTAGGTTATATGATTTTGTTACCCTAATCATTCTTCTGGGCTAACTGAACGCGAGAACATTCACGAGTTGAGATTTCATTTATTGGAGAAGTGATTTCAGACTGGAATATTGTGTTCCCAGCAACCAACCATTACTAGTGGATGTGCATGTAACATTTATTAGCATGAAAGGCGTATCAAACTGATTAGAAGGTTTTATTAATGTTCAGATATTTAGCAATAAATAATAGTCTGTTTATGTAGACATGGCAAGAAAATAGGAAGAAATATGATTGTCCAATTTGAAGTTGTGGTACAACCCTTCGTTTATAAATAGAGGGTCATGTGATGCAGTATGCTAGAATCAGTATTATGGGGTTTCTGAGGGGTTTGGTTCTGGGCACAGTTTTAGAAGGTATGTATTGTTTATCAAATGCCATTTTTTTTTTAAATTTCAAAAAAAAAAAAAAAAAAGCCATACTTTTAACTCATCTTGTAACAATCCTACACTTGGTTAAGTTGCATTTCCAGTTTGTAGTATTTTGGGTTGGTTTATCATGTCTGAATATTTTTTTGATTGGTAAAATTCTGTGGTTATGTTGCATGTTATGATAAGGCTTCATGATAAGCATTATTTCTATGCTTATTTTTTTTGTTTGTAGTGTTTAGTTCAATTGAGAAAGGGAATCTTTTCTTGAAAGGAATAAATTTGTTTGAATGAAGACCAGAGTGCATGGAGTTCATTTGCTTTATCTCTGGAATAATGATTTAGTTGCAATTAAAGTATACACGTGCAATACATTGTCTTCTGATGCATAGCTTGTCTTCAAAACTTAGGTGGTAGAGATTTTAGCCCGTCATTTGGAAAGTGAGTCTAGTTTACACAGAAGGGTGGATTTGTTTTTCCTTGTGGATTCTATCACTCAGTGTTCTCGAGGTTTGAAAGGTAAAGTGCTATCCTTGTGTTATTTCAAATTGATGGGAACATGTGGTATATGTGATGTTTATTTTGGTCTTGAAATTCCAGGTGATGTGGGTGGCATATACCCTTCAGCTATTCAAGCAGTGTTGCCACGTCTGCTTTCAGCTGCTGCTCCTCCTGGAAGTTTTGCACAAGAAAATCGGAGGCAGTGTTTGAAGGCAATCCTCAGAACTCTATCTTGAATTGTGCTTTTGTTATTGGTTTTCTGTATTGGTATTATGTCTGATATCTTTGTGTTTCTTTTATAGGTTCTGAGGCTTTGGCTGGAAAGAAGGATCCTTCCAGAATCTGTTATTCGCCATCATATGCGGGAACTTGATTCACTAGGTGCTTCATCTTCCGCTGGTGCGTATTCTCGCCGTTCAGCAAGAACAGAAAGGGCTTTAGATGATCCTGTTAGAGACATGGAGGGTATGCTTGTTGACGAATATGGAAGGTTTGCTTTATTGAATTCCATGTCTATTCTAGAATAATTGAAAAAGTTGTAGAACGTGTTTTACTAAATTATTTCTTGTTGCATCAGCAATTCAAGTTTTCAGCTTCCAGGATTTTGTATGCCCTGTATGCTTAAGGATGAAGATGAAGGAAGCGATTCTGATGGGGAGAGTTTTGAGGCTGTCACTCCTGAACATAATCCTGAAACCCCTGAAGAACAAGAGACCTGCCATCCAATTGAAAAGCACACACACATCTTGGAAGATGTTGATGGTGAGCTTGAAATGGAGGATGTGGCTCCATCTTGTGAAGTTGAAGCAAGTTCAACCAATGGCATTGCTGGAGTCAATGGTGTACCGAATTTGCACGATCAATTAGAACAGAATTTTCCACTTCCCTTTGCCCCTCCTTTGCCTCAGGATGTGCCACCATCATCACCACCACTGCCAACATCACCTCCTCCACCTCCACCTCCACCGCCACCACCTCTTCCTCCTACTGGTCCCCCTTCTTGTGCGATGCCTGATTCTTATGTTAATGGTGTTGATTCAAAAATTTATACAAATTCGCATGTGAGCCCTAATTCTTGATTGCATTCTCTCTTTGTTATTTTGTCTCACGTTTCAATTTGTCATTATTTTGTTTACTGATTGAGCTGATTTTGCAGAATATGCAAGATGACTTGCGAGAATCCAGGGCTCAGCAGCCAACTGCACCAAGGATCAACCCATCATCAATGTCCAATGGAGTGCATTATCATGCTACTGAATGTAGGGATGAGATGCAGATTTGTGACTCTACAAGCTCTTTCAGCAGTTATCCTGTACACCCAGTGCACACAGACGGTTCTACCTTCCACCACAAGGCTTATCCTCCAAGGCCTCCACACCGACATCCTCCAAATCAATTCTCTTATGTCCAGTCAGGCCAGCATGTAAAGTCTCGGAGAGAGAATCCACCTCCTTATGAGCACAGATACCACCCGTCACATAATGGTGATGGTGGAAACTTTTACTATAACCACGAGAGAATGAGACCAGCCCCATATGAGCCCAGTGAAAGTTGGAGGTACCCAGCACCCCCCTTTTCTGGTAAGGTTATTGTTTGTATAAGTTCATTTCGTTCTATGACCATTTTATGTTGCCCTATTATAGCCACTCTTGCATCTTATTGTCAATGTCATGTTCCCCATCCTAGGGCCACGATATCCTGATAAAGGTAGAACACCTTACTCGCCTGGTCCATATGGTGGCCCCCCAAGAGAACAGACTAGGATACCTCATCAAGGGTGGTCATTTCCTCCCCGGGAGATGCATCATAGAAACTTTATGCCTTTTAGACCACCCCCCGAAAGTGCAATTCCAGTTTCTAATAGAGGTACATTATTTTTTAATGGATGGTTGTATTTTGAAAACAAAGTTGATTTTTTTCCTTCCTTTTTTTGTTCTCTTCGGTTTTTTACGTTGCTATTTCTTTTTACATCTTAAGATTATTAGGTCAACAAATTATTATGCAGTGGCACCTTGCTCAAGTGATTAATGTTACATGTCATATCTCATGTATCTTTCTTGTATCAGCTCCTAGCGTTTGGCGACCAAGATGAATTCCTATTACTGCATAGCTGGGAATGGTATGTTGCCACTGTTATTTTTGCATTCATTCATTTTCTTTTTTACAAGTCTTGCCAAGTCTTCATCAATATTTCTCTTACTGATCTGTAAATTTATACTGGTTTATGTATGTCAGAATCTGTTATTATCTGGCTTCTTGGCTTGTTCAAAACAAGCAAGACTATCGGGTGGTCAATGCTTACTGCTATGCACAGAATGTATCATTGAATGAGGATTTGACTCAGACAATCAGCATTTTGACATGCTTCATTGGTTGTATATATGTATTCTATCCACTGTTTGCAAAATGCAGAGGGCTGCAAGACAGTCATGACGGAGATTGGGAGAGCTGTAACTGAACTCTAGAATGCCCGTCTGTCTGTGTATCAATTTTTATTTTTCTTTGATCTTAGCATTTATATGTTGGAAAGCCTCATAGGAATTCCATAGAAATTTTCGTTGGGCCATTTGTTACTGGCTTTTTAGCTTTAAATAGTTGCCCCCCCACCACTTGATGTAAACAATTTGTTTTTTCCTTTTTTTGTTCTATAGTGAAATTTTCCTGGCCCAGCTGGATCAGAATTCAGAATGAGAAGCAAATTCAACTATATATTATTTTTATCAGCTGATTAATGATGAATGGCTGTTAGCAAGAGCTGAAAAACCAAATCTTATGTGAAACTTGATAGAAAGATAAAACCAGAGGTGTTCCTATGTTTCACCTTGTAGATTGACCAATGTATATTGTAACTTGTAACTTCTCTGTGTAGATGAAGATTTTGCTTTCAACTACTTCAATGTCTAGTTGCTTCAGGTAATAGCCAGTTTCCTGTTTCTTGTGAGCTTTGAGATGCCAAATAAAAATTATTGTGGCAATTAATTCTAGTTCATGTGCTGTTACATGATGAGATGGTCAATTGTGGGGCTATTTGTCTTGTCATTTTTTGGCTTAATCACAGGATAATGCAGCTTTCCTTGTCAGTCTTGTCTTATATAGTGCTTGATGATTTCTTTCATTAATGACAAATTCAACAAGGTGGTTGAGTGCACCCAACCTCTTTTAAGACTTTGTGAGTTGTGAGCTCACAACGTTGACAAATGATGCCAATTAGTGTTTGTACAAGTCCCATATTGTTTTCACAAATAAAGCCTGCCTATTCTTTTTGTTTTCATAAATAAATCCCAGATTGTTCCGAGTATTGAAATTGCATTTCATGTTATTGACAAAAGCTGTGCATTGCTTTTATCAGCAGATGATGTAATACTGTGATGCAGGGGAATATGTTGTCTTCATTTCTGAGCTGTTCTTTGTGTTTGGGATGCCAATTTATCTGCATTTCTCAAATATATTTGAATAGTAATTGGTGTTTGAAAATTATTTAGACCATTCTATGTATATGGAAATTATTTAGATCAATCTTTGTATGTACTGTGGTTTTTCCAATGTCGTCGCAATGCGGGGCTGGTCTTTAGGTATGTTTTGATTCGAAAAGAAAAAAAAAAAAAGATAAGAGAATTATGTAAACAAAAAACTTTTTCAAAATAAAAATAATAATTATAAAAATAAAATTAAATAAATAGTACTTATTAATTATGGGTTTCTAAATTGTAATCATTATTATTTCTTTTACAGGTAAAAATGAGCAAAAAAACAAATGCAGATATAATGGAATGCCCTAAAGAGGCAAAGTTATAACAATTATTAGATGTATCTAAACGTAACCAGTTTAACATGGATAAGAAGGCAATTTGGACATTTTACTATCTAATTTTAGAAAATTAATATCTTTTAATTTTTGCGAAGAAATGAAATGTTACTGTTAAATTGTATTATAATCCCAATTATTAGTCTGTAATGAGAAAAGTGACGTGTCATGATTTGAATCCATCGAATACCTGTTCGGAGCAAATCATTTATGGCTTCTACAAATAATTCGTCATGGCCAGTGGCCAACGAGAAATCAAACCTTTCGATTGAGAATATAATGAATTAATTAGAAATCGAAAGAGAAACCCATCGTTCAACACAAGGTTCTTAGGCGGTTCCAGACTTCCAGTCAGTCAGTCGGGCGGGAATGGGCGGTTCTGCATCTGTCCCTGAGAAATCAATCCATGAATTCACTGTCAAGGTATTCTTCTTCTCTCTTCTTGTATTTCAATTTCGAACCTCTCTTTACAGGATACGTAACTATATTTGATGGATTCGTTGTTTGGGATCAGGATGCGCGAGGCCAGGAAGTCGACCTCAGCGTCTACAAAGGGAAGGTTCTCCTTGTCGTCAATGTCGCCTCTAAATGGTTTATCTTTTTACTCGCTTTTTTCTTTTTTCCTTTTTTCCTTCTGGAGATTATTACTTGGAAATTTGAAAATTCTGAATTTTGGGTGCTTTGGAACAGTGGATTTACGGATTCAAATTACACCCAGTTGACTGAGCTTTATAAAAAGTACAAGGACCAAGGTTTTTTAACTTCCTCTCTACCTTGTTTTTCGTTTCTTTTGAAAATGTTTAGGTTCTTCTAAATTTTTGTATCTCAAGGGTGTGCTTAATTCTTTTCTAATTGGCTTATTGCGTGATAGTATCTCTAGATTACATGGCTGTTGCTATTTTATAGGAAACGGCCGGTTAAGGCAGTAGAAGAAAATATTGAAAATTTAGTTAACGGCATGGTTAAAATAGGCCTCATATAGGCTGCGGATGCTGAGTGCTTCTTATTTTCATGTGAGCGTGACTTCATAACTGAGCCTTTTGTCCAGAAAACAAGATGTCCCAAACTCATTTTCACTTCAAGAAAGTTTTTCTTTGGATCTGTATACACGTTTGCTGTTGATGTGCTTTTTTAGGTAATGATTGCTCATAGCAATTGAAGAGTTTTGAGCTTGCAACTATGCGGGTGCAAGTTCAAGTTTTGAGCTACCAGTTGATACAAAATGTTGATCTCCAGATTTTACAATCTAGGACCCAGTCTGGTGGATAACACCGAGCTTTGATAATATGTAGTGACAACAATTCCATGTCTTTCTTTTTAATGGTTCTTTTTTACAGTTTCTTTGGGTTTATGGATGCAATCTCAGGTCTTGAAATCTTGGCTTTTCCATGCAATCAATTTCTAAAACAAGAGCCTGGGTCAAGTGAAAATGCGCAAGAGTTTGCTTGTACACGATACAAGGCTGAATACCCAATCTTCCAAAAGGTATGCTACACTAAGTTGCTACTCCATTAATTGGAAGAGGTGGTTGATGTGATTATTGCTTCAACTGCAAAAGATGATCTTTTCCATGAAATGAAGTTGAGTTAAAAAATGGAACAGATTTTTCTTATCTTGCTATCAGAAGCTGCAAGAATTTGCTTTACACTTGCAATAACTTTATCTAGTTTGGTAGTTTTAGTTTAATACTTGATGCTCCTTTCTATGTCCTTTACTTCGACCCCACATATTATTATAGTGACACTGTGGTTGCTTGAGTGCTACATATAAAGTCATGCCGTTTAGCAACAACATTTGAAATTGAGTGATCGTAATTGCTCATGTAGTGGGTGGGAAAGTGATCTACTTTTTTACCACCCATGTAGTGGAAGCACATAATGTAAGCCTTTGGCAGAACTTGATCACTATATCCTTTGGGAAGAAATTATTTTTTATCTTGTACTTTGTTGAACTCCAAACACTTCCCATGCATATTAAGAGATTAAGTGCATAAAGTTAGACATTTGGTAGTTTCTGAACCTGCATGTCTTGTTAACTGTAGGTTTTTATTAATAAATTTCTATAGCTATAGATCCCTCATATTTATCTGACTGTTTATCTGTAATTGCATTATGATTTAGTGGAATAATGCATGTTAATTATCTGGTGAATGCTGACCAAAAGCTGTTATACTTGTCCATTATGATCCTCACTTCCTGGAGATATTTGCCAATGTTAGATTCTCATCTATTTTAGGTTCGTGTCAATGGGCCGAATACAGCACCTGTCTACAAATTCCTAAAGGCGAGTAAATTTGGCTTTATGGGATCTAGCATAAAGTGGAATTTTACGAAGTTTTTAATCAACAGGGAAGGGCAAGTCATCAATCGCTATGGCCCAACCACCAATCCTTTGTCTTTTGAGGTAATGTACCACCCATGTGCACCGGGGAATTTGTGGCAGCCTGCGAATGTTTGGAAAGTTTTGATATCACTCGAATACTATCATGTTGTTTGTTTGTTTCTGGATGCAGGATCATATCAAGAAAGCATTGGAAATTAAGTGAGGAATATGCTGTAAAAAGATGGGAGTAAAAAGACAAAAAGAAGAGGTTAATCGTTTAAATGGCGAAGAGGCTACTCTCCTATCAATTTAGTTATTGTATATTATGAACAGTGAAGTTTTTCTATATCTGGTATTCGGTTTGCAGATTAGAAAATACACACTCTGTAGATAGTTTGCTATCAAGTTGTTCCTTCCTATTGAGCTTTTCCAATGAAACTTCTTATGTGTGATTGTCCGGTTGAAATCTTGATTGCTTGGCTTTGGATTTGCATAATCAGAGCCTCGGACGATCACCTTGCAAATGGTTATTTAAGTGGCACTGTTTGATTAACATTCAGCAATAAGATTCTATCAGTTATCCTATTTGAAATTTTAAGTTCTTTAAAAAAATCATTAAATATGTCTAAATTATAATAAATTATTGAGTAAATTGATTATATTATTCTTATTTAATATTAATGTTATAAGAAAATTATTAAATTGAGATAATAATTATTGGTTATATACAAAGAGTAAATAAGGGAAAAAATATTTATTACCTTTTGAAACTATCATTTGAAATTATGAATATGATAAATATTTTGAAATAAATTAATTTTCAAATGTGAAAAATATTACGGACTAAATGCAATACTTTGTTGCAACTGAAATGAAATAGGAGTAAACTTAACTCCTATCCACGATAGGTTAGGTTTTGATAAAAAAGCACATGGATAGTTTGAAAGGACAAAAAAAAAATTGAAATCATTGTAGTAATATTACAAAAAGTATTATTTTCTTTTTATTTCATAAAATATATTTAAACATAAATTGAATTGTGAGCATATAATAACTATTAGCATATAAAGTTTAGAAAAATATTAGATAAAAAAAATTCATAATTTTAATAAGTTGAATATATATATATATATAGACTCGGAAACAAGTTTGAATACACTCAAAAATTAAACATATTTTATCAGATTCGCGAAATTGTAAGGGTCCTATTTAAAAAAAAAGTTAATTAATATGCTAATTGGAAAAAAAAAAAGTGGGAAAATATGAGGAGACAGAAAAAGGTAAGTCTCCTTGTATCTGTGTGTCAACACGTGGTGTCGCAAGTTAAAAAAAAATCATTGAAGTCTAAACTCAAACGAACAAAATAAAAAATCGTCCCGACAGCTTCCATTTTCATTTAGTTCAATCCAATTATGAACCAACCTATACATTGGCTACTTCTCGATGGAAACTTCAACCATTTTCTTGCCTACCCACTTCAAATCCTTGCCTATCTCTTTGCGTCTATCTACATCAAATCCATTGGGCCTTATCGCTTTCTGGTTTCTGTTTTCTTCTCCTAATCCAGATAACATTCGCAAAGAATGAAAGAAGCTTCCCGCTTGCCAAACTTTAGCTCAGCAGTAGGACATACCACAGCACGTGAAGATGGGCTCACACAGAAGTCTCTAATTAACCAAAGGTCAGAGAAAATGACCCGTGATTCCACGTGTCACAATCTCCACCCGCAAATGAGTTGATGTTGGTCCCACATGTCCCCGCTGGGGCAATGGAAGGTTGTCTCTTGAAAACGTCGTATCGCTTCCCACGCTCCCATAAACATAAGCAAACGAAGAGGAACAAGAGGCGCAAATGAGTTTGAACTGGTTTGTCACGGCCGGCAGCAATGATAAGTGGCCGGCATGTCGGATTGACTAGGACTATAAAACTTAGCTAGACATGGTGCACGTGATTATGGAGTCTAGCTAAGGTTCTTCTGCCCAGTTGTGGGCTCTACTCGTGCCAGATAGAATTTTTAGCTAAGTGTCATTTTTTTGGGGTTATCCTTTAATTGTGGCTATCTTTGCGACCTTGAGAATTAGTAGGTTCATTAGTTGGAAACCTGGAACTAATGCATATGTCATTAAGCTCTAACTACTTGTTTAATGACTAGTTTAATGGAGTAATTTACTGATCCTTCATTGATTATTCATAACGTATTGCTTCATGCTAATAATAATTAAACAATTCTCCTCTTAAGAAAAAAAAAAAAAAAAAACTCAAAATTTTGCAATCTTCTGCCAAATGGAACACGTGTCAATATAATCGACCATTTTGTTACGTGAGGGTCATTTGTTACCTTAAGAATTTAATTAGGAGTACCTAATCGCAACATTCCATAATTAGTCAAGTACCTATAATAATGATTAAAAGGTTTGGTGACAACATTCTTTTTAATATTTCCTTTGCTAGCATTTTCATATAATTGCATCTTCATTTAACAACTGCCAATTAATAATTAACAAGTCAAATATTTCATTAAGAAAAATAAATTATTTCTTTATTTCTCAACAAGATAGAAAATATAATATGCATTATTAACTAATTGTATCTAAGTTATAAAATTTATTATTTTTTTTTTATTAAATAAAAGAAAAACACAATTATGAATAAATTCTTTCACAAAACTATAATAATTTTGTAAAGGCATTATATAAATATTATTTTTTTGATTAATCTTTTTTCATTTGGTACCCATTAGACTGTTACCTTATTTTAGTTAATACATCCATAAGAGGGAGGTGTAATGTATGTGCATGAATGAAAGGAAGTTAAGCATACCATTCAAAGGATAAGCCTCAATGGAAAGAAGTTGATGACTAGTCCTTTTCAAATTGGTTTGGCTAGGAGACAAACCCTAACAGGTCTGCTTTGCATCGTTTTATAACCATGGCCCATTTGCCCAAAACTTGTCAACCACCACATATTTTTTCAATCATATCTTCTACAGTCTACACCCATTGCCCCCTTATATAAATAACTCAAAGTCCCATAATCCCTTCAAGCCATAACTCAACTTTTATTACTATATATTACACTAGTGAAACTCAAGATTACAGCTTTAATGGCGGCTGCAAGTGCATTTTCAATGAGGAGCATGAAGGTAAGGTCATGGCAGCGATTTTCAAAGCAAATTAGAGAGCAAAGAACGAGACTTTACATAATCTGGAGATGTGCAGTGATGCTTCTTTGTTGGCATGACTAGTTTTCTGGTTCTAGCTAGATCTTAATGTTGAAGGGTCAACAACTACAACGGCAATGGAAGGCTTAATCAAGTAACTGACTTTGTTAAATGAATGGAAGCTTAGATGTTGAAACATGGTTTGACTGGATCAATGTGTATATTTGAAGCCTGTAGAATCTGTCTGATCTAATTCTTAGGAAGCTGAAGAAATTAGGGTTTTAGAAAGCAGGGGAAACGTGCTGTGTATTTTATGTGTGAAATACTTGTACTATAGAAAAGAACTCTGATGATGGATGCTTTTCTCCACTTTTTATATCCAATCTCTGTAAAACAGCCCTCTTTCAGCTCTTTTTGAGGTTTCATTAAAACACCCACTAACTTCAAGTTCATGTATAATGATGCTTTATGATCTGCAACTTTGAGGAATTTGGGACTTACTGTGGTACTCAATTTTGACTACCCAGAGATTCAATTCTTGAGTAATGTGGATTTATACTGGAAGCTTAGATTTTTAAGTATTGCAGCAGTTTCAATTGGTAACAAAATTGCCCCAATTGGCTTACCTTACCATAGAATTTGAAATTTTGGGGAGCATGTAATTTTTTGTCTTGCATAATTGTGATTTAATCCTAGGATTGGCAGCTACTATGCCGCATAAAGTAGTGTGGTGAATCTTAGGATTACTGCAATTTATAGGTCAGTTTTCACTTAGATCATAGGCAAGGCATTTATGAAGGATAGAAGATGTAGGATCAACCCATATTTCCTTTTTGGCATATCCAGAATATTTAAGGGAAATGAGAGCAGTCAGGATTTGACTTTTGTTTTTTACACGTCCACTCTACAAGGTTTTGTAGATATCTTGAACTTCACCATGTTCATTTACCCTATTCCAGAAGGTCAGGTCTCGGTTCTATTCAAGTGGACCAGGCTAGGTTTGAGCATAAACTTGCAAATTTCCATCTACTTGGTATCATGAGAAAGGGGCATCAAAACATAATAACCACATGAGATTAACGTACCCAGATGAACTTATTCACAGATTTATTATTTGATCAGTCATTCAAAAATAAACTCTAAAAGTAGAGACATTATATGTAGAGTTTCATTAATCTGCAAAACTCGCATGGAATGTTAAATATGTTAAAACAAGAAAGAAAGAAATAAAAACCCAATAAAGCTATACGCAATCCATGTAGAAATAATTATCCACCATTTACAGACTGGTGCGGCTCTTACATTTCTGGTTCTTCAAAGAAATCCCATCCCTCGTCCAATAGCTCTTTCCGATCAGTCCTCTTGTCTTCTTCATGTTGGCTTTTAGGTGACTGATCATGAATAGAAGATGTAGGGCTTCTCTCTTTAGGGCTCTTAGATGTATCCCTTGGCTCAGAAGCCAGATCAGATGCACTGCTTCTAATGGATGAGCCTAAGATGGAACCTGTGCTTTTTAGAGATGATGATGAACCGGAGGAGGCTAAGATGCAACTTGTTTGGGTAGAAGAAATAGATTTACTCAGTGGAACATTCTCATCAAATCTCTCTTTCAGCAGTCTCACATCTTGACAAATAACAGATATTTCTCCTCTGCAAGAATGACAACAACAAACATCATTTCTATATACAGACAAGAATGTGTGACAACCACAAGAATTTTGGATCCACTATCCTAGTGAATAATCATCTTCGAGTCTTAAGATAAAAAGTAGTTACACTAGGGGCAATTGCAATCCAAAAAAACGGTATTGTAGGTTATTGATAAATGATGAAAAAGACACCTGTATTATGCAAATTCACAACTTAATTTTAATTGTAAGTTATGAGAAGACTTACTGTAATGTGTCAACAACATGACCGCGATCCACAAGAAACTCCCTCAACTACAGAAAACAAAATTAGAAGGATTAATTATATCATTCTTTTTATCTGTTTGGGACTTCATGACAGTAATTATCACATAGCAGCAACTATTTACTACCTTAGAATTTTCCTCTGCCTGTCTTTGTAGTATCTTGGACTCCTGTACCACCTTGTCCATGATGGCTTCTTGTTCAGCAAGAGCTTTTTTTGCAGATTCTTCCTTCTCCAGCTTCTGTTTCTCAGCAGCTTTTCTTAGCTCCTCTGCAGCAGCAAGACGAGTCTCTAGTGTTTGATTCATCTGTGTAAAAATATCATTTACATAAAATGACAAGATAATCCTTGTATGGGATCATCAGGAGGGAGAAAAGAAGAGAACAAAGAAATTCACATTAAATTTTAGTGGCGTGGGTCCAAATTTTAGTTTAAGTAATGAACATTAATTCATTGCACAAAATAGAATTTCCCCTGCTTAATGGATATGCATTTGCTACCCATGAGGAATTCTTTTGGTTTTACTGCAGGACGACGAAATGAATTTTGGATCGTAGATAATTTCTCAAGATAGCCTTTGTATTAAAGCTTTGTGTTGACTAGAGAATACATCGCACAAACAATAGATAATAATGGAAGAAGCAATACTCAATATAGATAGATAAATAATAAGTAAAATTAATTAATTTTAGTTCAGTATGTTTCTCCTACTAGAAATCCAAATATAGATGCAAAATGTGAATAATGTTATTTAGTACCAATCTCAACATGTCACTGAATACTTAAGAAATATACTCAAAGCAAGTCATGAACGGAGATGACCGACAGACAACAGTAGCAACTCAACATCTACAAGTAGGAAGCAGAGAAACAATCAACTTCATTATAAGGAATACCTCATCAAGTATTGCAAGAGCTTTATCCCTTTCATCAGACAAGCTGAGTAGCCGACCCTGCAACTCCCTCACTTCAGTTGCCAGAATTGCCTTCTCACCATAAATTTCCCCTGCATGCTGCAAAAGCAATGAAAAAAGTTCAGCATCTATTATCAGCTGTTAAACCAATATGTAATCATATCTATGACCAGTGGTTACAGAGAAAATAAAACTGTAGTACCATGTCATTTGCCTCCTTTGCATGTCTCAGCATCTGTTCAAGTTCCTCCACCTTTTTTAGAATATCCAAACCTGCACTAGCAGCTTCTTCTTTTGCTTGCTCTGCAAGCTTCTCTTGAAGCTCAACTTGTCTCATCATGTTCATACTCGACTCCATTGCTAAAAACAAAGTTTTCTGCATCATGAAATCAACAAAAGAAATGTGAATTTGTTATCGATTGGAATGTATAAGCAAATAAGAAAGAGACCTCTGTTCATGCCTCAGCTTTATGTATGGAGGAAATTCATGTTAACCATAGATTTATAGTTTTATTATTGTTCATAATAGACAAAGATTGTTTTGTTGAAATTGAAAATGGAATCACGCATCAGTTTACTTTCAAAATTAGCATAACACATCATACAAATAGTCTCAAGTGATGGTGGCCATTTGAAACTCCAAACCAGCCTTAAAATACCTTGTTGTTTTTAGCAGCTTCAACAATATCTTCAAGAAAATCTATTCTGATGTCCTCATTGGACTTCAAGGTCTTACAGCTATCAATAGGAGCAGCAGAAGTCACCAGTTGAAGATGATCCTGAACAACTTCTGTTGTCTCTTCAACGACAGAATTTTTGAGAAAAATATCAGTGACATTTACAGACTCTACATGAGGACATGTCCCAGATTGAGGCATGTCAAAATCATCAGCTGAGAGACCATTAATATCTTTCAACTTGCCACGATGCTCATTCGAGCTGCCTCCAGAACTACCATTTTTCACCATCCAAGTAGTTGGCAGGAATTGGGAAGTTTCCTCATGCCCAACACTGACATTAATGTCTGGGCTTTTACCCAATAAAGCCGGCACCTCAGTTTCAGTACTAACAAATACCTGGCTTAGATTAGTATTTTCTTCATATGAAGAAGCAGTTGACATGAGTTCAGAAGTCTGATTTGCAGATGACTGGACATCTTCTTGGCGTTGAGGCCTTACCAACAATATTAGTTCCTCATTTTCAACATTTCCATGCACCTGAATACCTTGAACTTCTGAGTCACAAGGTAACACTGCAGTTGGACTTGGTGCCTTTTCTTGATTACTTGAATCAGAACGATGGACAACACTAGTAATATCATTTGTACAGGTACTCTCGCTTGGTATTGATATTGATGGCAAATCTAAAGCAACATCCTGATGCGTTGATGATTCTGTTTGTTCCTCGTGTTCAGCTGCATATTATAATTCAATAAAATGAATGAATAAACCCTAGGAAACCATTGTAATGGGTAATGGGTAATGGGTGTATAAACTACAGTCATCATTGCCACCCACAAAATCACAAGAGTAAATTAAAGCCAAAATGGAACAACAAAATTCTGATTTTAATTTGTATCGTGCATGTAGAACAGCCTTCAATAGGACTTACCGTCAATTATATTACTTCTTCCACCTGCGACACCACCTGTACTGCAGTCCTCATGAGGAGAACCTTGAATGGACTGTCGTGGAAGATTAGGAAGAACCTCGGAAACAACATATTCAGCAGCTGCATTAGCATCTTTGGGGTGCTCAATAGCAACAGCCTTTAAAATGCGCCAATCAACCTATTGACAGTAAGATCAAAGATAAATGCTACGGTCAGAAATAAGAACCAAAAGGACAGGTTAAAGTTTAACAGTTAAACCCGACTAGAAAACATCTAAAAGAATTATTAGGTGAATCAGAAAAAAAATTCTCCATGCTTGCAGATCCATATAAACAAAAACAAGTTGTCCATGGCCAAGGCACTACCTCGTAGGCAGATAATGGGTAAAACATTAAAAGGAATCAGCAAATGCATTTCAAAGTTAACGAGAATCGAGTTATTGAGTAGGCATATCAGGTTTTGCGGCCTCCAATAGTAGAAATTTCTTATCCTAGCACTTGATAAGTTGAAAATATTCACACATGTAAACGAGCAAGTAATCATTAATTAAGCATAAGCAAAGTTATGAGGTCAGACAGACACCTGCGGAAACAGTTCCATCAAGCTTCCATGAACTGTTTTGAAACCCATGTTTAACGGCTAATAATCTGCAACATTAACAGAAAAATTAACTCCTCCAATTTGACAATTGAATGAAATTAAAAATCAGTAATCGATAGGTAATTCTCGATTAAAAAAAACAGAGAGATTGTAATCTCAGCTTCTTTGGTCAAAGATTACCACGAAATAAAAGGAATAAACAAAAAAACCTCGAATTTTAGGTTTAAATCACTCGAAACTGAGATCAATTTCAACAGAATAAAAAAAGAGTACAGTATTGGATTTCCTTCCCGTCCCTTTGCGTTTTTCTCGGCAATCAAACAGAAGGAATTACAAGCAGAAGTACTGACCTATCGGTTGCTCACGTTCTAGAGAAATCGAAACTCGAAAGGACGTATAAAGAATAATGAATCGAGAGACAGAGAAAGACGAAGGGGTTTTGCTGGGTATTTGTAGTGTTCGTTTTTGGGGAAAATAAGTCGGCTGACAAGAGGAGGTGAACCAAGGAACTAAGGAATTGGATAGAAATGTAATACCGGAAAAGGCGTAAGGGTATTTAAGTAAAAGTGGATAGTAATCAGTATTGTTTATCGATTTATTTTCATGGGGATTGGATTGGTTGTTAGGAATTTGTACATTGTAGTTTTGCATGGTGGAGATTTAGTGCGCGATATTGGGAGACGCTATGCGACTCATTACTCGTTTCTTTATAATTTATGGTTATATTGGTAATTTTGGGGCGTGCGTTTTCCTTGAACTTTCATCAATTTTCGTTTATTCAGAGTCACATGAAATATAAACTTGTATTTCACACCTACATCATTGGTGATTCTGTCACATCATGGGTCAGTCCAATCGAAGGAGACAATTCTATTCATTGGCTCAATGATGCATTTTTCTGTTGTCATTAATAATTTGAGAATAAAAATATTTTTTTATTTATTGGGAAATCCAGCAACATGAAATAACACTTGCACTTCCGATGGACCGTAAAGATAGCCTTTTCTTTTCTCGTAGTTAATCAAATTAATGAAAAATTTTTATGAAAATTAAAAAAAAAATTTTATGATTGAAAGGATTCAAATCGTGATTTCTCTTTACGGATATATACATTCTATAATATAAATGTCAGAGTAATCGGAAAGAAACGATAAATGTTTTACAAATGAAAATAGAATTATATTTCTGTAAAAACAAAGAAAAAAAGGGAAAAGTGAGCATGTACGTATATACTCCGATAATTTGTAGGCATGCCTTGTTAATGGAGTGGCTGGTTCAATGAACCGGTAGTTTCTATCACAGAAAATTATAAAATGAGACCGAATTCACTCTTTCTGGTTTCGGCCTGATTTCCATGCCAATTCCGGTTTTTGTTTTCTTTTGCCTTTTTCGGCCATTTATAGAGACAAGAATCCTGCGCCATTTCTGGCCAGTTCCGATTCCAAAGACAGGAAACAAAAGCGGCTCTGGTCCAAATTCACTTCAACCATAATCTGAACTAAGCCCAACTTCGCGTAAAGAAACAAGTTACTCATTTAAAAAGTGTTTAAAGACTCAAATTCTTTACAATATTATTTGACCAACATAACACAGGACGCTACCTAACTGAGACTATGCATGTGACATTACCAAACACAGGACACTACACAGAATTTTCATATTCATGTCCATTTTCAAATTTACTGTGGACAAAGATTGAGTATACAGAGAGAAAGAGTGAGACATGATACTGCAAGGTGGTCGACCTAACTCCTTTTCAAAATTACAAATGGCCATTCACACTGATTACAGAGGCTCCAGTGGAACAGAAATAAAACATTGGAAACTGCTGCTGTTTAATTGCCTAACTGGAATCACGCAGTCGCCTCTTATTGCCTGGCACAGGTGACTCTTGTTAGATTCGGTAGAACTCTCGATTGACAGCAATTATCCTCCAGACTTCTTTGGGATATTGTTCTGTTTACCTTGTCCTCCCTAAAAAAAACAAAAAAACTAAACTCAGGTAAAATATTATAAAGCCAGCATCTCTGAATAGATATCAACATAAAAAGTGTGCAGTTCACTGCTTTGCGCTGACAAAGGATCAACAAAATTTATAAGTTTGATGCTGTAATGCTCTTCCAAATTCCAAATATTTTGCTCCATCAAATAATTTGTACTTCTGAAGAAACCATGTCTGTAATTTTTACTTTCAGGCTAGCATAAATACTCAAAATGGAAGATGGAGAAAAAGATTCAAGTTTTGCATTTCTTGATTTGAACAAATGTGATCTATCCAAAATTAACCATCATTATTAACTGGTTCTATTATTAAGCAGCAATTAAATCAGACATGAAAACAAGAATTAACAAAGTGTTTACTCACTGCAGGCTTTTGACCAGACAACCTTCGATTGGATGGTGCTCGTGCAACAGAAGAAGCAGCTGCAGCAGCTGCCACACGAATCCTGAAAAATGTACACTCCACATTCGTGATATGAACAAGTAAATTCACTATATAATCAGACCCAGGAAAATCAAATCCATCAATACCTTTTATGTACATCTACATATACATCTGTCTCATCCACAATTTCCTCCTGCATAATATTGCGCGAAAAAAAACACCAAACATTTTCATTTTGGAAATTTGGTGCATAAAGAAACTGCAGAGATACTTTAACAGATAAAATTAGAAGTTTTGAAACCAAAGGTGGGACACTTTCTCAAGTTAGAGCCACAGCCGAGTCAAAGTCAGTGAAACCATCAGAAAATGGTGGAAAAGACTTACTTGCAGAAGTTCTTCAAAAACATCCTCTAATGTGATAATACCAATGACTTCCCCATCTTCAATATCCTCTGACAAATGAGGCATCATGTTTGTAGCTACACCATTTGGTTCAAGAGTTAGATTTTCCTTGATTGTGGTAGGCCTTGCAGCTTTCTCAATGTCAATGATGACACTTTCTGATTTATCATCATGCTTGTTTAACAAGGGTGTGTTTAACTCAGAATCTCCATTGGCAAATTTGCTATTATTGAATTTCTTGCTCTTTGCATGAACCTTCACTACAGCTGCCATATGGCTGCTTCCCTTCTGAAACTCATTGAGTATATCATACAAAGGCATATCTGATGTAACCCTGGCATGTTCAGGCATAAAAAAAACCTACTTTTGATATAAAGAACTAAATAGAAGGGGAAAAGAAAATAAAAAAAGGGAAAAATTGGATTCAAGAGCACACCTAGGAATCCTTCTGATGGATACTGCACTGACTGGAGTCTCTGTTTCTGCCCGAACTGTCAACAGACTTTTCACCTGAATGCCGGTCAAAGTAGAATTATTAAGTAACCAACTTCTAAATTACCTTGGCCAACGATACCAAGAAGTCACTTTCAACATAAGGAAATTAGAGTTTCTATTTTCACACTCACCAGAAGGAGCCCAATAATGTTCTTTTGACTTCCAGAATAGACAGGAACACGACTATGACCTCGAGCAAGAATTTTTCCAATTGCTTCCCTATGTTGCAGCAGTAGAATCAGTCTCTTCATATTTAAAGTATAAAGATGTAATTTCTAGATAATGGTGATCTTACAACAATAAAAAGTCATGCAAAAGCAATCTGTTAAAAGTAAGAAAATTCATAACAAAAACTCACCAGTCCAATTTTGAATTGACATCTAAAGAAAATGTGGATTCAATAGGTGTCATAGCCTCCTCCGCAGTCTGCATATTACAAGCATCAGAAGATCATTTTACAGGGGTCTTAGAAATTGTCCAAATGAAAAAATGAGCAAGCCCAGAACTTATATAAATCATGAAAAGATTGGCCAAACATAAAGCCATACCAGCAGAAATTACAAAATAAAAGCAAGAAAAATACACACAAATGTTACTTTTTCATCCAGCAAATGAGTAGTTGTATATCCAAACAAAATAAAATAATAATAATAATAACAACAACAATACAATAGCCTTGTTATATGCAGATATAGTTCAAATGAATAAAAGCAGCCTTTCATTTATGTAAAAAAAATAAAGGCCAGTCCTATTATTGCAAATACCACAACTAATAGCTACTGCAGCAATAGCTACCTTTTCAGTTAGATCTAGTGCTCCGCTGATAATTGTTGTTTCATCGTGTGTGAGTTCACCCCCCTTGCCAGCCTAAAATGCATGGAAATAGTATGTTAACAAATGATAAAACCAAGAGAATTAAAATCGTTCTATAGCAATCTCATCAAACTCAATTGTCAAATTTACAAGCAAGCACGTGAGGTTGCTATATCACACCCAAAACTTTTTCATCGTGCAAGAAAAACAACAAAAAAATCAATAAGACCAACAATAGAACTAAAGATTAGAACATTTTGGATAAATGTAAGCAGTTATATGCCATACGGTAAAGCAATATGTGTTACCTCTTGGCCATGGATAGAGACAAGTGCTTTAAGCTGAGCTCGTCTAAACAAAGCATCACTGTGTCCTAGTGCAGCATCCAGAATCTGAAACCACATCAAATTTGATATGATCATAAATTCAGTAATTGACTCATAGGGTAATTTGATGGACATCAACTTATCATATCACATGGAATGTCTTTTCACTTCTTCATAATACATATAATGCTTCAAAAGCTTAATATCTAGTCATAATGCGGGAACCTCATATTGTACTATCCCTAAGCGTCTTGCAGAAAAAGGTTGCCCCAGCCCCATTGCAATAAATTGCAAATGTCTCGCGGCAGTCAATGCAAAAGTATGTTTGCTTTTGTCTGCTAGTAACATGTGATATGAAAAAGTTTACCTTCCCTATCGGATAAGCAATGGGATAGCAGATGATCATCAAAATACGCACTAGCCAAACGAAATTGGCACCAACAAACAGTCCATATCTCGAACAAATTGCTTGTGGAATTACCTGATCCAGCATAAATTAGAAGTAAATTAGTCCCAGTTAAGCTAGAGTGTAACTGTTACAAATAAGCATAACCAAGTCAAAGCACATTGTACCTCCCCAAAAGCAAGGACAAAAGTAACAGATAGCAGAACAGCAACAAAAGGATGAAAGATTTTATCAAGGCATATAGGAAGGGCCTGCAGAGCAGAAATCGAGAAAATAGAACAAATCAGCGAACAGTGCAACCCTGTTTTAATTATATCTTGATTTGATTATCAGTGAACCAAAATTTTAGCTACCTCCATAGCACAAGCATTACAGAGAAGCAGAGTTACAAGAAGTTGGTGTTGCTTCTGAACCACTGGTATTATAACAGCTGCATGTAGAAGAACCAAAATATAGGTCAACAAATGAACTTCAAACATTCCATCATAAAAGATTTTCACTAACCAAACACAATTCAAGAAAAAAAAAAGCAGAAATCGAGAAAATAGAACAAATCAGCGAACAGTGCAACCCTGTTTTAATTATATCTTGATTTGATTATCAGTGAACCAAAATTTTAGCTACCTCCATAGCACAAGCATTACAGAGAAGCAGAGTTACAAGAAGTTGGTGTTGCTTCTGAACCACTGGTATTATAACAGCTGCATGTAGAAGAACCAAAATATAGGTCAACAAATGAACTTCAAACATTCCATCATAAAAGATTTTCACTAACCAAACACAATTCAAGAAAAAAAAAAAGAAAAAGAAAAATCAAAATTGACCAAATAGCAAGGTGAGTAAATGAGAAACAGTGTAAAAAGGATTGATTTGTAGGGACCAGCTTGCTTCTTCTCAGTGGAGGAGCCGCTTCTCTGTAGAATTTCGAGCTCCACAAGGCCTAGAGACATCAAGCCCAACGTAAGGCCGGACATAATTCCGGCGAAGAGTACAAGCAGGCAAGACACACCGGCATAAACGAACCACCAAACATTCCCAAACTCAATGTCATCAGGCTCGAAAACGATATCATTAATGGAGAACATGGTCCTGGCCAGGGCTAGGGCATTCACGATCAACATCCTCGTCTTTCCGTTGACAGAGAAAAGAGGGACAGAGATTGTTTATGTTTTTCCTTTTCAGTTATAGGATGGTGGGGACAACAATGAAAACGACAAGGCGTACATAATGAAGATTTATGGGAGCCGGACACCAAAGCAGCCATCCGCATGCGTTTTTGTTTGTATTGGGCCCTCATCCACTGCACTTCATTCTATGAAATGCGTGTGCTGTAATGTATTGTTCCTTCCTTTGACCCAAATCTAATTAATGAATACTCAAAACTCACTTTAAACTTAATTTGAAGGAATGATGAAACAGTAACTATGTCATAAAAAATTATATATATACTAAAACAAAATCTAAAAACACTATTCATAGTATTTTTCCACAAAAACCATATCCATTTTTCATACTATTTCCATTTTGCCCTTGTGATATTTACTAAATAGTATTTTTCCAATTAAACCACATCTTTTCCATCTTTTTTCCATTTTGCCCTTTGTCATATATTAGAAGTTACTGTTCATTTGAATAGCGTTTTAGCTTCTGTTTTTACTATTTTGCCCCTATTCATTTCTAATCATTTATCATTGCAATTCTGATTGTATTTTTCTAAATTTCATCACTTTAACGTCTTTCTAACATACTCATAGCCACGTACTGAATTCTCTACCATTTTCACAATGTAAATTAAATTAATCTAATATTTTTAATAAATAAGTTACCTTGATATTCAGTATTATTAGTTTAAAATTTACGATAATTAGTTTAATTTTTGTTAATTTATATAGAACTGATAAGTTTAAATCTCAATCTATGAAATTCACTAAATAATTGCTTTAGCATTTTTTTCAGTGAATTGCCATTTAAACCATCACCTTTTTATCCTATATTATTTTTACTATTCCTAGAGGCTTCTATTTTGACTATTATATCCCTACAAATGAATTTTGGACATTAGCATGTATAGATTTATCTTTCTCTTGAACCAAAGATGACTTATTTGATATTTATCTCTTTTCCACATAAACATATATTTTATTTTAGTTTCATTGGTTAATAAGTCATTTTTTAGTACTTTTTAGATAGATTACTTATCTCAATTCTTAAAATTTAACTATTTGAATATTAAGAAATTAATTTTTTTTATTTATATAAACAAAGCTTAATACAAGTTTATAACATTAAATTAAATTGATGAATAAGTATAAATTTTAATAATTAATTTTAGAATTTATGACATAGTCAATTTATAATTAACTTAACCGATTATTTTTTTTAAATGGCAATGCATTCAACTGATTTATTATTTATTATATATTACCATGTATTCAACAAGTATAAAACCATTAAACTTTTAAATTTTTAAAATTGTTATTGTTCTATTGACTATTTTAAATTTTTTTCATTTGAAGTAATTTTTTTACTAGAATTAAAAGATTCATGAGCATTTTATGAAAGTAATTGATAAAGTATTAAAAATTTATATCACTTGATAGATAAATTTTGAGAAATTAAGGAACACCAAAATTAGATTTTTTTATGGATTCAATATTTTTCATGGCAAAAAATGATAAAAAATAAGTGTGAATTTTACATTTTTCTTAAAAAATCATTTAATATTAAAATATAAATAAATATGAGAGCATGATACCCTAATGATAAAAAATAGTGTGAATTTTTACATTTTCTTAAAAAATCATTTAATATTAAAATATAAATAAATATGAGAGCATGATGACCCTAATATAATTATAAAATTATTTTAAATATTATTCCAAATATGATTTTAAACATGTATTGATGGAATAAATTTTATATTTAGTAAAATAGATGAAACACCATATTCTTTTTAAAAACGAATATAAATTAAAAACTAAACATTAAATAAATAAAAATAACCAGTAAGGTGCGGGGTAAATGTGGGCTTGTTATAAATAAATATGAGAGCATGATACCCTAATATAATTATAAAATTATTTTAAATATTATTCAAAATATGATTTTACATGTATTGATGGAATAAATTTTATATTAGTAAAATAGATGAACACATATTTCTTTTTAAAAAATATAAATAAAACTAAACATTAAATAAATAAAAATACAGTAGGTGCGGGTAAATGTGCTTGTTAATACTAAATTGTGAATAAATCCGCACCCACTTTCAAATGATTCAAACGGCACCGTTTCTCTGCCCCCGCTCAATCTCTCCCTGCGGTTTAAGTTAAACCCTAGTCCCAATTCTCAGACGACGTTCATCTGTGACTCTGGTTCTGTAGCTCTGGCTTGATTGCTTGATAAGTCCAGGTATGCCTTTCAAAACCCACTCCATCCGCGCATATTTCCATTATCTTAAAAACCCTATATGTGATTCTTTCCCAAATCCTCAATTCAACATTCAAATCAAATACATTTCGAGTCTCAAAGTTGTATGGCGCAAAGACCGTAAACTAGATTTTGCTATAGAGAAAGATAAGCGGTACAAAGTCTGCGCACGAGTTGTCAAAGAGGTCCTAAACGAACCGGGTCAAGTTATCCCGCTCAGATACCTTGAGAAAAGGCGCGAGAGATTACGCCTCAATATAAAAGTCAAAACTTTTATTAATCAAAATCCAGGCCTCTTTGATACTTACTACGACAGAATCAAACCCAAATCAGAATCTGTCTTGTTTTTGCGTGCTAGTGATCGGTTAAGGAATTTTTTGGAAGAGGAGAAAAGGATTCAGTTGGAAAATGAGGGGTTGATTGTTTCAAGACTCTGTAAATTGTTAATGATGGCAAAGGATAAGGTACTCAGTGCAGATAAATTGGTTCACGTGAAGAGAGAATTTGGTTTACCTAACGATTTTTTGGTCAATTTGGTGCCCAAATACCCCAATTATTTTAGGCTTACAGGGTGTCCTGGAGAGGGGAAATCGTTTTTGGAGTTGGTTGAGTGGAACTCTGAGTTCGCTAAATCGTTTATTGAGCAAAGAGCTGAAGAGGAGTCTCAATTGACAGGGATTCGGGTTAGGCCTAATTTCAATTATAAACTTCCACCAGGGTTTTTCCTGAGGAAGGAAATGAGGGAGTGGGTAAGAGATTGGTTGGAGCTTGATTATATTTCACCATACGAGGATGTGTCACACTTGGATCAATCTTCACCAGAAATGGAGAAGAGGACAGTTGGAGTTTTCCATGAGTTGCTTTCTCTCTCACTGTTTAAGAGAGTTCCAGTCCCTATATTGGGGAAATTTACTGAAGAGTACAGATTTTCTAATGCATTTTCTAGTGTGTTCACTAGGCATTCAGGAATATTTTACATTTCATTGAAAGGGGGGATTAAAACTGCAATGTTAAGGGAAGCTTATAAGGACAGTGAGTTGATTGATAAGGATCCGCTGCACGAAATCAAGGATAAGTTTGTTGAATTGTTGGAAGAGGGGTGGCAAGAGAGAGCAGATCAGCTGAAGACACAAAAGGAAGTGTTAAAAAATGACATGGAGATGATGGCGACGAGGAACTGGGACCTAGATGGACAAGGGAGCAGCGAGGAATCAGATGGGAGAGAGTTAGATGAGCAACCAGAAACAGAGGCGTAGAGGAATTCAGACCAGAATGGAGAAAAGAGCGATGAGAAGTCTGATGGGCAAAGTTCAATCAGCAACTGTGAGTTTGCAAGTTATTTTCTTATCGGAAATTAATACTATGAATAGCATTGTAACCTGAATTCAATTGATGATTTGTGGATCTACATGTACTTCATGATTCTTTAGAAGAGATGTGTTTATGCTCTGTTATAGGTGTAATGAGCAGTGCTTTTAACGTTAATATCTGTTTCTGGGGCAATAGGATTCGGTTTTCCACATATGTTTATCACCGTTAGAATTTCTTTTCAAGCAGATACTTTGATGGTGTAGGTTCTGGGTACAACCCTGTTGTTTAACCATTATTGGGAAATAAATGATAATAAATCGACATGAGTTCATTGTCTCTGTCTTATATATTTCATGTATATGCATATATAAACCTATCATGCAGGCTTTTGTACTTTAAGTCTCTGTTTATCATTCTGATATGTGTGTATAATTAGGTGTGGGTTTTTGGTTCCCGTATTTAATAGCTAATTTTGCTGAAAATTAGATCCTGCAGAGAACTATTTCAACGTTGCATGCTGAAAATGCTTGTGGTGTGATAAAAATAAAAAATAAAGAAAAAAAGATTTAGAAGGTTCAACATATTGCAGGGGTGTAACCTTGTTTGTCACTGTAAAACTGCTGTTTTTTTTAGTCCTTTCATACCCTAATCATGCATAATATTAGATGCAATCAACATTTTTCTGTCTTCATTCTGTAGTAACTTAAGGATGTGTTAGCTTTATTATTATAGTATCATTGTTTTATGTTCTGTCAGCTTTATTATATTATATGATTGTTCTATATTCTTAACTTGGTGCCACTTTTCCTAAGATTGTTGATACAGCCATGTCAGATGTTTTGGGTTTGAGATCTATCTATTACTCTGTTTCTTAAACTTAGCATGGTATTTCACTTCATTATTTTTGTTTCATACTTTAATTATAAGCTCATTGCCATTAATGGTCTAAAGTCCTGTTCGCGAGTGTTTGGTTTGTTTGACCATAAGACATTGTTTTTTGTGCTTTATTCTGATCAAATTAAATGGATGTTATTATTCTGCATAAAATTCTGGAGTTCAGGAAAATATGGGCCATTGTTTCAATGCTTTTTTAGAAGTTAATTATAGATGAATATGTTCATTGAATGAATTTAGTCATCATTGTGTTCCATGAAACTTTTAAAAATCTTGATGATTCACCTGATTTTTAATATGCATAATAAGTCATGAACTTCTCTTATAGGAAATTTAAATTACTTTCCATTAGGATTGGTAAGTCACCTAATTCCTTATCACACAAAATGAATGTCAAAAAAAATTCAGAACCTGTACTAGTTCTCTTCCATAACATCAACTAACAAAGTAGCCTCATCCTCTTTGTTATTCTTTTCTTTCCTTTCTTTATCGTCCTGCAAGAAAATTAAAGGAAACAAGAAATTCATGAATAGGCACATATAAAGGAAGGAACTGGTATGAGATTTGTTGAACCATTCATTCCTTGTATCAATATTTTCATGTGAGTTTGCGTAACATGCAAATGAAGATAGTCATCAACACTCTTATGTTAATGCTTGTTGCGTCTTTTTTAGGATTACAGCTAAAGATTGAAGCCCAGCCATTTCCACGCCCACTTTGCGTCTCCCAGTTTGCTCTAGTGAATTATGCATGTTCTTTGCTACCATACACTCCATTGCCACCAATAACACCTCGTCTCCCACAGCTTTCGCCAGTTCCTTCCTCTCCCGATGATGAAGATGCTAGGCATAGCCATGGAGATGATGGAGGTGATGATGACGAACACGATCACAATCATGAACATGAGCATGAACACGAGCATGGAAATGGACATAATCATAGTCATACCCATCAACATGAAGAGGGTCACAGGCATGAGCATGGGCACGGACATAGACATAGGCATAGCCATAGGCACACATACAGCAATCCACGCGAGTTAACTGCACAACAGAATTGTTGTAGGTGGTTGAATGAATTAGATGACGAGTGTGTCTGCGAGCTGCTGGTTCGCTTGCCGCCCTTCCTCTCAAGGCCTGCACATGTTTATACTCTCTATCTTGATGAGTCATGCAATGTAACTTATGCATGCCAAGGGCGAATAATAAGACGGCCATGATAATGGAATATTAGCTATGGAGTTTGTCTTTGGTCATCTAAGTTAAAACTAGCTATATAGTTGTAAGGTGTACTTACATGATTTATTACTTTCTTAATAGCTCTGGTTTTTCAGCAATTCTGTTTCCTGAGTGTTTATGTTATACTTACAGTTTGATGATTGTGCAAGCTAGGATTGTTATGGTCATGTTTTCACCTTTTTTTAATTTTTTTTTCTTTTAATATGAGAAAATAAAAATAGAAAGGCATTTTTTTCAGGAAGCTGCAATCTATTTTTTCATGTACAATTACTTATGATCTTGTTTCGGAACTCTGCAAGCTTTCTTGGGTATTTTCAGAGACCATTGAAGGAATTCCATTTAATGGAGCTCAGCTCGGTATGTCAGTATCCCCAATTTTATGCCTAAAGAGATTAGAATGGGACAGTGTTCTTCCCATTTATTAGGCAAAAACTCCTTGCTTTTGGAAGCAAATGTTGGAGGCAAAAACATCTAGGCAGGATTGCAGGTGGCTGGCAGGTGCCATTGTCTTGTTGTTTTATATAATAATTAAAAAATAATAATTTTATAATTTTATATTTAATACTATATGAAATTAAATTTAAGTAAACAAATTTAAAATAAATTTTATATTTTAAATTCATTTTAATTAAATCATATGAGAAATAAAAATCAATCTTTTTTTTTTCACATTATTGGTACGAGGAAAGAATGATAATAAAAAAAAAAGTTAGAAAAAAAGAATTGAAAAGGCCAGGCTATAAAGGAATATTAAAACTGGTTGATTCAATTTCATAGGGAGATATCGGAGATTTTCTCTATGCTTATTTGACAGTTAAGGAAACCCTAGGGATGAGCAAATGGTTCAATTAGTCGAAATTTCAAATTAATTTGATTCTATTTCAATAATTAGTTTGATTTTTAAACAATTTAGTTCATTTGATAAATTTTAGTTATTTCAATTGAGTTTGGTTTTGGCAATAAAAAAAACTAAAATTAACCAAATTGACGATAATTCAATATATTTCGAAATATTTTGCTGTATTTATATATATTATTTTATTGAATTTTCATTAATTCAGTCGAAAATTTTTAATTATTCCTGAAATTTTAATTTAATTTGATTTATCTTTTTTATGAAATTCAATGTGATTCAGCTTTCTTTGAAAAAAAAAAAATTTCAAACTTATAAAAATTTAAACGGAATCAATAAGATCCATATTGGTTTGTTCACCCCTAATAACCTAAACTCCCCCGAGCCAGTGAGTTGTTTGTAGGCTGACTCGAAATTTTTGTTTTTTTTAGAAAGCTGACTTGTAAATCGTAATTTAAGTTTATTAAAAAAAAAAAGTACAAGTCAACGGGTTAAATTTTAAAATTTTTTATCATTTCCCAAACTCGGACCCGCCTCCGAACGGAGATGTAAGTCCATAGCGCTTAATCGCCATGTGTATTCACTAGGCTAGGCTTCAATAATATTTTTATCAGCTTAAGCCTATTGGACCTTGGGCTACTCAACCTCCATGGTTTTTGAACTTGGAAGAACAATTCTGAACACTTCTTACTCTGTACATGTAATCAATGCTTAGCACAGTGGAGTTGCCTATTTATTTATTTATTTATTTTTGTTAGCAGGAATGTCTGCACCATCGGCTGAATGTATTTTTCAGATAAAAACTTTTCTACAGTAGAATCTCTAATCTTGCACGTAAAATTTATACAGTAGAACCAATATGGTATTATTATACATGGTACACCAACACAACAATGTCACCTAACAACTACTTATCACAAAAAATGAATGTTCTTCCATTAATTAACAATTCAAGAATCCGTTAAAATTCCATAACGTAAAAAACCTGGAGCTAGCCCGAGTCTTGATCACCCTCTTTTGTTTGTTTATCTACTAAGCATGAAAAACCTAATAATATAGAAAACAAGAAGATTATGACCACAAACACTGTACCAACTATATAATGAAACCTGTTAGCGAAGAACAAGCATAAGCGTCAAGCGACAAAAATGGCAGAAACCAAGCTCCCTGTAATTACCATTTTAACAGCCTTCTTCTTCTCACTGCTTATTAGTATGGGCAAGGTCGTCAATGGTATTCCACCGCAGCCATCTCAACGCCCTTTATGCGTGTCTCAATTTGCTCTAGCCAATTATGCTTGTTCAAGAATGCCACCATCGCCGGCATCCGACATTTTTTTCCCTCATCCGCATCCTCATCGGCGACCACGCCAACACGGGCATAGACACCCTCCTCCTGGAGCCCATCCGTCGGCTGTAGAGAACTGTTGCCGGTGGCTGAGTGACGTGGACAACGAATGTGTTTGCGATTTGCTTATTCGGTTGCCGATATTTCTTGCGAGACCTGCACATCAATTCACGATTGTTATTGGCGACACCTGCACTATTACTTTCTCGTGCAGCGGACGAGTGAGACCTTGATCCATGTGGCGGGGCTGCTGTTTCTAATTAATACTGATAGTAATTAATTATATTTATGTTTAGAATAAATAAAGTCTCTCTAAAATGATTTAGCTTGTTCAAATACATACTGAATTCTAAATAAATAAATTTTAAGGAATAATTAATTTAGCATTTATTTTAATTTTACCAAATTTATAACACTCCCATTACATTAAAACGATTGGTTGAAAAAGAAAAGAAAAGAAAAGATTATTCAAAGTTGATCGTCTCTTTCTAAAAAAAAAAAATATCAGTGGACTGTACCAGTTTGCAAAAAGCCATTAATTCCTTATGCATTGTATTCTATTCCTTCAAGGAGAAAGGTTTGGTTAAAAGAGGTTGTTTGTTTCTGTTGTATGTGATGCTATGCTATGCTATTGCTAGCTGCGCAATGCATGTCAATTCAATTCGAAAAATTGTGCAATAAAAAGAAAATCCTGCTCTCTTCCATCTTTCTTTTTGGTTTCCTTTTTCTCTTCTTTTACTTTTTCTTTTACTTTAAAATGACTACCTTATCTGGCCTATTTATCTTTAATAAGTTCATGTACGTGCAATGTGATTTAATGTTTCGTACTTATCATCTGTTATTAAATTATATCCTTATCATCACAATTCGAGATTTCTAATCAAGAGAAAACATCGTAACTCACTCATTAATGTCATTGAACTAAAAGTTATTTGTTTGTTATGTATTTTGGACTGATCAGGGATTTTAGTTATTGATCCAATAAAAATTATATAACTGTATAATGCCTCAATCGTTTCAGTGGATGAAATAATAGAGGTGTAAGTTATTAAGGCAATGCAAAAATGTTACTCTACCAAGAGAAGAGGCACATCAACGACAGAATCTTGATTTTTCAAGGTCGAAAACGACAAAAGCCAGAAAAGGCAACGGCGGTGAGATTCCATGCTACAATGAGGATTTCTTTTTCATCTTTTGGACATTTGAACTTAGCTTAAAAGACAGAAATAGTTTCTTATCTTGATTTTCATGTCGGTCCAAACACATTTCATTCTTGGCCATCTACCCCTCGAAGGATAGTGTAATCAAATATTGGCAAGAAATTCACAAGAGAAAATTTCTATAATTGATAAATCCAATTAAAAAAGGATAAACAGTTTGAATGAGACGGTATCTATGAAAAAGGAGATCAATAATTAAGAAGAATGATGTTGGGAAAAGTTACAGTGTTAAGGAAACCAGAAATTTTAACATGGACTCAATCTTATCTACTTTGCAAAGGCATAATAGAACAAAGGCGCTGGACCGACGAATAAAATAAATAAACAAGTCAATGCGCATTTTCATTTTTCTGTACGGAAAAGTGCATGCTTCGCTGGATTATAGCTGCAAGCGAGCGCAGATATGGATGCCCTTTTTTTTCACACAATGGTACTTCTGATTATTGCCATGTAATTAAGATTATGAAATCCAATTCATATTATAAGCTTATGGTATTTTACTATTTTTGACAAATCATCCTCTGAAAAAAACAATTACTGCTATTTATTACTCAAAATTTATTATTTTCGACAAATATGGATGATGATGATAACACATATAATTTCAAGAGACAAGACATTGTGCAATGTAATCTTTGGCTGTTCCTGCGCTAACACTACTACTTCCGGTGGCTGTCAAACTGTAAAGAAACCGTCTAACAATGGCAATACTCGGTCTACCCACAAGCGTCTTCCACATCTCATCATCATCCTTATTACGAAAAAACTCTGTAGCGTCAATTCTATGTATATTCCATCCTTTCACATTTTTAAGCCGGCGAATTTTCTCCACTTGACGGAGAGCTAATTTATAATTATTGCTCTTTATTTCGCGTATTGCTTCCTGAAGAACTCTGGCACTTTCTTCTTCATCCAAGAATAATTCACTTCTGAAATGTTTGTCTAATTCTGGAACTCCAATTGATTTCCTAATCCCTCTTGAATAATCCGCATTGGGATCAAAAATATTTCTCACTTCATCAACCATTCCTTTGTTAACCATTTCATCGACTCGCTTATAGAGAAACTCTTTCAGTACCAGCATTGAAACGTCTACCCACAAAAAGCAACAATCGTATCTTGATCGGAACTTAAACTCTGGATCATCAACTAAGGCTTCAATGTATGAATTGGAACCTCCAACAATAATTGGAAGTAAGCCTCGGATCGAAATTGATTCTATAGTTAATGAAGCCATGTTGCAGAAATCTTTTGCTGTGAAATCTGCATTGGGATTTACTACTCCTAAGAGATGGTGAGGGACTCCTGAGCTTTCTTCTTCTGTAATTTTGTTTGTGGTAACTTCAAGCCCTTTATAAACTTGCATTTTGTCGGAATTAATAATTTCAGCCGGAAATTGCATTGCTAAATCCAGAGAGAGTCTAGACTTTCCGGTTCCGGTGGCTCCCATTAAAATCACCACCTTTGATTTCTGCCACCTAGGCGTTACAATGTCCATTTTGAGCCTTCCGGTAGGAATATCAAGCACGTGACTAGGAGGGTTTGTTGCTTGGCGTAGAGACATTGACAATCTCATGATTAACCTGTCCAATTACGAGTTTATTACATTAAAAATTAACTAATGAAATGTATTTAATTAAGCATGCATATATGTATATAAAATAAATATTTTTTACTTGACTATTACCTCAACTCATGGTGGCCAAAATCCGGTTTTTGGAACCAAAATTGTCGGTTCTGAACCAGTGCGAACCGGAACCGAAACGAACCGAAATCAGTCTGAACTGGTTCGGTTTTGGTTCCACCAGTTTTGGAACCGTGAACCGGCGGTTCCAATTTCGGTTAGAACCGACGGTTCTAGTTTCGGTCAAAACCATCCCAAACCGGTCGAAATCGTTCAAAACCAGTCCGAACCGTCTGAAATCGATCAAACCGGTCGGAACCGTCGATTTTGGAAACGTTAAGGAACCGGAACTGTTTGGTTCTAAACCATAACTGGAACAAGTTAATTTTCGGTTCGGTTCCGGTTCCAAATTTTATGGAACCGTGGCCACCTCTACCTCAACTCAAGTGTGAAAACACACATATATTTACATATAAAATACTCATTCATGAACAGTGATTCAAGTGATAAGATACATATAAGTTTATTAAACAATATCTGTGAGGTCAGAATTTGACCTGTGGAAAAAACAAAACAACTGTGGAGGAGGAAAAACTGCCAATCTTGAAATGAGAATTGTCGTACATCCAAAGAGTAGAGATACTGATTAAAAGAAAAAAAGATATAATATAAAATTAATATTCTTTCAAGAACTTTACCTTAGTATTGGTATAAAGGAAAATCCAAGTTGAAAAAGTGGGGAAATGCTTTATTTTTTATTTTCAAATGTGATATTAGTTAAAAAGGATGGGTGAAAGAATTGAAAATAATATTGGAGAGAAATGGGAAAGAGAAGTAATAGACAATGATTGTCATGAAATTGGATTCAATTTTTATTTTTCTTACAAGTTTGCAGATATATTGCATGAAGCTTTGGTAAGGCTGGTATTTATAGAGATTTTTTGAATGGTGTTTTTTGGCTAAGGGCAAATTCTACCTTGACATTCTTATTCCCAAAAGCCAATCAAAAAAATGGAAAAAAAAAAAAAAAAAAACAACAAAAGGAAAATGTTTGGACCATTCAGCGACATGGAAGGACATGAATAATATGGGCACAAAAAGAATCTCCTCCAGTGCTTTTGCTATTTTTTTTTTTTTTTTCGATTTCCAGCTTAATTATTTTAATAAAACAATAATTATTTAATAATTTTTCAATTTCATTAATAATTGTTTAAACAATGGAACGAATATTCGATCACTAGTTTATGAATGACGACACATGAAAAATATGACGTGTTGATTATCCGGGATGGTCGAAATTAGGCAAATGAAGATGCTGGGAGTTTGAACATATGGTGTAAGGAGCAAGGACATGCGGTACAATTACAAAAATTCAACGTTAAAGTGGACTGAGAAACTTGCTTCCGTCAAGATGCCCTATAGCCACAAGGGAATAATTATGTATATTCGCCTGGTTGTACTCGACTATAGACGACGCTACTTTTTTTTTCTTTTTCCTTAGCAAACACATCCGATTCCCTCAACCAAAGCAATGCAAGTGGCGGTGGGGGACTTCCCTTACCTGAAACTATGTTTCTTGGCAGTAACTTGAACGATGGTGATGCTATAACTTTTTACCTTACTTTTTCTCATTGCCACAGTACACATTTGGTCCCAGAAAGTGATTTGAAGACAGGTTCTTATATGATCGAGTTAATATGCATTGAGACTAGATCTTTTTCTTTGAATATATTCCTATTAGTTTGATATATTTTGTCAGCAAAATCGAACCCTAGAGTTGTACGGAAGGAAAACTCTCATCCTTAAAGATCGGATCAAGTTGTGCAATTATTTTCTTAATTTCCTATATGAAGAAATTTGTTTTAATGGGATTTGGTTGGTTTGATCTACAGACTTGTGAGCGTGATTTGCCTAGTGGCTAGCCTGGTTGCTCCCACTAATATTAAGCATAAGTCATATAGCTGGAAATGGTCCACTTACCTATACTTCTTCTGCCTTTATTTGCATTGCGCTATCATGCCCTTTTCTTTTCGCCAATACTGCCATGATCGAGTATTTACTTTTGTGGCGCAACAGGTGATATATAGATTCTAAGAATTCCTTCACTGTAAAGTGTTCTCCGTTTGACAAATCTGATAAACTGACGAATAGAAATTTATGAGAACTAAGTTTGGTAATGTGAAGCAGCTTTCAGTGATTGTGAAAATGGTGGTCTTCACTTTTACTTTACCTAAAGGAAAGTAAAGGCAGTAGGAGTATGTAGTGGTGGCGGTGGAGTAAGGTGTGCTTTGGTTTTACAAGTTACGAGCACTAAGTTAATGTTTGGCTCTGTTATGACTTGAAAATGAGCTCAATCCTGTATTTTTTTTTTTTTTCTATCAATAATTATTTCATTTGATTAAGTGCATATAATTGATGAGGATTTAGAAATATGAAACCTTTTGAATTATTATGGTCGCACAAGTCAAGATATGGCAACAACCAAATTTGAAAATGAGACATCAAAAATTTATTTTTTGAATATGAAGGGAAAATATTTACCATAATATTTGGAGATTATGAGTAAAACAATATTTCTATTTCTACCCATTTAACCGATCAAATGCATAAATTAACTCTTGCACTTTATACAAAAAATTTTATAATTTTACTGAAATTTATAAGTTTTTAAAATTAAAGTGTTTAATGAATCAAAATATAATGATAATACTACAACATTTTTTTTTATATAAATTACAAAGTGAATTTATACATTTAACAATATTTAATTATATCAAGTTAGATGCAAGAAAATATAATTTTAAAGTCGTTAGAGCTGAGTTGATTTCGATATAAAAATAAAGTTAAAGGATAATATCATATTTGTTTTTTTCTTCACGTAAAGGAAAATCTTGTAATTGAAGAAAACAAACACGGTATGCCGCGACAAGATTTGTAGGACCATATCACTTGCTCATCGCCAAATTATATTGAAGCTCCCTACTTCTTGCTTGGTGGTAGGCTAACTTTGACCTTTCTTTGCATTTTAGAATATATGGCAATTGCAAGTTGTTCTTGCTAGATGTAGATGCTAGCTTTTCATCACGTCAACTCACACTCACACTCACAATATTAATTGAACTTCTATATTCTACAATTTGCTCATAACATTTTTGTTCATTACTATCAAATTGCTAGCAATCCAAGTGATTATCATTGATTTCCCTTAATTTCGGCTTTTTGACGTCGGTCGATGGGTTGGTTGTGTCCTGCCTATCTATAGTTCCTACATTAACTATATCGGTCCGACCGGTGAATTCAAACCGAAATGTGCTCAACCCCAAGTAATAAAACAAAACTATAGGAGCCTTCTTAGGTAATGATTATATTTATATATAGGTTTTCCTCGGGTAAAGGCTTTAATGCATAAGTGGTATCATTTCAAGTACTAATCTCACAGGGATGGGATTCATATAACTACAAGCTGTGTGGCAATTATTTGTCCTTTACGCAATAATTTAAGTGCATTTCATTATCACTAAAATTCATATCACCACATTAATTCTTTTTTTTTTTTTTATATTAATGGATATTGTATAAAATGTATAATATTGACAAACGTGTGTGATAATGATAGCCATATTAATTATGTAATGCGTAATTTTTGTACTCATTCAATGAATGATAATTTAAGGTTGTCAAAATGGACGATGGAATCATATTCAAATTTTAAAAATCAAACTAAGGAGGTATTGAATTTTTAAAACCAAAAACATACTTTTATAGCCCTAGCCTTAGGTTTGCAGTAGAGCTATAATTAATTCATTACAAATGTCTTTCTATGCTTTAATTTTAAAAAATTTAAAAAAAAGAATTGCACAACATTTTTGAATAAATAAACTTGGCCCAATGCGGAACTCATGAAAGTGTGAAAGTAATATTATTGAGCCCAATGGGCTTGGCCTCTAATTATAAAAAAATCGAACCCATAGTTGGAGTTGCATTGCATGTTCCTCAACGTGCTGTGTTTGCGCAGATAAAAAACGGCACCAACCCCCAATCTGGTAAAAGTAAAACGACGAAAGAAAGTTTTTTCGTTTGGAAGCCAGAGCAAGTGAAGAGTATACTAAAGAAGGGAGTAGAGATGAAGCAAAATGTCTTATTGCAAGAAAAAGCAACGAAAGTACTTAATAACATTAAGCTAGAAATAAATTTAGCGCGAAAGCTTTTTATTTTGTTCTAAATCTAAACTGTAGGGAGATTTAGTTTGAGATTTGATTAATTGGGATTGGATAATTCTGGCAAACGTCGAAGGATTAAGGGCCCGGTCGTCCCTGAAGCCTGAAGCAACAGGCACGGGTAGAGCCGATGACGACGATGACGATACCATCGACGTCGTTTTCAAGTCCCTGAAGTGGTGGCGCCGTAGACTGTTTTCTTTAATGGCGGTTCTCTCGCTCACCAGAGGCTCTGCCTTTCGGTTCGTTCTTTTGCTTCTCCTCCTCGCTGCCGGTTTCACCGCTTTCATTTCTCTACCCATCGAGAAGGCATGTTTATACACTATATCGTGATAGGTGCTTAATACTTAGGGTTTTGTGATTGCCATTGTTTGCATTGAGCTTTTTGCTGAAAATAATTGCTTCTGTTTTGTCAGTTGTTGAAAGATCTTTTGCTATGGATTAAACACGATCTCGGGCCATGGGGTCCTCTCGTGTTGTAAGTTGCTCCACCTCACAGTTTGAATTGTACATTTCGTTTTCCTATAGCTTATTATCATTTTTGTTGATTTCGATTTAAGGTTAAACAGTGAACAGTTTATTCAAAATCGAAATCAATTTCGAGCAGTTTTTAGGGAAAGAATTTGATCTGGAATCAGAGGAAACTTCAATATGTTCACAATTTTTTTTTTTTTTTTTTTTTATTTGATTCTGGAATTCAGAAGGGAAAAACTTCAATATGTTCACAATTTTTTTTTTATTTTTGTTTTCTGGGTACCATTCAGATATTTATGTTCCTTGAATTTTTTTTTTTTTTTTTTTTCTGGGTACCATTCAGATATATTATGTTCTTGTCCAAGTGATTACTATTATATTTCCTTTGTCATTGGAAGCCGAGTGCATTTTTGGTTTTGTTTTCAAGTACAAAGCTTTGTAAGAAATACCTTCTAAGTTGAAGAAAATTTTCAGTGGTTTTTATGATTGTGGAACTAAATTGGTTACCCATGGCTGAGCATCTTTCATTTCTATTTCTAACTTACGTCTCATGGGATTTTGAAGGGCTGCTGTCTACATTCCTCTCACAATACTGGCCGTTCCTGCTTCAGTACTCACGGTAGGCTTTGAGCTTCTTCCTGGTGGATAATGCTTCTGTTATGTCATTTGAGCAGCTTTCCTTAGTTTCCATGGAAATATCAGGAAAATCTCAATTAAAAAGTAAAATTTGTAGTTATCAATCTTTGTTTGAGAATGACATGTTATAGATGTTTTTGATTTCCAGCTTGGGGGTGGTTACCTTTTTGGGTTGCCTGTAGGATTTGTTGCTGATTCTATTGGTGCCACCATTGGTGCAACTGCTGCATTCCTTGTTGGTAGAACAGTGAGTTTCCTCCACCTATGCTTCGTTGTTATTTGTGTGTGCACATATTGACTCATTTTGCATACTCAGAATAAGTAACTTTTTCCTGATTCTTCAGGAGATATTGGGATGTAAATTAGAATAATTTGTTTTTCTAGTCAAGCAATCAAAGTTGAATCTCTTCCAGTTTTTTAGCAGACATTAACCTTTTGTTATTCTGACTCAGATTGGAAGATCATATGTTATGTCCAAGTTAAAGAATTATCCCAAGTTTGAAGCTGTTGCAATTGCAGTTCGGAAATCTGGTTTTAAGGTAAAGCTCTATCAATCTCGTGAATTTACTGTCCAATGTATGATTTAACATCTGATTGTAGTTATTAATGTGTTTGGCAATTACTTTTCGTTTTGCTGTTAGCTGAAGCATTACTATGTCAGAATTGTAATGAAAGAAATGAAAGATGTTAATGTTTAAAGTCAGGGGAAAAAGAAACAAACAGAGGAAATCAACATTAATAGAGAAAAAGGAACCAAGAGAGAAAATTTCCCGTCAGATCTGTTAAAGTACTGCCAGACAGAAATGGTGTTAAGTTGACTTTGATCTTTCTCTTGGAAGTATTCTTTACATTGTTAAAAAGTATTCAATATTTCTGGACACATAAAGGCATGCATGAAAATATTTCAATACATTGTAGAGATTGAATTCAAATTGAGTAGATACAGTAGCTGTAAACCTACTTTACTGGAAAGCTTGTGTGTAAAGCAAGAGTGCTGGGGCTTGCTTCACTTGCTGTGCATGAATATTTAACATTTGTTAAATGAAGTTCCTTGATCCTAAATTCTTTTTGGTTTGCTGAGGGGTCAGTTATGATGAAATCTCAAACTTAGCCTAGTTCTAAAAGTTGGTTTACCTTCTGTTATGAATTGAATTCTCCACCTATAGTAGTTCATTTCTGTGTCCTATTTGGCTCCTCTGTAGATGCAAGAATATCAAATATGAGTTTGACATTATAATATTGCTTTGGTTAAATTCTTCTTTGAAGGCTGCCCCTAGTTCAGTTGTTTTCTTGGTATTACTTGACAGGTGAATTGATATGCGACATTCTTCCTGTGAATTTTCTGATTTTCTTCTTGTGATTTGTCTAACAGATAGTTTTGCTTCTACGGCTTGTTCCTTTACTTCCATTTAACATGCTGAACTACCTCCTGTCTGTAACTCCAGTTCGTACAAAAGATTTCATGCTGGCATCTCTTTTAGGAATGATGGTAAATTAGTTATTAGTCCTCCTAAAACCTTTAATAATTGTTAGTAGTCGTTTTGCTGTGTTGATCATGGTTGATGCTATTAATAGCCTGTCATCTTCTCAATTATTGTTTTAGAATCATCTTATTAAAAAAAAACTATTTTATCAGTTAACATTCTGATAATGACTTCAAAACCTGTCTGTAGATATTTTCCATTTTCATTTTATGATCATATATCTTTTAAGTGCTTTTGGGCTTTGGCTCTGTAAGACTTCAATAGGGCTTAGTTTCAAAACTTACCTAGGTGAAGAAAAGAAACGACAAATGTTATGCATTTTTTATGTGCATGTAAAATATGTGTTGAGTAAGGTTTTATTCTATTTCTCATTCCAATATGACCCAGATTTTACTACCATAGTAGCACTTGTATTCAAAACAATTTTTCTTCCCAATTAATATATATTCTTCCCATTTTTCAACGCGTGATACTGTACTGGAAATTGCAACTACTGAATTTTCCAAATTATCCATCCCTTTCAAACAAATTGAGAAAAACATAGAAAACAAAATGACAGATGAATTGGAGGTAAATAGAAATTTTAATTTTGAAAGAGTTATGCGACACACATACAAGTCTCCAAGTCTTATTGTTCTGTGAGTGACTGAGTGGTTGGGACCAACTGACCATATTGAATGTGGAATGTTAACAATTACCACTTCAACTGTTTGTTTTACAAGTTGGACTCTTTCAAGTTTTCCTGGTGCTTGTAATACTTGGTGTCACTGTCTTCTACCAGTCAAGGCATGTAATTTTTTTTTTTTTTTTGCTGTAAATGTACTTGAGCTCACTGTTTGTTTCATATGACAGCCAATCACTTTCGCACTTGTTTATATGGGAACAACTTTGAAGGATCTATCTGATGTAACACATGGATGGAATGAGGTTTCAACAACTCGTTGGGTAAGAGCTGTCCTACCATTTGTTCTTGGCTAGCACCATTCTGTCTACAAAAACAATGCAATTACTTATTCCTTTATGACTGCCGGTATTTTGCTGGCAAATAAGAGTCTAGTCTTTCGTGCATTCAGTATCCTTTATGTGTTATCAAATGCACTGAGAACTTCCGCGTCTTTGTCTTGGAATCATTTGAATGACCATCTCTAATAGTATCAGCACTGTTTTCTTGGTCTAGCTTGATGTGGTATTTACTTGTTTTAGAATGAACGCAAATGCTCTTAGGTTTTATTTGGATGGGTAGGCATTTTAAGTGAAGGCATTAAAGCGTGATGTATTATTAGTTTTAGTGTTTATGATATGTGGATTATCTTTGGCTGGGTGGAACCATTGAAAGGAGATTAAATTCATAAAGGTGAACAGTTACTTGTTTGAGTGCCAATTTAATTTTCCACTAAAGGATATCTGAATCCATTCTCCAACATTTAGAAGTTTTTTCCCTTTCTTTACAACCTAAAGTTTGAATGACATAAATTGAAGAACTAAAACTAAATTATTAAATTTCAATCTCCAATCTGAAATTCCAAATACACTATGTTCTTTTATGAAGAGCTCAGCTTTTGCTTTCTTAATGTATTCAGATGCTGCTCCATAACTATTAGTTTAGTTTAGAGCATCAAGGAATTCCTTGCATTTTATTAAATTGATCTTATATAAGATGATGCATTTCATCTTGCTTTCTTGTTTTCTTACATGCTCTTTGTGGCTGCAGATATTTATGGCTCTGGGATTTGTGATATCGGGTAAGTTGACATCAAACTTGGTCTTGTTACTTCAAACCCTACATGACTAGTAACTGAAGTGGATTAAATGCTTGTCCGATATGTTTCGACTTAGATCATATCCTGTTGGTCGGAGCTGGTGTGCTGAAGACCTAGAACTCCTAGAATAGACAAAGGAGAGGATAACCTTTTTCATTTGAGTTGGTATATAACAAGCTTGAACTAATAAGTAATAACTATAAGACATTTCGACCAACAACGTGTTGGTCGGAGTAGTAAGTGTCCTCGGTAGAAAACACAGGTTTGATCCCTGTTCTCGCTTGATAAGAGGGCAAAAAATCTCTGCATTTTATGGCCTGAAGGGGGATTAGCACTCTTGATTCTATAAAAAAATGACGTTTAAAGGAATGCAGAGTTTATTAACTTAACAGCGACATACAGGACAAAGCTATACACAAATCCTAGAACTAACCTTTTGCGGTGTACTTTAGGCATGAGGCTGAAGACCCTGAATTTTATATTATATTTTTTGATTATGACGTACTAGGGAACTATTTATGATATTATCTTCTAAGACTTATCTTCCTTTTGTGCCCTTGCTTTCTTCCAGCCATTATGATGGTTTGTGTTGCTAAAGTTGCCAAGGCTTCTCTGGACAAAGCACTGGCTGACTATGCTGAAATGGAGGGCACGATTGCAGATTCGCAATTGGATATAAATGAGCCTCTTGTAATTAAAATTGATCCAATGAATGAGGAAAATGAGAAATAATTTCATCAATATAAATTCTTTTTGACAGTTCTTTAACTTGGTTATTTTCTTAGGAATACAGAGGAGCAAAATATGATAGGAGAATTTTTTTTTTTTCTTTTTTAATTTTAATGTTCTCATACTTGGTGAATACTGAATGTAGCACCTATACATGGGATGTATGAATCTGCCCATCTATGGTAAAGTGTTATAAGGGTGAATGCACACCAATATTTTTTTTTCTTTAACCCGGAAATAATGTAAATTGAAGGTATTGTTGATTTTCCGATTGTCATTTTCTCAATAGATATAATGTAATGTAAGTGTGCTATAACGCAATTGAATGCATTTGGTTATGTTATATTATAGCTTACGAACATTGTTTAACTTATTTTCTCATTAGGCATGTATTATATAGAGCGGTAAAAAAAAAAAAAAGAATTATGTCGTGGCATTTCCAATCAAAATGACTCCCACTTTTAATCAAACCAGAATTAGTCAGAACAACAGTTCTCAGATGAACTTAACTTTTTCTTCACAAACAAAATATTAATACAGCCTTCAATAAGTATTAGATGGATTGCTGTGATATAGTGTCAGCCAAAGCCATCGGCATCACAAAAAGGCCCTTGCTCTCCAAGAACTTGGTTGCGGCAGATGGATTCACTTCCAGCAACCTTGTAAATGTCTCCTCAAGAGGTTCAGTCCTGAACTGCTCATGAACAATATAGTGATGGTATCCCTGCAAATCATCCAAGTCTGTAAGATTTCCCTGTGAAATCAGAGAGCTAAAATGGAAAGAATGGATTCTTTCGCATTCGGATTTATACCTCTAGGAAAATGGAAGGATCAGAACGCAGTTCACCTCCCAATCTGCTCCGGCTTAATTCCTGCACAGCCATTTTCCCTTTCAACTCATTAAAACAATCACCAGAAAAGTTCATAAAGAATGATATTTCAATATAGAAACACCAGTTAGCTGTTGGGTATCATCATAAATAGGATGCAACTGAACAACAGGGTCAAAGAAAAACCATGTCATGGTTAAGTACATGTTACTAAGTCATTAAGGCAAAAGTCGTTATAAAGATTATCGACAGATAGTTTGATCCTTTGGGCAAGCTATGAAACCAAGAACCTGGGAAATTGCACGAGTAGACTATATAAGTTCTGCATGTGTATGAAGTGTATGAAGAGAACTTCCAGTACATGAAGGAGGAACTTACCTTCACCTGAAGCTGCAGGAACTTGACATAGTCAATAATATCATCCACCATAGCTGTTTGGCTGCCCTGAAAAATAAAATTAACTAACAAAATAGATTAACATGTGGACTCACTAGCATGGGAAATAATAGGATTTGGGACCATTGCAGCTTTGCATAATGCAAAGGTACACGCTTACTTATTTTCTTGCTCTAGCTTTGCACTCTGCGGTATTATGCATTTTAGATGACACCATAGCTGATAACATAGACTAATATAGCATTTAAATCAAAAAAAAAAAATGCACGAATTTCATCTTTGCATGTGGTTTCCACGAAGCACGTACCTCTACAGATTGTGGAACCAAGTTGTGCAGTGCCTTGAGTCTTTCAGCAATTCGTTCCCTGCGTTGCTGAGTTAAGTAAAAGAATTTCAGGAAAATTACAACTTATAATTTTTTTTTTAAAAAAAAATATCAAAATCAAAGAGCATATGCCCATAAATTTTTGGCATGTTTCAATCTATATAATGACATTAGCAAGTCCAATGGTCTGAAAAGGTGTTCTGCTTACACGATCAGCTCTTTGTCTAGACACATTGTAGCTCGAGTTGGACAGAAAAACAGATGCAGCCACTTTTGCTCTTGGACGACTATATGATAGGTTACCAATTGCTTCACTTGGTTCCTCTTCCCATGAAGTATGACTCTGTATCATGAATTTTGCATCGCATTACCATTATAAAATTCTCAACAAAATCTTTAATCTTGGGGCAACGATTTTCAAAATGATAAGATGATTTCTAAAGCAGCAAAGTGAGAAAAATTGACCTGGGATTTGCTATGATGTTGTAAGCATTTGCATTTCTTCACGGGGTCCCCCTCATCATTTTGTTTCAAACATCTTACCTGTTTAACAAACAAGAACAACAGCATATTAGTGAATTTATCAAATTTAAAATACAGCATGTTACAGAAACCACTAAGGAGCTCAATTCCATGAAGAGAGAACTCATTTGCAAAAAACATTCGTTAATCCTTTGTTATATATATTATGGGTGAAGCAGAAAAGTCCTTTACATTGAGTGAATCTTCTTGATTGTCAACGTTGAAAATGCAGGGATGGAGGTTCAATTTCCAAGCATCCATATCAGAAGAAGAATCAACAGGGTTAGAACCACAAGCCATTCCTGAACTGTTGTACAGTAATTCAGTTTGGATTCCAGTCATTCCTTGAATGAAATGTGAGTCGCTAACAGTTTGAGGAATGCTCTCTAACACATGAGTTGGAGCTTTTTCAACGAGCGATGAATTTTCAGTAAGAAACTCATAATAATTTTGTGGTGTTCTTTGGCAGTGAAACCATTGAGACTGAGGTAAGGGCAGAGAATTAGTCATGTTCTTGCTCCTTCCATCTGACATAACAGAGTGCTGATTAAGATCATCATCAGCTCCATAAGAGACATGATTATCAATCCCATCAAGATTCGGTAACATCAGCTCTAGAGGGTTCTGATAGCAATTTTGCCCTTCCATTCTGCCAAATCCGAAACTTGCTTACCAGGAAGTATAAACAATGAGAAGAAACAAGAGCATAAACACTTAAAACAATAAGGTTTACAACTTTTTAACTGGAAGGGCGTTCAGGTTATCTTTAAACAAATTACAAATACAAATTAATGAACAAATAACGTTTTTTTCTTTTTTCTCTCAAGAAATGCGCATATAAGAGATGCATATAAAAAGCAGATATATAACAGGATTGATGGCCCAAAAAAAAAAGAAAAAAAAGGGTATTGAAATATGTGGACGGTCCGAGATTTTGGCGGAACCAACAAAAACCCATGTAACAAAAACGCATATTGGTGCATCACAAGGTGGGTCTATTCTAATCTGTGACAATAACAATGTCAGGGTTCCCAAGATCAAGACAGGCATAGATAGATCAGAAGTGATGGTCACCATCACTTCATCAAGTAGCAAACAAATATCCATATGCATAAAATCAATAACATGTATGCTAAAAACCTAATACCCACCAAAGAAAAAAAATATTGTTCAATATTTTCCTATTAGACAAACAACTTCCAGTGAAGGAAAGAAAAAGAAAAAGAAAATCTTGAAGAAAAGCAAGAGCACGGTCGAAAAAAATAGTAACCAGTGAATAAACAAAACCCATAATAAGATTGTATAGTTACTTGAGTTTGAAAAGCTAGCGAGCAGCCAAAAAAATACCAGTAAGGCAAATGTTGTAATGGAAAGAAGAGACGGCAGAAATAATTTTAGGGGAGAAAGGAAACGGCTTTTTAGCTGTGAATTTCTAGCATTTGGTTTGCTGTGTACGTACAGCGTGTTACGAACCACGCTGCCATGGCCAGAACCTAAAGGCGGTGTGGTGGCACATACAATTTTCAACTTTTCTTTTCTACCCTTGTATTGTCTTCATGCGATCCAATTAAGACTGAGACATCAGACAACTATTATTTATTTATCCCAAGGTTGCTTAATGCAAAATCAATTTCTTAATGCAAAATCAAACAAGCCTCGGTACAATACGTGAGTGTTATTATTATAAAATTATATGAATCTTCTATGAAAATTAATTTCATAAATAATAATATCATATCATGAATTTATTGCAATTGTACATACACGTTAAAGACCAAGTAAACCAAATTAATATCAATACAAAGTCGGGAAAAAATTTTTGAAAGATAATTTTAAAATCATTTAATTTAATATATTAATGAATAAAACAAAACATAAATAATAAATTAGAAAACAACTAAGCAGTTTGGGTTGAATAGGTGGAAGTAGGAGCAAAAGATAGATCCATGGTAAATTTTGCCCATTAAAAAACTAAAAATTGGGCTAAAACCAAAACTAAACTGGAGCCCAAAATTAAAAGTCAGCTGCAGGGGCTGGTTTGGTCTAAAAATGAAAACCTAAATCAAACGACATGTCTTATGACTCTTACCCAAAATACTAAATATAAACCAGATATAAACGAGAATATTCTTTCGATCGGCTCGGCTGGTGTTCTGTTGCGTTCTCAGCTAGTCATCTCTCCTTCCTTAGCGACCTCAAACTCTATTACCTGTTTTTCTCGCATCCCAATTCCCCGTTTTTCTTTCTCTTGCTTTCTTAACTCCAAAATCAACCGAAAAGGGAATAGATCAATTGTTTAATCAATCAATAATGGCAACTACTGAGGTTTTGCAGCTCATAGAAGAAGGTCTTGTGTCATCTCGTCTTCTTGATCCTACAAAAGGTACATCTTCTCCTCATTATAGAATCTCTATCTTTCTCTCTATAAATCTTCCTTGTGTGTATTTATGTTTTTACTCATTATATCAATGTAAAGTTGCCAGTTTTATCCTTATTTTTTTGGGGAGTGAAAATGAATTGCTATTAACTATTAAATTTCCTCTCACAAATGTTGGATTTGATTAGATTTGACTCCAATTTGCTGTTTTATCATATTAATTGTCGTACCCAGGTCCCATTTTTAGTTAATTTTGATTATTGTTCTGTTTTCCTTCACCTTTCTAACAATTATGCCTCTTTATGCCTTCTTGTTTCTTCACATTTAAAAACGTTGACCATAATGTTTTTCTTCCATTTAATTGTTGCCAGCTGACACTGCAAAGTCCCGAGGCCTGTCAATTGAGAAGAAGATTGAGTTCCTTGAGAGCTTGACTGGCAAAGTGACTTTCTAATTCTATCTCCTTTTGCTTTTTCTTCTAAAAGCTTATAGAGCTTTCAGCTTTGGGTATATTATATTTTTGTCTTATTTATTTTAGGTCAGCAACAGAAGATCTCGGAGATGGATAAACGACCGCTTGTTGATGGAACTTGTTCCTCGCTTAAATGCAGAAGAAATTAGAGGCTTGTTTGCTCCACCACCTTGGGGTAAGCAATGATATGTCCCAGAACTAATTGGTTTATGCTTTCATACATATATATCTTAGAACCTAGATTTTTGGATTTAAAATTACTATGCTTTCAGCTTACTACTAGTTGAAACCAATCATTTTTTAGAGTCGAATTAGACCCTGGTGAATAAAGCTATTGAGAGATTAGAGAAAATTTTGCAATTTCAATAGCAATTGATCACATAAGCTGGCAGATGATGCTGATTTCGAATCAATAATCTTTTTAGATTATTACTATCATCATGCGTCGTACGAACACTGATTTTGGGTTCTTTTACAGGCGATGATGTACCCCTGTCACCATTTTGCATGACTAATGTGGGAGAGTGGGAGAAATTTAGGAATATAGACATGGACAAACAGGTTTCTTTGGCTTTTGTTCATCAAAGCATTTTTTTTTATTTAATTTTCTCTACTGTTAAAGCAGATTCCCTTTTGTTTATCATTATTGATGTTTTTGTAGTAAAATTGAATGTGGCATTTGACAGGAATATAAGCTATTATAAATCTTTCTAATATTGTTCTAATTGTCAATCGTGAATTATTTCTCTGATATGTGATATATTATTTGGTAGACCATCTTTTGATGGTAAATGTTTCTGAACATTTCCTGCAGATACACATTTTTTATGCTAAGAGCACTGATTTTGTATATAAAATGGCAATATGCTCTAATGCAGTTTTGATTTCTTTATGTAGGCTCATATTATTGATGCGCTAAATACCCCATCCACAAAGAGGAGGGGTCGTGTGGATGCTGATAAGGTGGCTGTCTTAAATGCGTGGCGTAGAATAGATAGCCGAACGAGAGAAGCACTTCGCCGTAGCTTTCTTACAGATCTTATTGAGGGCTATGAGGTATGTTTGCCTTATGCTTGTTTGGAATCAACAAGGTCACTTGCATATTAGTTTGGAAAGTACTTTTTCTTTTTTGCAGTATTGATTTTTTGTAAATGTGCAAGTAGTGTAGGGTTTGGCTGGAATGATTTCTGCTACATTTGAACCTAACTCGAGCCTAAAGGCTGAATTTTGACCCACTTATTCAGCTGTTGATATTGATTTTCTGTACTTAATATCAATCATAACATATGTTTTTGATATTTGAATAAACATATGTTAAAGGGAATTTGAAACTGGAAGGTTCTGGCCATGTTTCAATTATTCTATGCTCATTGCATCACAGTTCAATGACAAGTTAGTCTTGTCTGTTGGCAAATGTTATTTTTATATCGCTTACTGCTTACTTATAGTCCTTTGTTTGATTCTACCACATTCATAGCAAATTCATATGGGAGTCCTGTGCTTGTTTCCCTTAGAAATCTTTATTCTTGTGAAAAGCCAGATTTCTTTTTCAGGCATGCATAAGGACCTTCATTCAGGAGAGTGGAGATGAGGAAGTTCTCGCATTACAGGTTCAAGATCCCTTTCATAGATTGTTGCTGCATGGAGTTTGTGAGGTATGTTATGGGTAGCAAAACAACTTACCTGAATTAGGCTCCGAGCAAACTCTAAGTGGGTTATTGTCGGGATAATAGAATGATTGTGGAGAAAAATATGATCACCTGATGTCTGATTATACAGATGCATTCAGTTTATGATTCTTTTTCTCTGCCTTATGACATCAAAGTACTATGTGTGACTTGTTAAGGTCTATGCATCTATGCAGTTCTACAACTTGGTGTCAGTGACGGTAATGGAGTCCAAGGACAGAGAGTCATTGAAGACAACTAGGATAAAAAAGAAGAAAATGGGGGCAGTTGAGCTACCAAATATCACCCTGTCCCACTTTCTAAAAATGTCCAAGGAAGGTGTTTGGTGACCCAATTAGGCAGGAGCTCTAAGTTGTGTTTATAAATAAAACTCGCAGTGATCGGCGGTTGTAACTCCCAGATCAGGGTGTAATACATTATCTGGATGTAACATTTGTTCTCGTTGTACCATTTATGATGTGTAGTTTATGTGACCTCTAGCTTCTCAGAAGCTAGAAATGTACATTGTATGTTTCCAATCAACTGAAAAAGTTGATTGTAATTTGTAGGTTCATTCTTCACAGTACAAGCTACTTCATTTGTTTCACCCTCCTTTTATTGGATGGATTTGAAGTTTCAGTTCTTTCACCTGCCTTTCATCTCTTGTTAAGAATCTGGTGCCAACTAACTGCAATTATTAAAGCAACGGACCTTTTAAAATGTAAATTTTCTTGAGAATTGAATGACTCCATTTTGAAGTTGCCATCATTGCGTGTTTGAAAACTAAAAAGCCCTAGAAATCATCCGCCCCCTAGCGGTCGTTGGCGTGAACAACTTGTAAAATACTTTGTGGTAAAATAAGCATATTCGCTGTTCTTCCTCTCTCAGTATCCTTTCTTTCTCTGTCAATATCAATATAGCCACTGTTTTCTTAATAATAAAATAAAATAAACGCCCGTTAGCTGCCGTTGACTCTTCTAATGTCTTTACTATGCAATGATAAAAACTCGGCTAGTATTGTTAGATAAACTCTGCTTGATGGCAATTTTATTTCTGTAGAGTATCGAATATGGGGAAACAACTTGTTAAATATTTTGTGGTACGCACTCTTTAATCTCTCCAGATATAAACAAGCACTTCTGTTGTTATATATATATATATATATCTGCTGTATCTTTCTTGATATGAATTGGTTTCGAGTTTTTAATTAGGTAGATGCGTTCACCGACTCAGCGTTCAAGGGGAACCCAGCGGGGGTGTGTTTGTTAGAAGAAGAGAAAGATGAGAAATGGTTGCAAGCTGTCGCTACTGAGTTCAATTTCCCCGGAAGCTGCCATTTGACTCGCATTAATGACTCAGGTTTTTTTTCTTCAAATCCCAGATTCCACCTTAGGTGGTTTACTCCTGTTGCTGAGGTACTCTACACTTCCTTGACTGATCTATTAGTTTTTTTTTTTTTTTTTCTGAAGAATTGGCTGGGTTTTGTTTATTTCTTCAATTAGCTGTAATTGCAGATTTTTGGTTGATTGTGCTTTCATTTAGAATTAATCAATCTAATTTCAAAATATTAAATTCCTTTCCTGCAGATTAAGCTTTGTGCTCATGCAACACTAGCAGCTTCACACACTCTCTTCTCTAATAATTTGGTAAATTCTAACATAATTGAGTTTGCTACACTATCTGGGATTTTGACTGCTAAGAAAATTCCTGAAACCAGCAATGACAAATCAAAAGAGGGATTTCTAATTGAATTAGACTTCCCAGTAGTCCCCACTATCGAATTCAACTCTGTTGATCTTGCTCCAATTTCTAAAGCTCTGAATGGTGCTTCTATCATTGATATCAAAAGGACTGCTGTCTCAGATGACCTCTTTGTAATCCCTTCTTTATCCTACAAGTAGTTGCAGGTTATATGTGGAGATATTTTATGTAGCTAAATTAAGCTCCATGTTTTATGTAGATTGTGGTGCCATCTGCTAAAGTTGTTACAGAATTAGAGCCTCAGTTTGATGAGGTACTAAAACTTCCTGGAAGAGGCTTGATTGTTACTGGGGTTGCTCCATCAGATTCTGGCTTTGATTTTTATAGTCGATTCTTTTGCCCTAAAATGGGGGTCAATGAGGTAAAGTAAATATGTTGGCATTGGGTCTCAGTTACTATTATCTAATTGCTAATTACTTCCCTTGCAATTGGAAGATTTACACTAATTTATGGAAGTAATTCAAATTAGTTCTTCATGTCAACTATCAAGCTTGTCTCAAATTCCTACGAGTATTGAGTCCTGTAAAATGTAATAGTAAGGAAAGAATTTCAATCTCAAATTGCAATTCAGAAAAAAGAATTAACTAATATAAAGACTACTCCTTTCCTGCAACTTTTCATCAGTGAATCTTGTTGGTCTAGACATGCAGGCAATGCTAAAGTCTGTATGTAGTATAAATTAATATGGAGTATGGAGCTTATTTAGAAATGATAGAATTTGGTTTTATTAATATTCAATTCCATGAAATTTAGTTTTCAGGCATTTTTAGGCCTTATAAATGAAAACAAATATGCAAGCAGTTCTCTTATGTTACGTTACATGCTTGATTGAATGCTCAGGATCCTGTTTGTGGAAGTGCGCATTGTTCTATAGCCCCCTATTGGAGTAAAAAGCTGGGGAAGTGCGATTTTATGGCATATCAGGTGCTGTCTCTCCTCTCATGCACATACTAATTCTTGTATTTTTGTGTTTCTGAACACACTAATAGAGACATTGGATGAATTTTTCTTTTTTTCGAACATTATAATATTTACTCAAATTGTTCAATTTCTTTGGACAGGCGTCAGCAAGAGGTGGAATATTGGACATTCATTTTGATGAGCAGAAGCAACGAGTGCTGCTGCGAGGAAAAGCTGTTTCTGTGATGGAAGGCTGTCTTTTCGTTTAGATTTTTGGAATTATTCCTACCGTGCATGTATAATAATTTGGAGTGATGGAATCATTGAATTGAAGATTTCCTTTCAATCCCAATTGAAAATTCTGTATCTGTGAACTGGTTTGATGCGTGTCAATGAACACCTTCTCTTATGTATCCATTTCAGATTATTTTTTCCATTTTTTTAACAATATAAGAAATTTTTTTTTGTCATTCATGGAACGTGTAAAAGAAACAAATTTGTCTCACGGGGCATCATAAAAATAAGAAAGATAATGAATTATTCATTGAGGTGATAAGCGGTATATGAATCTTACACTGAATTCTTGATAGCTCACACTAAATTTTTGATAGCTCACTTGTTGGATGGAAGATTTAAAACCCTTTACAGACTTAAAACCCTTTACCTCTTTATTCTTGGAAAAAAAAGAGAAAAAAAGACGACTAGGTATTTTGCTTAATCATCCTGCTGATAATTTACCATTCATGTGAATAGATTTTACTGTTGGACGGAATCTTTTCCGCTTGAAACGGAAAATGACATTCAAAATTTTCCTTAAACTACGGCATTATCGTAATAGGACAGCTCTGCTACTGTCCTTTCTCACTTCGCAAGTGATTTCTGTGTAAATTATGGAGAAACAGCTCGTTAAATACTCTGTGGTACTCTCTTCCTCTCCCTTATTCGCTCTTAATAGATATTTTTATACCTTGTATCGGTATGAATCGTCTTTGAGTTTCTACCAGGTGGACGCGTTCACGGACTCAGCCTTCATGGGAAACCCAGCAGCGGTATGTTTGCTAGAGGACGAAAAAAATGAGAAATGGTTGCAAGCTGTAGCTACTGAATTCAATCTGTCTGAGACCTGCTATTTGACTCGCATTACTGATGGGGAAACTGTTTCTTCAAATCCCAGGTTCCATCTCAGGTGGTTTACTCCTGTTGCTGAGGTACACAAATTAAATTAATTGTTTGTTTTTAAAATCTTAAAGGAAAACTCTCAATCGAATTCCAGTTTTTGTTGATTTTGGGTTAGTACTTTTACTTGATTAGTTTGTATTTGCTAGTTCTTGATTGGTTTCTGTTATTCTAAATTCGGAAATTGCAGATTCGTCTTTGTGGTCATGCGACTCTAGCAGCTTCACACATACTGTTCTCTAATGGCTGGGTAAATTCTAGCACAATTGAATTTGTCACACTATCTGGGTTTCTAATTGCTAAGAAAGTTACTGAAATCAGCAATCGTGAAGCAAAACAGGGCTTTTTCATTGAATTAGATTTCCCTGTCACCCCATTAACTGATGAATTCAATTCTGTTGACATTTCACAAATTTCAAAAGCCCTAAATGGTGCTTCCATAATTGATGTGAAGAAGACTACTACTGAGGGTGACCTCTTGGTAATATCTCTGCCTTCATCTCATTTGCTTTTTCTTTAGTTGAATTGAAACCAGTAATAAACTAATACTTGAGTGAGTAAATTTTTACTTGGCATATCTAAATAGTTGTTTTATGTACCTAAATGAAGCTTTGCATCCTCTGCAGGTTGTGGTGCCCTCTGCTAAAGCTGTTACAGAGATACAGCCAAATTTTGATGAGATAGTAAAATGTCCTGGATTAGGGATTATTGTTTCTGCAGTTGCTCTGCTGGAGTCTGGATTTGATTTTTATAGCCGATACTTTGCTCCTAAAATTGGGATCTATGAGGTACATGCTCACATTGCAGTGATTTTAGTGAAGTGAATGTAAGATTATTTGTCAAGTTTCATGAGCCTTCATTCCTGCAAATTAGATTAGAATATCACAGTGAGTTTCATTATTAGTAAATCCTTGTTGTTCTAGCGATCGAGGCAATGCTAGTTGCTCAAGTAAGTAGTGTAAACTAACAAATATTTTTGGCATGTTAAACATCTGGATGATGCAGGATCCTGTTACTGGAAGTGCACATTGTGCTTTAGCCAACTATTGGAGCAAGAAGCTAGGGAAGTGTGATTTTATGGCATATCAGGTACATCATCTCATCCGTGCTCCCTCGGTCTAATATGCACAGAATGATTCTTGCACTTTTTTGAATTTCCATAGAATTTGATCGTCTTAAATTACATATTAGTGATACTGTTCAATTACTTTGGTTAGGCATCATCTAGAAGCGGAACATTGAACATTCATTTGGATGAGCAGAGGCAGAGAGTGCTGCTGCGAGGGAAAGCAGTTACTGTGATGGAAGGTTCTCTTCTAGTTTAGATTTTGAAGCTAATTTGAATTGTGAAATAATGTCAGTCATTGTATTGCAGAATCTTCCTTGAATTTGTATGTCTGAAACCTGGTTTGGCACCTTTAAATGATATGATGAGATCTTATGTTACTAAATCGAACTCGATGGGTTTGGATTGGGGGGCTAAATCAGAACATTGGGGAGTTTTGAGAAGAGTAATCTAAGAACCACGAGGTAGTCAACCTAAGGCTCTCCTAACTGCCAACTGCAAACAGCCAGATGAACGAGCACGAGGTAATCAATACGTCAAAAAGATTCGTGACCAATCCTTAATTTTTCATTAATAAAAAGTATCAGATTTTTTATTAGCAGATAGCTGTAATAAATTTCTCATGCAACAGTCCTTAATCATCTTTAATTGACAGTGGATCGAGAATTTATATCTGTGTTAATTAAGACAATCAATTCTTAATCATATAAAACCACTCCACTGAATTTCTCAAGTCATCTCTCCCAAAAGAATACTATCAGAAGCATAGCGGAGGCATTTCTCCAATGGCTAATAATACTCAGGTTTTTTCTCAATTTATTTCTGCAAATCATTTAGAAAAATTCTCTTCATTGATCTAATTATGACGATTAAACACAACCCCAAATGAAAAACGCTATTGTAAATTGCTGCAGGTTTGTGTTCTGAAAATGAACATAAATTGTGAAGCTTGTGAGAAGAAGGTTAAGAAATTCTTGCAAAAAATCCATGGTAATATAAGAAGTTAACTTTAATGCCAAGAATAACCCTATTTGTTATAATTTTTGTTCACCGTTATTACTTGGTAGGTGTGCACTCTGTCCAGATAGATGCAAATGAGGGAAAGGTGACAATCTCAACCACCAGAGACCCTGAAATATTGGCAGAAGAGTTGTTTAAAAAGGCAGGAAAGAAAGCAAAGGTTTTATCGAAACAGAACTCCCTTGTTAACAACGAAAACTTAAACAATGCCGATGGATTTGAACATGTTCAACTGAAGCAACTGGAAGAATTTTCCAAGAACCCAAGGCTGAAACAAGTAGAGGTTGCCCACATAAAAAAAATAAACATGATTTTCAAAGACAACAATGATGCCGACTCGAGTCGTACTGAAAATAACCTGCCTGAGCCTAAGCCTAAAGTGGAGAATGGACCAGCCAAACCTGCCGATAATGCTGGCCCAAGTCAATCTAGTGACGGTGGAGGCAGCGGTGGTTCAGATTCTTCTCACCATGATTTCGAAATTACTTGTGGTGGTGCTGGCAAAGGTTCGTGTGAGGAGAAAGCAAAGAAGCCACTACTGCCACCCAATAGTCCTGCCACTGTTCCTCAGACACCACCATCGCCACCGGCAAACCCCCTTTATGCTGACGTAAACTGCGAACATATGAGTTGCACCATTATGTAAGCTTCAACAAATCTTTTATTAAGGATTTTCTTTTTATTTCCTATGAATAATGATATGACACTACTGCTACATTGCTTTCAATTGTAACAACAATAAATTACGTTATAAATTAGAAGTTGTCAAATTTAGAATATGAAAATGCAATTTATGCTGTTAATTCTAAAATGAGATACAATGCTATAAGCATACATTTGCAAACTAAACATGAAACCAGCAAAAAAAAAAAACTATGAAAAGGAAGTCAAGTTGAAATTGGCACATGAGGTCCCCTTTAGCAATAGAGAGGAGCTAAATCCTAATCTCTTGGACTCCATATCAAACTCCAGTAAATTATCCTCCATCTGATGCCCACCGATCACGATCGACGCTCTCGCATTCACCCCACCATCTACAAATCCCAAGCACCACAAATCCACCCCATCTCTCTCAATCATCACCATCGAATTCCATCCAAAAATCCTCCAAAACACATCCTCACTCTCCATCACGAAATCAACAGTCGGGACCCCCGGTCCCACACGCGTGCTAATGACATCAGTCGCTTGATAACACACATCGAAGGGCTTCACTACACTCGTCACAGTGAGGTTCAGCCCAGCGGATTCATTAACAAAAGCTTCTACGAAAGCCCTGTAAATAGAGCTCTCTAAGGTGGTATACGAAGTGTCGGTGCTGAGCTTTGTTCCTCCGAACCCGTTCTCATCGAAGGATAGCTGCGAGGAGTTGAGTTGAATAGGTTTTCCGTTGACTTTGACGGAAGTCAAATTTATGTAATACTCATCGGACGGTTGTTGATTGTAGGATATTACGGTGCTGCCAACTGGATTCAAAAGGAGGCCAGTGTAAACAAGCGATTTCGAGAGATCAACTCGTGGCAAAAAGTAGTAGGGGCCACTAGTTGCAAAGAACGCCACGCCGTGTTCTGTGGAGGAGCCAGAGAGACAAAGCGCAAAATAGTGCGGAGAAGAGACGGCATCACTAATCTGCACCGGAAGCGAATGTTGAGACCTGCCGAGTGCGGCTAGTCCAGTGACCTCCTTGGCAAGACCATTAAGAAGGAATGGCCTTGCACAGGAGAAGACAAACTCTGGTACAATAACCATTTCACCAATAGTTGTCCCATCGGTAGTGGGCAACGCGAGCGAATCGACCAGTGCGGTGGCTAGAGTGGCCTGGCGAGTGATAGGGTTTTCGGGGTAAAGAAAGCAGGAGTTGTTGGCGCAGGCGGGGCCAAGAGTGTCGTTGCAGTTGCCGCACGCAACGGAGTGGAAAGAAGTGCAAAGAGAAGAACTGCAGGGGATGTGTTGGTAAGAAGTGGAGTTGTAATCTCTGAAGCAGTCGAGCCAGGTGAAGGAAGCGCCTAGGTCGAGGTGTAATTTGGTGGGTTGGAGTGGGGTTTTCAAATAAACTGTGATTGTGTAAAGGAGGCTATCGGGATCTTTTTGAATAGGTGCTACTAGTGCTTTCTGGGCAACAGCCGGTGGACATAGGAGAATTGAGAAAGAGAAGAAGAAGAAGAAGAAGAAGAACAGAGGGAACATTGGGGTCGCTTCTTTGTTTCTCACTTCTCAGTGTATAGTATTGGTTTTTCTTTGAAAGTGGAAAATGACACTTACAGCACAAGATTCTATTAGGCGTTTATTTGCACCAAACTTTGACTAATACTATTACAGCTGTAAAATTTTCAAGGCTTTTTAATGGCGGTAAAGTGGAAGTCAGCGCATTTGGTCCCTTTGATCAGAAGCGAGGAGGTAAATCCCAATCTATTAGATTCTAGATCAAACTGTAGCAGATTATCTTCCATCTGATATCCACCAATCACGATCGATGTTCTTGGGTTGGCCCCACCATCCATAAACCCCAAGCACCAAACGTCCACACCTTTTGATGCCACCCTTACCATGGAATTGGATCCAAAGATCCTCCAATATACGTCTTCACCTTGCATTACAAGATCAACGGCTGGTACTCCCGGTCCCACACGAGTGTTTACTATATCCATTGCAGGGTAACAGAAACTGAATGGCTTGGCAGCTTTAGTTAGGGTGAGGTTCATAGCAGAGGATTCTTTAACAAAAGACTCGGTGACGGCCTTGTAAATTGAGGTGTGCAATATCGTGTAAGGAACAACTGTGCTGATCTTCGCCCCGCCAAAACCAGTCTCATTATCAATGGCCAAGAGTGTCTGGTTCAAAGCCACCACCTTACCGTTGACTTTAATGGAGGTCAATCCCACAAAGTACTCAGCAGACGGTTGATTTACGTATGTGATAACGGTACCTCCAATTGGATTCAAAATCAGAGGTGTGTAACTCAGTGATTTTGAGACGTCAATTCCAGGCAAGAAATTGTAGGGTCCATTAGTACCGATAAAAGCCACACCGGAAGGTTGCCGTGAACCAGACAAACAGAGAGCAAAATAGCTGGGAGCGGAGAAGGCAGCTCTAAGTTGCGCTTGCAGTGAAATGTTGGATCTTCCCATGGCAGCCATGCCTGAAACTCCTTTAGCCAGGCCTTGAAGAAGAGAAGTACGCGCACAAGAGAATATATAGCTTTCGACGAGAGCGAGCGGACCCTGAGTTGACCCATCGGTGGTAGGCAAAGCGAGGGAGTCAATTAATGCAGCTTCTAAGTTGACTTGGCGAGTGACTGAGTTCTCCGGAAAGAATTCGCAAGTGTCGTTGGCACAGGCGGGGCCAGGTGGCTCAAAGCAATTGCCGCAAGCGCGAGACTCGAAGGAATCGCAGAGAGGAGTACCGCAGGGAATGTGTTGGTAAGTGGTGGAGGTGTAGTTGTTATGGCAATCTACCCAGAAAAAGGAAGCTCCTAGATCAAGAACAAAGTCGGTTGCTTGGAGAGGAGTTTTTAGGTAAAGGGTTGTGATGTATTGGTGTGTGGTATGATCTTTTCGGATTGGTAAGAGAAAGGCTGCTTCTTGTAGAGGAAGAAGTAACAGGGAAATTAATGAGAGGAAGAAGAGAAGAGAAAGAGACATGTTTTTCAATTCAATTCTTGGTCTGTAGTGAAGTGAAGAGATGAGTCATGAATGTATAATTGACTGTAGTGTATAAATCTGGAAGTGGAGAATCCATGGCAAGATATTAGCAGGTAATTAAAATTTAAAAAAAAAAAAAAAAAAAAAATATATGGGTAAGCTTGCATGTAGGGGATGAGATCTGGGTGGCATGGGACAGAGTGAAAAAAAAAAAAAAAAAAAAAAAGGGCGTATATGGGTAAGCTTGCATGTAAGGAGATGAAGATCTGGGGTGCATGACAGAGTGGAGTCAACAATTATCTGCGAGCTGAGCTGTGTTGCATTTTCCATTCAACGTTCCATTGAATTAAATAATAATTTAATTTTAATAAAAATAAAAAATTTATGAACTTAGTGTTGTGTTGACAAATAATAAATCAACAAGGTAATGGATCAAATTTGATAAGTCCATTAGGTACTTGATCTGTTTAAGTTGAGTGGGCCTAGCAGCCCAACGAATGACCAGCTCTCTTTACAAGCATAAATAGAAAATGGGCCTAGAATTACATTTGACATAATTATCAAGTCCATGTCTGGACGATCTTATCTAGAATGAAATTTCCTTTTCAAGTTTTTTTCTGGAAAGAGAAAACTTGCCGATATGGCTAACGGGTTTTTCTTGTAATGTTATCCATTAATGCGTGTTGGTCTGACTAATTTGTATTACTAATATTTAATTATTAACAATATGATTAGTTAATTGATTTATTGAGTTTGTTTTTCTGAAGCAATCTGATTTGAATATGACAATTTTGGAGCTATCAGCCACTCCACCGATGTCCAACTCAATAGCCATCAAATATTATGTATTAATATAGCTCATCTTTTTTTTTAAACCATCGCTGTCCGAACTCTATTATTAAAAATTGCTTAATCCGATCAAGATTTAATTACAGTTAATGCCGCTTGCCGCTCTCTGCAGTAATATAGCTCATCTTATTACTTATTAAATATAGACATTTTTTCTCTGTATTTTATGGGTATCATCATACTTTTTTTTTTGTTATTTTCCCTTTATTAATCTAACTATCCAGGTTAGATCCTTACTAAATTTAAACTTGTGTTATCGAGCCCATGATTTATTAATTTTTAAAAACTTATATTAATTATTCTTAATATAAACATTCTATTAAACAATTAATACATTCTCTCCATTCTATACAGTTTATAAATGTCTCAAAATAATACTTCTATTTATATTTTTAGAAATATTTCTTTTTTCACTTTCCCACAACATCTTTATATAGTAATCTATGTGAGTAATCAACATTGATTGAATTTATTAAACAGCGAAAAAATTTTTAAAATAATTAATTTTGAAAGTTTAATGTATTAACTATTCATCTTATGATTCTTATTCTGAAAGTTTCAAGTACTCGTTGGCATACAACTTTCAGGGTTTTGAAGAGTAAATATGAAAAAATAAGAAAAGACTTATAATTAGATTAATTTAATTGAAAAAAAAAATGTAACACTACAACTTTGTGAAGGAGGAAGTAATAATGATAAATTAATGATCATAATGATCATATGGTCAAAGTCAAGATTAAAAAACAAATCAAGAGATTTAAAGTTGGCGTGCTTGAATTTTCCCTTCCTACGTGGGCTTTTTCTTACTACAACTGCATCTATATATAGGTAGATTTATTTATGGCTTGTCCACTGCAAACAACAATGGCTTCCTCAATTCAGCACCTTCTCTTCTCTTCTCTCCTCCTTTTCTTCCTCTCCTTATCTGTCACTGCTCAACAGTCTTTCCGTCCCAAGGCCTTAGTCCTTCCTGTCTCAAAAGACGCTGCCACTCTCCAATACGTAACCCAAATCAAACAAAGAACCCCTTTAATTTCCATCAACCTTGTCCTCCACCTTGGCGGAAAAATCCTCTGGGTTGATTGCGACCAAAATTACATCTCATCAACATACCGACCAGCTCGGTGCGGCTCCGCCCTCTGCTCACTGGGAGAAGCCAATGGTTGCGGCAATTGCTTCTCAGGGCCAAGGCCAGGCTGCAACAACAACACTTGCGGTGTTTCACCTGATAACCCTATCACTAACACTGCTACCGGCGGCGAGCTTGCTACAGATATTGTATCTGTCAATTCCACAAATGGGTCGAATCCAGGTCGGGCAGTAACCGTGCCCAAGTTCTTATTCTCTTGTGCACCTACTTTTTTATTACTGGGTCTTGCTAATGGTGTTGTGGGCATAGCTGGACTTGGTCGAACAAGAGCTGCATTACCTTCTCAATTTTCTGCTTCGTTCAGCTTCCATAGAAAGTTTGCTATTTGTTTAGCATCAAGAAATGGTGTAATATTTTTCGGAGACAGTCCATATAATTTCTTGCCTAATATCCAAATCACATCGCTCACTTACACACCTCTTTTTATAAACCCAGTAAGCACAGCTTCAACTTCTACACCAGGCGAGCCATCAGCAGAATATTTCATTGGAGTAACTTCTATTAGAATAAACGACAAAAAAGTAACATTAAACGACTCTCTTCTGACTATTGATAGCCAAGGAAATGGAGGAACTAAAATTAGCACAGTGAACCCATACACTGTTTTGGAGTCATCCATTTTTAGTGCAGTGACTGAAGCCTTTATAAGTGAGGCTGCAGAAATGAACATAAGCAGAGTGGGGTCAGTTGCACCATTTGAAGTCTGCTTTAGCAGAAGGAATGTGGTTAGCACCCGCTTAGGGTATAGAGTACCTAGTATTTCTTTAGTTCTGCAGAACGAGAATGTGGTTTGGAGGATCTTTGGTGCTAATTCAATAGTTCAGGTTAGTGATGATGTTTTGTGTCTTGGATTGATTAACGGTGGATTAAATCCAAGAACTTCGATTGTGATTGGAGGATATCAGCTGGAGGATAATTTGGTGCAGTTTGATTTGGCTACTTCAAGACTTGGATTTAGCTCTTTGCTGTTTGGAAGACAAACTACGTGCTCCAACTTTAACTTCACTTCCATTGCATAGTTTCCTTTCTCTTTTAATCTTCTCGAACAAATTATTAATAAGTGGCCATGGTAGATGATCCCTTGAGGTTGGCTGCAATTGGAAACTTTTATATAAATTTATAATGAATGTACCTTCGAAAAGATTAAACGAAAGTTTGATATTTATTAGATATCATGATTTTGACTGCTGAAATAAATAATTTGATTAAAAGATAATACGGATTAAATGCAATGCAACCAATGTTGACCAAGATAATTAAGTTATTCGGTTAACTGACCAAAACTAAAAATATTTTTCTTCTTACCAGAAATTATTCTTGTTGCCACCTTTAGTTGTCTCAAAAATTGAATTAAATTTATGACTATAATAGTGTATAGTTAACAATCAACTGTCGAATGGTTCACTTTGATTTTCATTTCATTTTAGGGTTCAATTGAAGTTCAAGTTGTTCAATTTTACATAATGAAAAGCAAACGACAAAAGGTTCAATTCTCATTTATTAAAATCAAAATCAAACTCAACTAAACTAGTTGATTTGATCTGACCTTTTCAATTCAGCTAGTTTATGCTCAAACCTACAAGCAATGAATTCATAAACTTATCTTTTTTAAAAAAAATTTATAATAATAAAAGATTTGAAAGAGTATCAGAAGCCCACACGCATGTAATTTGAAAAACTACCAATGGGTTTTAGCAACGTCATTCCTCTAAGAAAGGAAAAAAAAAAAATTCTCCGAACAGCAAACGAACGGTCGTCGAAAGAAATGACCCGGCGCAAAGGCATCACAAGAAATGAAAAACTACAGGGAAGATGACTCTGTTATTTGTATCCATAGCTTTAAATAACTGTATTTTTTGCATTGGTATCCTTTCCTTAGCTAGTGGCAAAAAAACTAAAATAAGAAAAAACAATTCAACAAGTGTCTTTTTAACAATACATTTTGGCGATTGCTCTCAGCGTAGGATTCTATCTAGCCCCTTAGCTAGTATGGCTCAAGAACACATTATAAAACTCAATTCTAATTAGGCAGAGAAGCAATCAGGGAGCACTCAGACACGCATAATAATCACTCAACATATATCATGTTAATGAACCATCACTTGTGCCGGGCTGAAGTTCTGTTTTGATGAGCCTTGATATCGTTCTGAATTCTATCAGCGTACATTGGCAAGCGAATGATCTCATCGATCTCCTTGAACAAGACCTCCTCATTAATGTTATCTCTTATGCTCCGCATTACCTGATTACATGTCAATAGCAGCTTTTTCTTGGTTTAAAGCATTCAAGAAACACATCACAAGAGGCAAAAGAAACACAAACCTTTCTATACGTATTGAACTCATTTGGGGTTGATTTGTCCGTTCTAATCCGCATAAATATCCAAACCTGCCTCTCGGAATCCCATGAGCATTCTATAATCCTCCCTGAATATAAAGACAGATCTGATGCATCTGTACATTGAGTGGTCAAAACATCAGCAGATTATTAGAGCTAGATAACCAGTGGACATCAACTTAAACTGAAAATGAAAATGAAAATAAAAATAAAAATGGTTACTTTAGTAGCAAGCCCTAACAAATATATGAACCAAATAAGTTTTTCAGGAACAGCAAGTTTGGAAAATAAATTGCAGGATAAGTTGTTGACAAACACTGATGTATACTAGCAAAAAAAACCAACCATTGAAAACAACTCTATTTCCCTCCATTAGCTTCTTTCTTCCACGTTCATAAAGAAAAAGAAGTTGGCGATTAGGATCTCTCAACTGTCAATAACAAACAAGAATTTAATTATCTCCAGCTAATCATAGTGCCAATGCAAATATACGGCAATCCAACAAGAATTGTTAGCAGTAAAACCTCAAAAAGAAAGTCAACTGAGTTCATATGAAGATATTTCCACTTTAGAAGACCTTCATGTGTGCGCGGCACATAGGGGTCATCCCATCCCTGGCAGAGCAAAAACTGTCAGCATCTGCTCCACAACCCAGTGACTAATTGAAGATAAACATGATAAGCGTTTTACACTTGCTAAATGGAAAGGGTAACACAGAAAAGGTTTGTAGTAATTAAATCACATTAATAAAATACTGACCAAGGAGTTGAATAACAATGCTCAAACATAATTATGAAGCTCTACAGGTTGGGAAAACTATAAAATAACAGTAATTCAAAAAGGTAAAGGGAAGGAAGAGGAGAAAGAGGAGGAGGAGAGAGAGAGAGAGAGAGAGAGAGTGAGAAGGAGGGGGAGACTAAGAGTTTGATATAAAACAAATACTATCAGATTCAACAATATTGTATTCATTATTTGTTCTCTATTCTGCTTAACGAGGTGTTACTAATTTTCCCAGCGCTATTTGCAGAATCCCCAAATTGCTTCTTAGTCACCTGAAATATGAGACCATCTGCTTCATGTGAAAGCCTAGGAATAAATTGCTTTAGAACCTTGTCAACAGTAGATAGCAGCCAAAAGTCCTTCCTCCTTACCTGATAAAACATCCAACTTCCATATCAATTTTCCAGAAAATGAAGGTTCTATAGATAAAATAGATGGCAGCAAATTGTTTGTGGTTTTTCCAGTACATACACTAAATGGCTCCATGTCATATCTATAATATGGATTCATGCTCTTGGAAAGAGCCTCTCGCTCCCAATTTCGAGGTTCAATCACTTCTTTAACAAGCATCTTCCATCTCTCATGGAAGGGAAGCTGTAAACGTTATATCTAATTAGAAGATGAAATTTTAGAAGTAACTAATTGAAAATAGAATACACAAAAAGAAATCTTCATTGATTTACAAGTTTGCATTTAAAGCAAAAAAGATTCAAAGAGAGAAGGAAAACAAAAGCTTCTCATAAACGAATAGTATTTTTTTTTTTCACCCAATGCGAAGTTCATGAATTAGCAAAATGGAAGGTCAATAAATTAGCAAAATGTCCTGTGAAGTTTCTGTCATCATCATAAAAAGGTAACAAAGATCACCAACACTTCTCCAAATATTGCAAGTGAGTTTCAGACTATATTTAATTTCAGCATTGTCAATTGCTCACCAGACCCTTCAGAATATTTTAATCAATTTGTTGCACGTTGTCACCATTGTTATCTTTAAAGCTGGTTCCAAACTTCCAATAATAAACAAGAGTCTATTTTCTAAAGAGGTGCTTCTTGAATCACTGGTGTAAAATTGAAGCTCCCAGTGTAGATGATGAATAAGAATGGAAAGGTCATGAAGGACTTTCTTTGGGCTAGAGCAACTAGTCAGATCATTTAATCAGTTTGGACAAGTTTGTTGGCCCAAATCTCAAGGGGGGTTAAGTATTGGAATCTGGAGTTCAAACTCCAAAATATTGCCCTAGTATGTAAAATGGTTGTCTTCAATAAAGATGCTCCAAATAAAAACTTGCATTCAAGCACTTTGAAGCTAAGCTAACCTCTATCATAGATGTTTGATTAATTGCCATCACATCATAAATAAGGTATCTTCTCTCTTGCTTCTGTGTGTTAGAGTCAGTATCAATAACCATCTCTCCATCAAGCAATGTATAGTGATGAGTCTGATCAAGCACACCCTGCAAGGGAAAATGCAAGAGAATGGCAAAGAAAAAGACTAGTATATCTGTTATAAATGGGGCAGATGAGAATCACAAGATCAGAAGCTTTTCATCTCAAGAATTGACACGCACACACCTTATTCATGTTTTTGCATGGGAACCGCATGTTGACTTTTCGGAAGTAAAAATTCCTGTCAATCAAGTAACATCCATCCCTAGTTATTAGCATCATGTACCGTGTTCCATCAGCCTTCCATGTGGCATAATAGTATCGCTGTCTTAAGAGTTGTAAGTTGTCCCTGCATATTACATCAAAAGAAAGAAAACTTTTTTAGTGATACTCAAGAATCCGCACTGGAAAAGTCAACAATGCAGAGTTCACTATTTAATAGTTGTTTTCTGATCATTTAAGGAGACAATTACAAAATATTGTAATCCCTAAAGCAAATGGAAGACCTTTTTATTTCTCCTTCAGGCCAAAGGGCGACTTGCATGGTTTGCAATATATATATATACACACCATGCAACACCAACCATACTGCTATTACCTTTTCTTCCCAGTATAGACTGACAACAGTTAAGACCACTAATGTGCCAAACCAGTCACTGAAAATAGTTTCAGACTTGCTAGATAAATCTTGAATCATTCATTCACGTTTTTATATGCTTCAGCTGATCTTATAAAGCAATTCTGATGTAAATTGCAGTCAAAAAAAACACAGAAAAAAAAATAAAATGCTCACAACAAATAGCTTCTTCCAATCAAATCCTAAATAGAAAAATATAAATTAAACTGATCATTTTGTAGAGTTACAACTCTAGAATCTAAAGGATCTTACCTATTGAGAGAAACTGGGTGAGACCCTGGAAAATGAAGATTTCTTCTTGCCTAAATAACAGAATTTAAGTTAGGTGGAAGTGATGGTGAATCAGAATCAAAATGCTCACCACATCAAGTACAAAAAAAAGCATTGAAAATCAACAATGACTTTGTTCCTTGCATATGAAAAATTCAAGATTTATATGGGCTTAGGATTAATTCTAAAACTTCAATTAGCAATTTTAAATTTTTTTACACCTACAACAGGAGAAACATATGCATAAACCATTCAACATAAACTATGCATCATCTATTTAACTCTATGGATAGACTACGACTGCCCCTGGTACAGAAGAAGAGTGTGCTTTTCAGTGATAAGACACAAAACTTACATAAAAAGTAGAATAAAGCATTGGAAACTCTTCAAATAACTGATCCATTCAAGATAAAGAAAGAATTGTACATTCCAGCAGCAGAGAATACAAATAGCATAAAAAACTAGTAAAATAAAGAATTTGGAAAATCGTCCTGAATAAAAAAATCCATAAATATGCCAAATCTGGAACTCAAAGCCTTCCAGTTAAATGGAGAAAGAAGTTGCTAGCATCAACAATAAATCAAACGAGCCATTAATGGGTCAAAATGTGATTGTATATAATTATTTGTGACAGTATGTCAGAAGCCTGAAACATATTGGAAGTAAAAAAAAAAAAAAAAAAAAATGTCAGAAGCCTGAAAACATATTGAAGGTAAAAAAAAAAAAAAAAAAAAAAAAGGACTTAAGGCACTTTTTTGAAGATTCAGCGAAAAAAAATAGATTGATTTGAGAAGATACTAAATATTCAAATACCAAGATAATCATTCACTTCTTTGGTTCTTGCTAAAACAAAGAAAGAATGGAATTGAACACAGGACAGTTAATTTGAAGTTCATCCTTTGCACATATACAAACATCCCACAAATGAACATAAACTTAGTAAAAAAGCACGGAGACAAAAAAGTTTTTTCTCTTAGTGCTTAAACCTGGGGGTTACTTTTTTTTCCAAAAAAAAAAAAAAAAAAAAAAGACTTAGCACTTTTTGAAGATCAGGAAAAAAAATAATGATTTGAGAAGATACTAAATATTCAAATACCAAGATAATCATCACTTCTTGGTTCTTGCTAAACAAAGAAGATGTTGAAACAGACAGTTAAATTTGAATTTCATCTTTGCACATATACAAACATCCCACAAATGAACATAAATTAGTAAAAAGCACGGAAGACAAAAAGTTTTTCTTAGTGCTTACTGGTACTCCCAGTTTAAGTAATTGATAGCAGATCTGTCGCATTGCTTGTTGTTGATCAGAACACACAGCATTTCCCAGCAGATCATCATTGGTCATGACATGATCTCCCACATAATGCTCCTAATATTTATGAAAGAAAATGTTTCTATAATTGTCCACAGCAATACAAATCCTTAAAAGCATTATTTGCACATCAGCAACACAGAAGCCATACAGACAGGAACCAATTTCAAAAAATTTGAGCTGCACTGCAAACAAATTCACCTTCAATTCCCAAAGCTTGATGGCCGTTAAAAATTTTATTATGATATAGATGGAAATTCATCCAGAAGTACCATTTTGAGTATTACAAGATGATGAAAGCAAAAAAAATATGAAATTAGTGTTCTAAGTACATCATCCTGCAGAACATTAGTAACATATTTCCTAGGCCACATTAACAGGCACAGTTACATATAGAGAATGGAAACCAATAATATAATTTGAAAGCTAAAATATACTTTTCAGACACTACATACATGCAAAGGAGCCGCTCCATTTCTATGATCATGTACAGCTTCGCTATTAAATTCCGGATCAGATGATCTTTTCCACTCTGGAGTTTGAGGGCAAACAACTAATGCAGGTTTCTCTTCTTGATAACACATGTATAATGAATCAATGTAATCTTGCTTATAGATTCCTGGAGGACGTGCCCTAGCAAAAATATCTATTGCCTGCACAATAGACATTCTAAATCAAAGCAACTTCAACCTCAATGTTGAACATTAAATTAGACAAACATTGGAAATATGGAAACTATGTCCCCTACCTCTGTGACGGAAATTGATTTTGTACGCTTAAGAAAATGAGCAATCATATAACCTGTGCGATTATGCCCATGTGTACAGTGGACCAGAATATACTTCTCTGAGTGCGTTTCTCGGGACTGAAATTGCAAAACCTAAGAAGAATATGCAAAAATTTTGAATCAGAACTCTGAAAGATGAACAAACTTGAGGCTCCAGTACTTCCAGAACAAGTCATCAAACCACCCTTGGCACTAACATGACAATGATTCCTTATACCACCAGTAAGCTAATAAATAAATAAATAAATAAATAAAAAGAAAAATTAAAACAAGGAAAACCAGTGCATGCAAAAGTTTTCCACAGTATTACTAGGTAAAAGAAGCATACCTCATAGACAAACTTATCTATAGATGCATCATCAGGTACATCATCCCTGCCCTTGCATCTAATCTGGCTCAAGCAGATAATGTATTTATTTATCTATTAAGACCTAATTTCAACCCATGTCTGATAATGAGAGCACAATTTGATAATGAAGATTCAGTGCAAACCTTAATATGACCAATTCCTTCTCCCAACCAGGCTGATATGGGGTAGTAACGGTTAGTGTTTGTTAGATCAATCACTAAACCAAGCTGAAAAGAGCAAGATAACAACACTAAGATCTTGTTTATCACCAAATATGAGAATTTTTCATGTGAGCTTATTTCTTTAATAAGACATGCAGAGACCAGTAATATGCATTGATCTAGTTAAAATTTGTTACTTTTCAGGGGAAAATAATTCTTGGGCTGCATGCAAGAAACTGTCGCTTAGAGTATATTCTAAAAGCATCACAAATGCTACATGCAAATATAGTAAAATGGTTGTCAATATTTGACAGAGAAATCCAATAAGTCATCCAACACTTTTTTCGTCTTCTTCCATGTGTATTTCTCCCTTCCCTTCTCAAGAATTATATTAGCAAGGAGAAGGCAATAATTTAGCTAACACATTGAATACAAATAGTGTCCAACAGCTTGCAGTAAATATACTCACTTCTCTTCCCCGTTGTCTTTGTTCATATATCACATGTTTGGGCGTATATCTTTTGCTGGGAATAATTTGACTGAAGGACTCACCAAGTGGAACCTTTGAAGGAATTATACAACCTACAGCTTCACCATATGCAGGGCAATCCAACCAGCCTGAAAACAGAAATCATAATGATTATGAATTATAACATAGGATGAAATACATAGAACGAAAGACTCATAGTCTGCATACATATAACAGAAAGCGCATACCCTGGACCTTGGCTCAAATTGTCAACAAAGATGATAACATTGATTCAACCATGATAGTAAGAACTTCTATATTATTGTTTATTAGCAAAACCCAAGTATTGAACAGATGTAGAAAAGGAAAAGAAAAAGAAAGAAAAAGAAAAGCTAAAGATAAGAACCCAAAAAAAGGTAGGACAAGATAAAGCCACATACATTAATTAGCCAAAGGTCCACACAAGAAGGTCAGGTCACACCAATAACAGTCAATTTTATCCCTTTTATTCCGGGACAAGGTTTAAACAAACGCTTAATCGGATCCAACAATGAATTAAACAAAATCAATTGGCGGAACAACAGAACTTCTGCAGAAGTTGTATCAAGAGAAAGTTGATAATAAAGGAAAGATTACAGCAATGTGATCTATCAGATGATGAAAATGGGTTTTGTTTAATATTTTAGCAATGCAGAATGAATTCTACAACTCCCATATAATTGCATCTCACATGGTCCTATCCCAGCTTTCAAGTTGTAGCATCTCTAACCCAGTCCATACTGCTCTGCTCGTCTGTATTTGGTACAATCACTGGTCTTGATTGCAAATAGCCAAGTCATTTTACATAACATATCTCACATATAAACTTACTAGATAGGCTTCAAGTCCAAATTAAATATGTTCTTTTTTGTTTTTGGCACTCCTTTTTTCATTGCAATAATTTTACAAAACCTCAATCCAAAATATTAAACAGTAACTAGGGCAGATATTCCTATTCTAGTTGGCATGCTTCTTGAATCTTGGACATATCATCTCTTGTTATGTAGCATTAACTATAGCCGGGTTACAACCATTCCAAATGCTCCGCTTGCCATATATCTCCACTTCCTTAGCCCATTCAATTTATGGGCAAAAGACTTTTTCCAGCAAGTACTTCAAAGCAATCAGTCCCAAGTACTACAGACACAAAATGCAATGCAGCCGATAATGTGAAAAATCATGCAATTCATTGATTTGGGTACATATTGTCAAGATATTCAACAAAATCCGTACATGCTAGAAGAGCATAAGACCTACCATGAGGGAGCATGTTTCCATTATAAGATCCATGGTTTCCAAATTTAAACTGCCGATCATGCATATGTGATGGAGGGACATGCACTTGACCCTCGCTTGGGAATTTCCTTTTCATTCTCCATTGTCTTCCTCCACTATCCTAAGCCATCAAGCACGTAAAATCATTAATCATAAATAGAACAAAGTTAACCAGCATTTATCAGCAATTCACTATCATGCGTTATAGTACCTAAAGCACAACAAAGATTTAAAAAAATTAAAACTACATTATCTGTATTCCACATCTGCCGTCCCCAGTTAAATACAAAAGCCTAAGAATGATCTACAAAGTGCACTTCACACAGTCCACAAGCCCAATCCAAAAACCAAAAGAGACAAAGAAAAGGAGAGAAGAAGACAGGCAGAGATAAGTTGTAGATTACAAGGAAATAAAACTATTTTACAACCTCCAATGTGAAGATTAAGCTGAAGATTCTACTCAGAAAAAAAAAATCCTAAACAATAAAGCCAATCATATAATTTGGTAAAGCAGTATAGTATTACAAGGCATAAGAAAATCAAATAATAAAAATGAGGTATTGATCTGCTTCTGCAAGAAAGAAACTTCAAGTCCAAATTCCAATTTTACTGTCCCAAACAAGAAGATTACTAGGCAAGATGGAGAAAGCAACAGACTGACAAAGTGAGAAGTAGAGATACATACTGCTGCACCTACATGCTCGCGCCCTGCAACTTCGCGAACAAGACTTTCCTCTTTATACTTTTTAGATTGCGAGGAACCATTGAAATCCATAGTGAAGTCACTAAAATTGTGCAGTAAAAATTATCGGCTTGGATTTGTGAGTCTGTTCGATTATGAAGCTAACTCATATGAATTACAGAATTAGATTGCATCAACTATAACAATGGAGCTCGATGAATAGCTTAATCGGGCTATAAAAGGAGTGATTGCAATAAAAAGAAGTTCATTGGATTTACGCATCTACTTAATCATTGCGCAATCGATAAGAAATTTGAAACAAAGAATGTAAAGTTGTTAAACTGAAGCATATACCCGTGCTTCTGCAGAGAACCTATTGAGAAGACGACCTGGTGGGAACTGGAGGCACTTCTTGCCTTCAAGGTATATATAGCTCCCTGTTTTAACTGTCTGTAATTTGCGTGCGTCAGATATTTTTACGTTTACCCAATCCGGCCTAAATTTGGAATATTTAAGCAGGTGATGTCCTCCACCCGCTCAAAATGCAGGCCGAGCTCACAACGGCCCATATTTTGGTCTTATTTTCAAAACTTTTTTTTTTTCTTCAAAATTTTAATAATATGGTAATTTAAATGTAAAATATTAATAACTATTTAACACTGTTCAAAATTGCTCTCGCAGTCGCAAGTATTTGTCGTCTTAAATTTCATTGATGTTTTATTTGTATTTTAGTTAAAAAAAACACAGATTTAAAAAAATAAAATTACTTATTGTAACCATATAATTTGAAAGTTCCCTTCCCATCCCTTTGGCGGCCCGGCTAAACGTTTACGCGGAACTACAAGGGGCACAAATTAAATAAGTCCAGGTCTATGTACGTCGTCGTTTAGATAAGCCCGAAAACCCTTTAGAGCAGGCCCGAGCCCTAACACGATAGACTGTGCAGAGTTCAAAGGTCCCGTCCTCATCTCCCGCTCCATTGATTAGCCTTCATCGTGCTTCTTGAAACCCTAGATTTCGCCTTCCTACATCTAGTCCAAAATGAAGCTTGTCAGGTGAGTTTTTGTTTTATTTAGTGCTTTTAAATCTGCTTTTCTTAAATCTATTCTTCATGTTTCCGTTTGATAATTATTTAATTATGTATCTGGTTCCTTTGGCTCCCCATTTCCAGGTTTTTGATGAAGTTGAACAACGAGACTGTATCAATTGAGCTTAAGAACGGAACCGTTGTTCACGGCACTATTACAGGTTTTTCTTTTTCTTACATCATTTGAACACCTTTTTTTTTTTTTGGCCCAAGGGTTTTTGTTAAACCCTAGTTGGTATTTCTGATAGCTTAAGGTACATTAGTAAGTTTTTCCAGTAATTACTAGAGTTTTAGCTTGTCGAAAGTTTAATTTAAGTTAGATGCACTAGTTAGAAGCGTTTCTATATTGAAACTGAATATGAGGCACCATGATAAGTTTTCTTTATATTTTTTTTTCCATTTTTTTAATTTATTCTCACGTAATTTCGAATACCAAAATCCTAGAAGTTGAGTGGGTGCTTTTCATAATTTAATCCTTACCCAAGGTAATTTACTCACCCAATGAGTCATTCTGAAATACGGTAAAGAGTCTCTAGTAGTTGTTGAATGAATAATGTGTATGTTTTTTTTTTGAAAGGCAGAATATAGGGGATTATTTAGTCCGTTACTATGTTTAAATATTACTGTGTATTTGCTCATGGTTAATATGTTTAGCTTGGCAAGTGCTTGAGTAGTTATGCTAAAAGATGAAGTTGCACAATTTGGTCTTTTCAGCAATTTCCTAGTGACATTTGGATGTATCTGTTGCTATATATATTCCACTACCATAGCTTCTCTAGATACCTCTAGATTGACTTGAAATGAACCAAAGTTAAAGGAACATAGGTAACAGTTCGCTTGTGTAAGACCACAGGTGAGGTGTTTGATGGTTGATCTTTTGTCTTTTATGTACTAATCATTACGATTGTGTTTAAGATTCTGATACATTGTTGACTAAATGGAGTATTAAATTACTGGGTATATCATATCCTACCTACGTGTGGATATGCAGAAATGTTATCTTTCAGATGAGGCTTGTATTCTGAAAATGTATCTGTAATCCAGTATTTTTTTTTTTCTGTGATGCTTAAATCTGTTGCTCAAAATAACTGGTATGATGCATTATCTTTCTCCTTAAGAGATCTAGATATTAAAAAAGTTGTTGTTTGTTGTTGGGACTTCTCTGTTGAGAAGTAACCATAATGTTCAGGTAGTTCTTGAATATAATGTCTAATGCTAGAAATAGAGGTTTCCCTCTTGCTCTGTCTGACTTTTTTGGTTCATTGCCATTTATTGAGATTTTCTCATTTTTAACACCGTCTACATTTTCTTAAAAGTTGATTATTAAGCCCATTAGTGAAAATCAATGTCACCTATTATTAGGTATTTTTTATAATTGTTTCTTCAGATGGTGATGTGGATATACTGGATTTCTGCCTCTTTCCTTTATTAGTTAAAAAGCAATAAATTGTTCTAATTCTAGATTTTCCTAATTTGCCAAGGGTGTATTTTATGAGTTGAAGCGGATTATAATGAAGCTTCTGTAGGAGTATGAGATAGGTCATGGCTTTGATTTTCTATGGATCTTTACAGGAAGTATAAGTACTATTTATGCAAGACATTTTGATTCTTAGAGAGTTGGCTTATGCAACAGTATTTCCTTTAGCTAGCATTTTTCAATTATCTTGGACAATTGAATGTTCCAAAATTTCAATTTGTTAATGCTACTCGACCTTGGTAACTAAAGACCTATTTAGAGAGCTCAACTACATACAATTGATGAATGCAAATCTATTGAACTATTACAAGAATTGTGTTTTCCCATTCAATATGTTATCCCAGCAAACAGTTAAGCAAGTATTTAAGTATATGTTGCTTGTCTCAAATGCCATCTATGTGTTTTGCCAACAACAAATGATTCCTGCATTGTGCTAACTCGATATATTCCCCCCCCCCCCCCCCCCCGCCCCGCCCCCCTCTCTGAATGATAGAATTTGAAAGAAAGATTTTTTTTTTTTGCGGGAATAATTAATATTTTTCCCCCCCCCCCTCTCTGAATGATAGATTTGAAGAAAGATTTTTTTTTTTTCGGGATAATTAATATTTTCTGCAATTGAAAACAGCAAATACTCTTTAATTCCCTGGATATATGCCCAAACAGTTGAGAAATATTTGGTTGTAACTGGTTGATTTGCTGATTCTAGGTGTGGATATTAGTATGAATACTCATCTGAAGACTGTTAAACTAACACTTAAGGGGAAAAATCCAGTAACTTTGGATCATCTAAGTGTGAGGGGTAACAATATTCGCTATTATATCCTTCCCGACAGCTTGAATCTTGAGACTTTGCTGGTTGAAGAGACACCTAGGGTCAAACCTAAGAAGCCAACTGCTGGTATGACTATATTCTCTTCAGCTTCAGTTTGATCTGTATTTATGTCACTTTCTTGGCAATCCCACGCCCTCAAGACTATTGCTAATAGTGTTTAATGGCTTTTGAAATACAGGGAGGCCTGTGGGACGTGGTCGGGGCCGTGGACGTGGTCGTGGACGTGGTAGAGGCCGCTAGATCTGCTGCACGTATTTCAATTTTTGTGGCATCTGGTTATGTAAAACGCCTATGTTGTAAGGAGAATTTGTTGGTAAAGATAGGAACGCAAAGAATGCTATTGGTATTTTTACAATCCTTTTCGCCTTATAGAGGCTAACTTGCTGATTCTGTGAGTTCTCTCACTTCTCAATGGTTGAATTTCGTCGAGCGCTAGCAGGAAGTTGGGAATTGACGAGTTCATGATTTGTTACCAGCGATGTCTTTTATCCTTAAATATGTGTCTAGCATTTACCATCATTTTCTGAATATCCAATTCTGGATTATCATTTTACTAGAATATTGTGTCTAGCAGCAAATGATTATAACTCCCATTTTCAACCTGCGTGTGAAAGATCGTCCCAAATTGTCTCGTTCCAGTTGATAACTCGTGCTTAGCATCTGAATGATTAGATTGGGTGATTGTGGAAATCCAAATATTACAAGCGTTATCCTGAAATTCAGAAGTTCAGATTAGATTGCTGTTCTGTTTTTAGGGGCCAGCTCCCATGGAGAGCAGTATTGGATCAGTCAAACACTTGTACTCGATTTACAGCAACAAATTCTAATCTAAATTGTTACCCAACCAATGACAGTGAGCATCCCCCTTAGGACTTTCGGCCTAAATTTCTGGCCCAAGTTTTTGAACATAATATGCGTTGTGTGTGAATCTCGGAAAAATGGGATAAATTTGCTTTGGGATGCCAAACCCTAGTTACAGCCAATCTTGACCGCTAAGTGACGTGATCAAGAAATAACCTTTGTCATTGGTGGGGATTCAAATCGTATAAATTCAATCGCAACCTTCTAAACAGTGCAAAGCTAGAAAGAAAAAAACTGTTCACGGAGCTGCTGAAAAGGATGGGGACGAAACCGGTGAAACAGGCGATGGTCGTATTTGGTGCTCTGGCATTTGGATGGCTGGCGATTGAGATGGCTTTCAAGCCAATTCTGGACAGAGTTCGTTCGGCCATGGATAAATCGGATCCTGAACGTGATCCCGATGATGTGGACGATGAGTCCACTCGCAAACAATCACCCTCTACTGCTGATGATGTCATCTCCGACGAAACACCAACAACAACCTGATCCACGGCGAGTTATAGGTACTGCTTATTAGAAAGCTCTAGAAACTGTAGTATGGGTTTAAGACTTTTTCAACTGAGTTTCTGCTCTGTTATCAATTCGATTTTAATTTTAATTTTAATTTTTATTATCATTATAAGTTGTTAATTTTGAAAAATGTGCGTATATATTTATGTAATAAAATTAAAAACTGGAGATAGGTGAGGTTTAGTTAAAGATGAATGGAGTCGATTTACGTGGCAGGTGCAACCAATTGATTGTGAAATTTTGAGACATGAAGAGGTTATTAGTTTTAACTCCGGTAAAATTAAATGAAAAATCCCTCATTCTTTTAAGATTACTTCCCTCTAATTAGGTGACCTAAAGCTTTCTCCATCTATGGAAATCGATACTGCAGCACAGAGAAAATACAGCTCATAGGCAAAGTCCCTTTCTCTAAAGATTGAAGGGATGAGTTACAGTGGCCCAAATGGTATTTTGGGTATTATGTAATTGTAACCTCGTGAAATATCTATTTTTAAAAACAAGGCAAATGGTGAATTGGTGACCATGCGATTTGCATGATGGAAGTCCTCACTTCTGACCAGTAAACAAATTGATTACTGCGTGTTCTATACAACATTAAATGGTGTCGGTTCACGTCATTTCTTTGACTCCTCCAGCTTATCTTATCCAATTTATTTTCTGATTTTAAATTTTTTACATAAATAGCAGTCCATCTTAGTACGATTGCAAAAACAAGTTTAACTAATTATATATAAAGTTTGGTTTGATTAGTGTTAATCTTTGATGGATGATGATGATGATTACGAGGGCGGTATTTGTGTAATATAAAAGAAAATTAAAACTTTTCGAGCTTTGAGTAGTAATTATGTATTTATGTTGAAGATTCTCTAAGTTGGCTCATTTGGATTTGGAGAGTCCATCAACATCAGAACAATTGCTGGCATTCTTTGCTTTTCACAGTGTATTATCCTGAAATTCAATCAAGATCTTATATTTTTATATTATAATAGTAATTATAGACACATTAAATTTTAAATTTAAAAGTAAATTCTATAAAATTGTAAAATTCAGGGGTCAAAATTATACTCTGAAATGTTTTAATTATAAAGTATGTGTTTAGCAATAATTTTTTAATTTTTTAATTAAATGCCATTTTAAAAATTGCGCCGGAGGTTATATTAGAGTGTGCCTAAAAAAGTTAACTCTTAAAAAGCGAAAATTGTATTGTTATTATTATAACAAATCAAATCAGTAACCTACTCCTCCTAAAAAGTTAAGAATTTATCAACAAATGGATAAAAAATATTAATAAAAAAATATTATCCACTAATAACAATATATTGAGTTAAAAGGTTTATTTTGGATTCATTTTTTTTAAACTGAAAAAATAAATTAACAATATGGGTACTCCAAATAATTTTTTTTTAATAAATTTGAAGGGATTTAAAATTGTATTAGCAGGTGATATATTGTATATAATTACAACTAGGCAAATACACACTTACCAGTTGAAGTGCCTAATGCAAATAATTTTAATTGAACTCAATTGTTATTTTTTGATAAAATTTTATTTAGAAGGAAAATAATTATGAAAACCCTGTATGCAATGACGTGGCAGGATGTGGTCGATCCATTGAGAATCACTAGAACAGTGGTGAACCGAAGGGCAGATGAGCCAGCAGAAATGCAGAAAATCCTGTCATTTATGGACTAAAATAAACTGGATGACTCCAAAAATTAAGCTTTAAGCGTACATCAATGCACAAACAAAACCAGCTAAAAAACTTGAGAAAGTGACCCATGACCCGATCATTACTCTCGCAAATCCTCCCCCAGTAATAAAAGGAAAACCTCGTCTTCTATCTTCTCAATCTCTCTCTCCCTCTCTCTGATTTTCTTCAATATCTGCACGTTTTCTTGACCCCGAGTTTTCGTTTTTCGAGTGGGTTAATGATTGCTAATCTCCCAGGTGCGATAACTCTCTCTCTCTCTCTATTTCGTTGATGGCGTTGGTTTGTGCTTTGTGGGTATTGATTTTTTTGCCAAGGAATTGTTTCTGTATTAATTGAATGATATATGATATTTGCCCTTTTGACTGGGAAATGTAAATATAGTACTTGTGTTTTTCTTTTTTCTTTTTTTCTTTTTTTTTTTATTCATTTGTAAATATCTGAGTTTTGTAGCTTGGCTTGATTCCTCCGGATCAAACCCATTAGCTGCTGTACTTCCTTTGCATGTTCTAAAATGTAATATGTTATGGCTTTTTCTTTGTATTAAGTGTAATTTTTGGTATTTTCTGGTGACTGAAGTTTTGTTCTTTCATTTGTGTTCAACATTATATTGTTTGTTTTGGCGAGCGAATTTTTTATGCTTCAGAGCATATGATTACTGTATTTTTACCTCTTCGTCTTTCTTCTTCTTTTTTTTTTTTTTTTTTTTTTAGTTGTTTTTTTGGCGAGCGAAATTTTTTATGCTTCAGAGCATATGATTCTGTATTTTTACCTCTTCGTCCTTTCTTCTTCTTTTTTTTTTTTTTTTTTTTTTAGAAAAATCAATTAATTTTTTTTTTTTTTTTTTTTTTTAGAAAAATCAATTAAAAATTTTGGACACAGGCTGTTGAATTTTCTCTTAACCTTCTCTGGAACCATAGAATGCCCCACAAATATTTGCTGCAATTAGTTTGGATGCACATGATCTTGTTGGGTTAGATTTGGTGGGTGTTATCTGCTTGTAGATGTTCACACTTCACAATGACAATTGCAAGACTACACTTGTTTCCACCCTGCAGCACCTTTTTGGGGAATTATTGAAGCTTTTGTGTTGCTGTTTTCTTAGTACGAGTAAAAAAGATATCAGTAAGAAGGATGCAATATTTTCACAAATCAGAAAGATATAAATTTAAACTGATTTCTTTTGTAGCTTTGTCTAGACCAAAGGAGTTGTCTGTTTTCAAGTGCTTTATAAATTTGTATGTTGTGAAAATTGTCTGTTCTATTTCTCATCTGAGCAGTTGGGATCCATTCAGGGTTTTCAGTCCAATAAGGTAGAAATTTTGGTCCCAATTACTGGAATCTATCGATCTTTTATTAGTATTTTGTTTATGGGTGCATGTCTTCCCTCCATTTGAAATCTTGTTCTTTCAATTTTCTTATTTTTTTTGTTATAGTAATTTGAGATGAAGACTTTTCATGCGGTACCCTTGTGTTAATTTACTCAACAAGAGTATGGCATCAGTTGAGAGTATGGGATCATTAAGCAGTGACATCTTCTATGACATATTGAGGCGTCTTGATGGCCCAACATTGGCAAGTGCAGCATGTGCTTGTGCTGCATTCTGCTCCATCTCAAAAGAGGAGAAGTTATGGGAAAATGTTTGTTCTTCTATGTGGCCTTCAACAAATAGGGAAGATGTGAAAAGTTTAATAGCATCCATTGGTGGATTCAGAAAGTTTTATGCAGACTGTTTTCCGCTTATTGTTAACAAGGAAGTTTTGGAGTATCAATGGAATGAGAATCTGGAGTACCCTGAAGAATGGAATGAGGCTGAATACTATGGTGACATAGATGAATTTGTGAGTATTGCACCATCAGATTTTGTTTCTATTGTTGATATTAGGTACAAGGATAAAACAATCTGTTCAAAAGTCCTGTGGGGAATTCCTAATGCCAATGGATTCAATGGCTGGTTTTACAACTGCCCATTTCGGATTGATCTCCTTACATATGCAGCCAGGGACGATGACAGTGAAGGTGAAGTCTTCCTTTCAGTCTCTGATGGTCTGCCACCAATTATATCCATGGAAAAAGAAAGAAAAGATGGAAAGCTGTGGAGGGAGCTTTGTGATGGGCTTCGGCTTAGTTGGATTGTCGTAAACAAAAAAATTAAGCAAGCTGCTAATCTTGCCAGCTGGAGTCCTCTTGGTGGGCAAAGGCATTGGCCAACAGACAAGGATTTTGTGATACGTTTTGGATCCATTCTTTCAGCGAAAGACATTCTTCCATGTCAGGTAGTAGAATGCATCCTTATTATGAAGTTTAGAGTAATTCGCACAGAAGGAGAAGGCAACCATACAACTCTCAAACTAACAGAGCTGAGTATGCAGTTGGAAGACATGGAAGGTGCTCATGTGAATGGAAAAAACAGTTTGCTCATTCTCAAGGAAGCATTGAGTTGCCGGAGGAGCAAAAACTATAGTGAAGTTGTTGAGTCATGTCATTTGTACTCAAAGGTGCAAAGTGAGTTAAAAGAGGAGAAGATGAGAAATGAAAGCAGGATAGATAGGCTTTGCATCATTAGTGGCATTGCTGCTTTCCTCACATTCTGGTACTACATTTTGTGAAATGAAGATGTAACCTTTTTTCCTTTTTAACACTGTAGTTAGCTGAATATGCTCTAACGAACTATGTACCTTTCTGCTGTAAAATCCAATTTTGCCCTAGCTAATAAAAGTTAAGTTACTGATCTTTCTTCCCCATGACATGAGGAAAAAATCTTGTATAAAGTAATTAATGAAATCAGTTCTAGTGTCATCCTTTGATATGTAAACTAGGGAATGATCTGGTATCTTGCATTGTTCTCCAGCCTGGTAGATTTGTTTCTATGTTCTGCTGCAGTTTCTACTGCCATTGGTAAAACTTTTTTTTTTTTTTTTTTTTTATTGTTTCTAATGTTCTGCTGCAAGTTTTCTAACTGCCATTGTAAAACTTTTTTTTTTTTTTTTTTTTTTGTTGATTGTCTCGTGGGCTCTTGTGAATCATCTTATTGCTTTCCCTGGAGCCAAACTCTTTAGCCATCATATTTCATTGATGCTTTTAAGATGAGAAATGAGTGGAACGTTAACGTACTGGCAGAATTTCATCACTATATATAATATATATATGAAAAATAATTGTTGGGTGAAATAAATTCTGATTAGGTTATATATTGTGTAGACCAGGGTTAAAACCCTTATCCACATTCTCCTTCTCCAGCAAGTGGGCTAATTTGAATGAAGAGGAAGCACTAATTAAGTACGGTGGCAACTGGTAAGGACAGGAACGTTCTATTTTTTTTTTTTTTTTTTTTTGTTGATTGTCTCGTGGCTCTTGTGAATCATCTTATTGCTTTCTGGAGCCAACTCTTTAGCCATCATATTTCATTGATGCTTTTAGATGAGAAATGAGTGGAACGTTACGTACTGGCAGATTTCATCAACTATATATATATATATATATGAAAAATAAATTGTTGGGTGAAATAAATTCTGATTAGGTTATATATTGTGTAGACAGGGTTAAACCCTTATCCACATTCTCCTTCTCCAAGTGGGCTAATTTGAAAATGAGAGGAAGCACTAATTAAAGTACGGTGGCAACTGGTAAGGACAGGAACGTTCTAACACTAGATGGATAAAAAGCAAAAGGAAATCATGTATCCTATCTATCCTATGCAATCATTCCATTCTCTTCTTGCTCATTATTATAATTTGACTTTTAGATAGAAATGCCTTGCAGTACTGCACCATCTCACTTTCATGCTTTGGCAGTGAATCTGAAATTGGAAGATAATGGTGTTGAGTGATTTTATTAATTAATTAATCTGTACCACCTCATTTCTGCATATGTAGCTTTCTCCTACAATTAATTCATAAATGCTGGAGACTCTTTATGTAATGCCCAATGTGCCAAAACGTAGAATCCAGTCTCTAACTAATTAATGAATGTTAAAATTTTAAATTTATACTTAAAAATTTCAATTAATTTTATCTATTATAAATAAAATAAAATTTAATTTTTCATAGCAGTAAATACTCTTTGCTAATCTCGTTGGCATTGACAACTTCCACATGGATTTCTCATCGTTGGATCTCTCCCGGCATTTCTTCTCAGTTATAATTGGAAGATCTTTTCTTTTAAGTATTGTCATTATTTTTTCTAAAAAGGAACAAAAAAAAAAAGTTGATGGGTTTGATTATTCTTTTAAAACAAAAATTACTAATTTATGCTACATTCGTAACTATTAAGGTTTCTCTCCTCTTTTTTCTCTAGTTTATTTAATCTTAATTTTTGTTTTGAGGCTGCCGCTTGTTAATCAACTGTAGTCCCTTACGTTTTTACTTTTAATCTTTTATTCGTTTTTTAATAAATTCATATATTTTTTTTAATTGGTCTGTTTTTTTATTGTTATTTTGTCTCCGTATTTAGAGTTCTTTTATCTGTAAGGGTTTAATTCATTCTTCGCGAAGGTTTATTATTAAAAAATATGATATTTGATTTTTTTTTGTTAAATAATTTAGATATTGTTTTCCTTATGTGTATTTTCAATCAACGGAGCATTTATTGATGCTATTAATGCATAATGACTTGACTTAAACTCATATGTATACGTCATATGCAATAAATTTTTGGAAAACTAATCAAAGTATAGAAGATTTAGAGAATTATTTTATCGTCCAAAGGACCAGTTGCTACTATAAAGATTTATATCGATTAAAGTTATTTTTAATAATGAATTATATTTCTAAAAAATGTATGTTTCTGATACATAATTATGTATTCGTCGCGAGGCACGTAGCGAAATGTTTGCCCACGTCAAAATCAACAACAAAAAAAAATCTATGTTCATTTCAAAATTTCTACTTATTTGGTAAAGAATTAGGTGATAATTTATAAGAATTTAATTTTTAGTTGGTCACCGCATTTAAGTTTAAGAGGCAAATTCAATCTCATTACTGTAAAAAATTTTGAGTTTTACAAATCAAAATTAACCAAAAAAAAAAAAAGAAAGAAATGCGAGAATAATTATTTTCTTAAAATAATTTTTTGATTTTAAAAGCATTAAATAAAAGATAAGATAGGAGAGGTAAATAGTCATTAATGTCGTGACGGTTGCGGGCTTGGGCTTATTAGGAAATAGAAGGGAAGGGGACCCTCGGCTGGTTTGAATAATCCAAAAATTGTTTATGCTAACTGCCAAACAGAGCCTTGTATTATTCCCGTGAATGGCTGCCATGTCAAATTGTCAAATCACTTAATAAAGCTTCCCATTCATTGGTTCACTACATTCGTTAAGTAATGGAGTGAGACCCGAGAATTTTACATGTAAATTAAAAAGAAAATATAACTATATTTTAAAATAAATAAAAAAATAATTAATATATTCAAATTAACTTCAAAAATTACAAACTACTTAAAAATATTGCAAATTTAATAATTAATATTTTCATTATAATTTTTTTTTAAGAAAAAATAATGCAATGTGCAAGCATAACGTATGTACGATAATAAATTATCTACGATATGTATAAGTATTAAGATTATAATATGATTATTCTTTTCCCCTTAATTGTGTTAATCTTGTGAATATTTATTTCTTTTTAAAATATAAATTTCTTATTTCTACGTAAGAGTAAGAGACAAGATATTTGCATTATCCTTTATAAAATGAAAGAGAACACGTTTTTTAAATCAAGTGGGGAAGAAATACAGAGAAAAAACCAAACTTGTTTCCTGTTAATTAGCGAATTCAATGGACGGGTAATTTCGTCAATGAAAAAATTGTCCTATCATCATCTGTGTTATGTACTTTTGTCGGGTTTAACTTTGGGCCACTTCTTTCGCTCACGATCCCATTTACCACCGCCACTCTCTCTGTCTCTCTGTTATATACTCTTCGAGGTATTTTCTTTTTTTACTATTCAGTGACAGAAAGATACTTCAAAAGTTAAAAGTGCTGTCTTTAATAAATCTTGTTTATTTTCTTCTTCTAGTAATCAAGTTTTTACTTCTTTAACAGTATGATATCCTCTTGAATTTTCTCAAATAAAAATTTATACCACGCCCACTGGCATTCAATTTTCAGCTGCTTCCTCTTTCTCCAATGCTAATCAACTAATCCTGAAACGTATTGAATGCTTGATAAATTTTTCTGAGCTTGTTTTGATTTTCATTTTATGATTCAGATCCTGGCTGTAAGTCAGTACAGTTCATCTCACTATTTCTTTCAAAAGCGTTTTAAATGCTTTTTAATTATTTCATTTTCTTTCTTAACTAGACAAAAGAAACCATCCCACATAATGTAAATCAGTTTTCGCCATTAAATGCTTTCTTTCTTCCATTACCCCACCTTCTGAAAGAACGCCCCTTTCGTACCATCTTTAAAGTCGAACACAATACAGTATCTCTTGAATCTTTGTTCTTTTAAACAAAATGACCAAGAATAACAGCACCGGTAACAGCAGTCCGTCTGCACGAGAGCAAGACACAATGACCCACTTGGATTTCTTCAAGAAATTTAAGCGCTTGAACCCTCTTGAGCCTTCTTTAGGCATTCTTGGATTCTTTTTTGTCACTCTTCTCTTCATTTGCTGCTTCTTCTACTTGGATTACCGGGCTTTCACTCGCGGGTTGCGCTACCATGGGTTTTCTTGGATGGGATTGGTTAGTCAAACGTCGTCAGTAGAAATGGGTACTGACAAGGGACGGCCGGGATTTCTTGATAAAGATGGTGACTCGTGTGATATCTTTGACGGGAACTGGGTTTGGGATGATAGCTATCCATTGTATCATAGTAAAGATTGCTCCTTTATAGATATTGGGTTTAGGTGTTTAGAGAATGGAAGGCCTGATAGTTTCTACACCAAGTGGCGTTGGCAGCCCAATCGTTGCGACTTGCCCAGGTACCTTTCCTTTGAATTTGATCTATCAATTTAATTTTTTTGTTTGGAGGTTTTATTCTATTTAAACCTTTTTTTCTTGGAGGCTTTATTTATTTACTTTCTTTTTCCTTTTTTTTTTTTTTCAATTCAATTCGGTGACTAAGAAAATCTGGAACGAAATGCAAGTATGGAATTATTTTTGGGCAATGTTTGGATTAGCATCGGTTAATCTGGATTTTTATCAATTAATCTTATTACCTGTTAATTTGTATTAGTTTCGTTAGTTGCTCGAGGGAATGTGCTATTTTTCTTTTTACTAAATATAATTCAGTTTCTGAATCAGTTCCTCTATCAAGTCATGCTTTATTTTCTGGAATTATTGGGTAAGTTATTATAGTTCAGTTTGAATTAATAAAAAAAAGTTCTGTTCTAAGGGAATTTCAATTCATCATTCAGCTGGAACATCTCCTTATTCTTACACTTATTCTGTCGAGACTAGATGCTTTTTGTTAAACCTTATTTGTTTTGAATTTCTAAGTCTGTTTACCTCCTCTAGCAGTCTGCAATTTTTTATGACTTGCATTTTGCTCCCTTCTTCCTTGAGAATAGATTTGATGCAAAGGTGATGTTAGAAAAGCTAAGGAACCGTCGGCTTGTATTTGTTGGCGATTCGGTTGGAAGGAACCAATGGGAGTCTCTCCTCTGTATGCTTGCCACTGCTGTTCCTGACAGTTCTTCAATCTATGAGGTGAATGGGAATCCAATAACAAAGCATAGAGGCTTTCTGTCGTTCATGTTCAAGGAATATAATTGCACTGTTGAATACTACAGAGCTCCATTTCTAACGTATCAGGGTCGGCCTCCAGCCAGAGCTCCAGAAAAGGTTAAGATGACTTTAAGAGTGGATAAATTGGACTGGACTTCACCACATTGGAGAAATGCAGATGTATTGATTTTTAACTCTGGCCATTGGTGGAATTATGAGAAGACCATAAGAGCGTAAGTACTACCTATCTAATAAGTTTCCTTAATGACTATCCGTGTGTGTGGCATGCACTGGTTTCAGCTTTCTACTATGGGATTTTGGAGAAGACCATAGAACTTTGGCTGCAGCTGATCCTCTTAGAGATATTTTGGTTTTTTCAACCCTACACAAGCATTATTTAGGTGTAGATGGGTGTGGGAGAGAAGCACCAAAAACATAATTGCCTGATGTGTCGCTTCTTCATATTGGAACTAAGTAATCTACTCAAATACCACCTTTACTGGTTAAGCCAAAAGCTGACAAGCGCATCTTTATATCGTTAAAGCACGCATGCTTATTAGTGTTTACTGATAATGATGTTCAAAACTAGGTCAGACTCCCTTAGCTATATGCTTCATAGACAGAAGAAATTTCAAAAGGAAACATGCAAAAGAATCTCTATGTTTCTTTTCACTAGGGTAATATATTACCAATCAGTTAACACATCTTACCTGCAACAGTACTGCCACCTTATTGTTGCTATTACGGACATCGGTTGCATCTCATTGCCCCCATTACTATTACCATCGCTCCTGCTATTTCCGTCATTCCACCTCATTTGTGCATGCTGCAATCTTCCATGCATCTGTTCTGAACAAATGAAAATGAACCGAACTTGATGTCTTGTTCTCCCTCTGAACCCAATTGAATGATTATCACTGGCAGAAGATTGGGCAAAACTAAACAATAAGTTGGTTGATAATTGATTTATCTTCATGCCCTTGTTTTGGAAACGGAATGTAATAACTCTGGTTTCCTACTTTCAGCTAAACTTCTCCCTTTTCCTTGTTGCCTTTTCTATATTTACTGGTTTCTTAAAGTTTAATGATACTTTGTTATTTAGATTTTGAAAGAAAATTTGAATGGGTTTTCACTTGTGTGCACATACTTCATAGTGTTTGAATTCTGGGAAGGAAATTGTGCTTGATTCATCTTGTTTTGATTATACTGATAATATATGATCTTTGGCTTTGTGCTTTTGTTAGGGATTGTTATTTCCAAGAAGGGAAAGAGGTAAAGATGGAGATGACTGTTGAAACTGCATACCGAAGGTCACTTGAAACTCTGATCGACTGGATGCATCGCCAAATAAACATGAGCAAGACCCAAGTCTTTTTTCGCACCTTTGCTCCTGTTCATTTCAGGTTTGCCTGAATCTTTTTCGTTTATTATCTTCCTCATGTACTTACTTTGTTTTGGCTTTAAAAGAATACAACAACTAAGCCAGCTTTGAGAGGCAATAACTATATAAGTATATCCACTGAGCAATTTGAGATTTATTAGAGCTTAGCTGTCCTTTTTTTACTTTAAAAAAAAATTTTCAACTAGCCATGCTCATGTTGTCGCTATGGACTCTTTGGATCAAGTTGTTTGAGCAGACTATATCCATCATGCAATCTTCTGATTGTGGGGATGAACCTGGCTTTGTTTATTTGTTTCATCTGCCACATTGCAGAATTTGTAGGATTTTGACAGAGACTTTTGATTACTTTTAGAACAATTTATTTGGTCTGGACTACTGTAATTCATCAACATTTACTCACCCTATGCTTCTAGGAAGATGTTATAGAAGCTATCTCATTGTCATCAACCTTTTATACAAGGATATCAAAGTCCATTGAGAGCTAACAAATTTGCTGGATTAACAGAGGTGGTGACTGGAAGACTGGTGGTAGCTGTCACTTGGAAAAGCTTCCTGACTTGGGTTCATTGCCAAGTTCATTGCTAGATTATCGTTTCAAAATACTTTTCGACTTGTTATTAGAACACTCGAATGACTCACTTGTGATGAACTTGGACTTATTGAATGTGACGAACATGGCAGCAAGAAGAAAGGATGGCCATGCATCTTTGTACTATTTAGAGCCAGGAATTGGTCCAGCTTCTCTCCACCGTCAAGATTGCAGCCATTGGTGCTTGCCTGGCGTCCCTGATTCCTGGAATATACTTCTTTATGCACTTTTTCTCAAGCGGGAGTCAGTTCTTGCACAAAATTCAATAGAATCTTCTCAAGCACCATTGTGATTGGTACACAAAAGCTTCCTGATTTTCCAAAATGGTTAAAGGACTGCAATTTTGTAGACAAAAATGGCACAAGCTAAAGTTTCTTACACTAACAGGCAAAATGATCATTTGTGAAGTTGGTTTCTGTTTGACCAATCATAGTTTGCCACAAGCCCTTTCGCAAACTATCAAGTGATACTATCATTTGTTGAAATGAATTTTGGCCCACTACCATGAATATACAATGATCTGTCAGTAGATGAGCCTAATAGGCTGCAAGGAAATCTTGACAGCAGATTTTTAGTACAGGCAGGTTGATGAAGCAGAGCTGATAGATAAGAAGAGATGTACAAAAGCATGTTTATGCTCGTTACATAGATTGTTTCATCAGAAAGAAAAAACAGAAATAGAAGAATGATGATTATGCTACTTTATGCAATGTATATGTGTATGTAGAGCAAGTACTGAAATTTTCGGAATGAAATTTGCTCCTCTTTTTGCTTAGTTTCATACTCAGTAAGTATTTCGTTATGCCAGTTTTGAGGATTTTATCTTAAAATTCTTCTGAAAACCACTGACTTGTGCTCGTATTTGACAGCAGTTGCATGTTACAAATCCTATGATGAGTGTTGTTCCCTTTTAAGAATTTTTGCTTACCTAACAAATTAAAGAAAATTTATTTTTTCTGCATGTTAAATATATTTTTGTTGCATTACGATCTTGCTGATTGATGATGATGATAATGCTGATGTCTTTCTAGTTTGGTTTAGGGTTTCCATCACGGACCACTAACTACAAATGGTGATTACAAGAAGTTTAAGTCCAACAAGATATCGACTTAAAACTAATTTTTGAAAATGGCGTGTGGTCACAGAGACTGGTAGAGATTTCTATTTCTGTTAATCATTCTTTTGTTTTAGCAATCTACATCCTTTTTATCTAGGGACCAGTATAGAATTTTGACCTAATGTATTCATTAATGGAAAACAACTAACAAAACCAAATATGAACACATAGCTATCCATCTTTTTTTTTAATTTTTTTCCTGTTGACTGAAGAAAGATCCAAGACCAATCAAAACATTTTTTGCACCATTTATGACTTATTGCTTTTATCTTAACAGGAAAGGAGTTTTCACTCGCTCAATGTTTCAGCTTGATTTAACAGTTAGTGGATCTAAATTTGCAGTCAATCATTCTTGTTATTACTCAATCCACAAACAAACATAAATCCATCTCTTTACAAGAATCCAAAACTAGAAAAACAGGAGATAAGAATGAAAGAAACTAGAAAATTTAATCAAACCAGAATTAGAAATGAGACCATTAATGGGGATAAGGTTGGACAGTACACTTCTTGTTATAGATAACATTCTTGGACTAAAATCAAGAAGGAAAAAGAAAAAAAAAAATCCCACTTATTGGGATCCAAGATGCTTAATCTGTAAATGGATATTGCTCATACCTAATTGAACAATCATGGAGCACAGAACGAGCACCGATCCTGTTTTGACAAGTGGAAAACATATTTGATTTAGCTGCTCCAAGACATGTTTCGCAGTCTAAATTTGTGAGGTTCTGGTTACAAACAGCATGACCATAGGCAAAAGCATTTGGATAAGGAGAGATATTGTAGAAGTCATAATTCTTGGTTGTAGGTGTCACAGTCTCTAATTCTTTAACCACGTAGTCTAGACTTATACCAAAAGGATCACCTTTTGAATATACTCCAGAGTTGCAGAGAACTGTTAGCACCTGTGTATTAGGAATGCTTGTAACTCTGTTACTGCAGAATTGAAGAAAAAATACAATTATGATTTTGGCTGCCAATTTTTGAGGAAGACCCATTTTGTGTTCTTGGTTTTTGATCAGAAACGAACCTTGTTTGACTTTTTTAACTGGTGGGTTCTTATTGGTTTCTCCATCAACTCCATGATAAATGTCTTTAGTGTTTTTTGTCTTGTTTTGTTGGTACTGTATGATTCTTGAAAATTTTTTACATGCCGGCTTTTCTCTGCTACGGTGCGTCATGGGTCATTAGTAGACTGGTGATTGAGAGTGATTATGGTGTCGTGTTGGTATCAAACAAGACTTTCCTGCTATCAAATTGAGTTTTTCTTGCTTGCCCTTGTTCCTATTATAAGATTCAATTGAAAAGGGCAAGAGGTAAATGATAATTGAATAAGTGGTTAGAATCCATATTGAGCTTGCTGTTGTTCATATCACAAAATAAATTGAAAGAATGAGATAAATAATTATCGGGTATGAGGTTAGAATCTATAATAATTACTTCTTACACAGTGGAAATCAATATATGTACTGATGTTTTTGTTTATGTGGCTTGAAACAAAGAGTGCTTTTTACGTATAAAATTAAAGCAAAATAACCTTAATATTTCTAGTTGTAACGTTATTCTTTATTAAAAAATATATATATGAAATATTTTTTGGTTTGAGAGAAAGAAATATTGCACAGTTAAATCACTACTACTTTTCATAATTTTTATCACATTTGAGAAAATAATTTGTTCCAAAATACTCGTTAAATTTGTGGTTTCAAAGAGTAATAAATTTTTTTTTTCTATGTTTACCCTTTATGTATGACTAATAATTATTACTTCAATTTAATGATTTTCCTAGAAAATTAGTGTTAAATTAAGGATAATATAATCAATTTATTCAATAATTTATTATAACTTAGATAAATATTAATGATTTTCTTGAGGGACGTGAAATTCAAAATGTGACAAGTATTATGGAATAAAGGTAGTTATCGAAAAGCATTTATCATTGGCTATGCAATATGTGTCATTAATTAAATTTACAGGACAAAATTAACCATTAATACTCTTAATTATTAAGATTTTCTCCCTCACACACTAATATTTATTTTTTAATAATTTTTCTTTCTGAAGCTGATATATATATATGTAGACACACACATAAATACTCATAATGCCCAAGCCAAAAGTTGGCAAATGGTTATTTTGGTAATTCTTGAATAAAATTAGCTAGCTTTAATAAAAATAAGCAAGCTCTCCAAGTTGTTCCACTTCCTTAACCAATTTTTCTATCTTCTCTGCCATTTCCATCAACAAGAATAGAAAGCTTGCTACTGCAAGTCCATCGCCATTCTCTAGTTGTGCTAGCTTCGGAGGAGTTATGATCTCACGTAACTCTACTCTAGCTTCTTTCAATTTTGGAACTATGAGTATCTCTGCCTGGCATTTTCTCATTTTCTTGATGCTGTCTCCTAGCTCCTTCAATGTCCATGCTATTGCTGTCCCTACTGCTTCACTTGGTTCTTTCATTGATTGTCTCAAACTTTGCGAAGGCTGATTAAAACATATAATAATATGTATTAGCTTAAAAAAAATATACAATTACGATTTTATACGTTAAATGAATTTAAAAAATTTATAATTTAATGTATAAATGAGCGGGCTCCACTTATATGATAAGACTCTTCTCATCACGTGAAAAATAATACATACGAAGTAAAATAGTTCGAACACAGTTACGCATCACACGAGAAAAAACATAAATAAAAAAAAAAGAATAATTACCTCTCTAAGGGATTCAAGGCAGGCTTTGATTGAAATGATGTTGACAGCCAAATCCCTAAGAAGCTCTCCTATTGTTAGGTATTTGTCCCATGGATGAGAGACCCCAAATTTACCATGCCATGGTTCCCATCTTGCAAAATTTGCCTGAAAAACATATAAACATAATTAAATAGTTCTCCATCATCATCCCCACAAATCTTGATAATTTATATATTATTTCTATTGCAAAAAGAACAAATTGATTATATAATATTTTAATTACCAAAGATTCATCCTTGGACTTGGAGTTGAGCAATGATTTGCATTTGCTGAAGTTGACCGGTTGCCTTTCTTTTTCACTATCAAATCTGAAATAATCCTCCAAGCAACCTACAAAATTAATTAATCAAGCAATTTTACTCTCCGAAAAACGTCAAAAAAGAAAAATTAATTAACAGTGAAAATTATGTAATTAATTAGATTTTTACCTTCAATAGAAGTGGCAAGGGCTTGGAATTTGGAGACAGTAGAATCATGAAGCTCATCACTAGCCCATATAGGAAAGATAAATAAGCTTGTGAAAATGCAGATGACGAAACCCAAAACTATCATCAGAAGCCTTTCACGTGCTATTTCAATGACCATAAAACGTCGACCAGACACTGCCACTAAACTAAATGTCAGGATAAATATCATTGCTCCATAGTCATATCTTGCTTTAATGCGCGGTGTCAATCTACAGTATGTTGCTGCTCCACCTGAAAGATTCACAATTGTAATTAAAGAGTGTCTTCAGGTAGACAATACGTGTAATATGTAATAACTAATTGAAAATTACTTGATATTTTAGTAAAATAACAGTAAATATATTTTTCAATGGTTTAAATTATTCCAAGTTGCATAATACATGCATAAAAATCATCACTTTAGAGTTTGCTGCCACACATAGTGCACAAGACAGTGGCCACTCAGTAAATTAAGAAAGATAAACCTCCAAAAATTCTGGAACACAAAGAAAATTAGAGATGGTGATGGAAAAAGAAGAAAAGAAACTGTACTAGATGACAATTAACGAAGCTTTTTGCTTCAGAACATAAATGAATTGTAACAATTAAGATTTATATAAAACTTACCGAAAATTAACATAGCAGTTCCAATAATAATGGAACTGCTAGTCCCACCAACATGTTGAGCTAAATTTGCAGTTAAACACCCTAATCCACCACCTAATATGGTTCCCATTCCACGGTTTAAGCCCTTGCCAAGTGTAGCACCTAATTAATTAAAACAAACATTCATATTATCAAAATTGATTGTAAATTAAGAAATAATAACAGTATGTATGAACTGAAGAAATTACCTGCGTAAAACTCGAAGATGACAACAACAGTCATTATAGCCCACATGGCATTATCATCTCCAACTTCCTTGTAGAGAGGATCAAGAAAGTAAAGAAGAGAAACTAAGATAAGAGCAACTCCAACTTTGATACTGTGAATCCATTTTCTCATGTCATCTTTGTTTTTCTTTTCTCTGAGAAAAGAAATGATGGGTAAAAAAGAAGGCATAATGGATTTCTTTCTCTCTTTTGTGGAAACTACTGCTGCTTGCTCTACATCATCTGGAATGTTTACCACAGCAGAACCCATTTTGGTTTTGATCTCTTCTTTTGATTTTCTACTGGAAATGCAGCAGTCAATGAATTGGAGAGAACCCAATATGTAATATTTATATGTAGAGATCGGTCAGTCTAGATTATGGCAAGTGGTGGAAATGTAGACGTTTGTCTCATTGATCTAATTAAAGTGGTCATAATTAAGTAAACATTTAGCACTTTAAATTAATTAATTAAACCATAGATAGAAATATAATTAAATAATTATCAGTAAAACATCCAAAAACGTAACATTAAAATTAAAATTTTACTAAGCATTTGTGCGTATGTGGAAGGACATCAGTGGCCATAGTGGAACACGCTCGCACAACACAAGCGTACTCTTCTTCTCACTTGTTACAGTAACTGAAGTGAAGAATGGTCTTTTCGCATAATTTCTGCAAGTTGATGAGGTCTAATGTCCTAGTTTTATTCATTAGCTGTGATGCATAAAAATGGAAATACGGAAAAAAATCTTTTTATACTATAAAAAAATGGATATTTAAAATATTTTTAAAATGCGGAAACACTTATAAATGAATATATCCGTACATCATAATTTATTTATTAACGAATAAACTACAGAAAGAGATCGAGTTAATTGATTGGAAAATCAATTTTCTTTTTAATATTTTGATTTATCATAAAAGGTTTTCCTATCCAAATATGAATGTTTTCAACAAAAATTCAAACCAAATATTTGGTAAATTAATTAGCTATTTCTTGAAAAAAAACAAATTCGTCGGTTGGCTAGTCCTTGTTATAGATGTTTTATCATTAAAATGGGTCGAAAACAAGAGAATGGGCAGCATTGATTCGAGAATATGATTTGAGAGAGCTATATATGTTTTATCATTAAATTGTTGGTCTCTTAATTAATAAGTTATATTTGAAATATATATAATAAAAAAAATTAGAATATACATTGAAATATTTCAGATATAATTATATCAAATCAAGTCAGACTACACAAGTACTAGAAAAGCAGGCAATTCGTTATTCAACAAGCACTTTGATTATCTTGTCAACCTAAATTGGTTGCAAAACTTGTTGCAGCTCATGTACTGACTCATGCTTCCTTTAAGCCCATCCCTTCCCTGTCTTTCTGTGACTCTTTTTAACAAAAAAAAAAAAAAAAAAAAAAAAAAAAATGTACTGGACTCCATGCTTCCTTTAAGCCCATCCCTTCCCTGTCATTTCTGTTGATCTTTTAACAAAAAAAAAAAAAAAAAAAAAAAAAAAAAATATATTTGTGCAAGTAGAAATATGAAAGAGAAGTTTTCTCAATGTGTGAACAAAAAAAAAAAAAAAAAAAAAAAAAAAAAAAATATATTTGTGCAGTAGTAAATATGAAAGGAAGTTTCGCAATGTGTGAACAAAAGAAAGAAAGTGGAAGATATATAATAATGAGATAAAGGTTTGTTGATAATATAAATATTATGAGAGATGATTGAGAAGAAAGTGAGAGCTCCTGGTAATTGCCGTCGTGGAATTTCACTCTGTCGCGTTATGCCCCCACTTTCTTATGTTTGTTACGTGATCGTGTTCGCTATCTAATACCTATTTCTTCAATTAATTTTTGTTAAACAGAGCTATTATTCCAATATTAAAAAACCATGCATTCTTTCAAAGACCCTTTTATGTACAAATCAAAAAACAAATAAAATGGTCTAAATAAGCCACATTCTTCATCTGGAATTGTACAGACATGCCATCTGGAATGCACATTCTTCATCTCTTGTAAGCAAGTATTTCTAACTCTCTAAACCAGTATTATTATTACAATCGCCAATGTTTATATAATAATCTTAAAGTTTCTGTTTAACTTTGAAAATGTTTGTACGAAAATCGTACCTTTTTCTTCCCATGCCATGTACAATCCACTAACTCATAACTATTATTCCACGCGTTTTTTTAAATGGTGTCCTGTCCTGTCCTCCATTTTTTTTATTAAAAGAATTCTTTGATACGTGAGCTTCGTCTTTCTGAACTCATTGTACGTTTGAAAAACAGAGTCAGCTGATACTGACATAAACCTGCCAATTTAAATGTGTAAATTTTGTTTTTTCATTGCACCTAAAATCTACTTAAACTATGCACAGAAGGATTAATTGGATCGACTTTTCTTTCTCCTTCATTACCCTCTTCTTTTTGGTGAGAGCCAAGAATCCAAATGACAGGTTTTAGTTATTTTGGTAATTTTACAGAAAGAAGGAACAATGAATCAAAGAATCAATTCCGTACACTTTGAGTAACATATAAATAAAAACAAAGAAAGCAAAGAGGAATTTGTTTTTCTCATTTGCAGTTTTGCCGTACGTATATCGTCTCTATCAAGGTTGATACACCGTCATCCTCCACTTGATTCCAACGGCGCAGGAATTCAATATTTTGTTTATAGTATTTACATAAACATCGGTGAGCTAGCTAGGATCTCGATCATTAATTAGTCGTGGAGTTAGGTCATCAGTGATAAGGAATGTGAAACTACCGTCCAAAGTTTGCAGAAGCTCTTCTTTCTCAAGTTGACTTGTTTTTGATTGCGTGCGTCAACTCGCATGCTAATTTATTTGATCAAATCAAATTCATCTTATGTTATTGATTTCTCCTTTTGTGGAAAAACTTTTTAAATATAAGATTATTCTCGATTTGTAATTACCCCTTTTAACGAGTGTTTGATAATAAGATCTTCATTTTAATTTTTTTATATGTTGAAATGATTTAGTAATACTTAAAAAATATTAGTATTTATTAAACAATAGAATATTAAGTCATTGTAAAATCAAAATTATGCTAGAATCTTAATTTAATCTTAAAAAAATTTTTAATAAGAATTTTGGCATATAAAAATGGTATAATTGGTTGTTTTTCTTATTCCGATTTCATGAATTTAATCATTTTTTGGGTTAGAAAATATTTAAATTATCTTTTGCATATAAATAGAAATAGGATATATTATCTTTTATCATATTTTCAAATACTTAAAAAATGAAATGTGAGGGATAATTCAGCCAATCGAACCTTATCCCATATAGGAAAATGATAATGAGTAGCACTACTTAAATTTAATACTCCTTTTCCTCTCAAAAAAAAAAAATTAATTAATACTCCTTTGTGGGCTACGAAAAATCTGCCATTGAAAGTCACCATATCTTGATTCTTGAGGTGACCAACTTATAGTAGCTTTAGCAATATTACTTGTTCCATCGAAACATTTTGAGCATTTGTTTGCCATTGACGTAGAATAATATATACAGAGAGAAAGAGAATGGCAGGCAAAGAAATTAATGGTTCTCTATCTATCTTCAAGTTGGAATGCATTTCAGTCCTCAGTTACCATAGTAATTAAAAAACCCTAGTGGGTTCGAAGAAGATGGACCCGTCTTTAATATGGAAATATAAAAATCTGAAAAAGTAACTATCCATTTAACCTGTACTATATGTAAAATGGTCTTATCTGTATTTATGATGTTTTGGAGTAATCTCCAATCCTTTACAAAATTTTGAGATGAAGAAATCAATTATCTAACGTAAATTTTAGTTTATTTTATCAACAAGCAGTTGGCTCAATAGAAATTAATTGAATTTGAATATAAAATTTACTTAAATGTAATGAATAAGCCAAGATCAAACACTATCAGGAGGATCGATGATAAAGAATGCTGCTCCACAATAGAGCTAATCAACCTCACGAAACACATGAGAGATGGTAAGAGACCAATATAGAAGAATATAAAGAAATAACAAAAGAAAACGATAAGATGTTCATCCTTAAAGTAACTGATACTTTAATCTAATGGTAAGGTGAATGAGAGTACGTATATTTTAAGAATCAGTATTAGAATTTAAATCTTAAAAATAATAAAAATATATTTAAATTAACAGTATGTTTTCGATAGAGGAAAAAGAAAAGCACACGTTTATATAAATTTGATAAACAGCCAAAACCTAGTTGAAAGGACAAAATTAGAATGTTCCTGTCAGTGATATTTTAGTGTGCACGACTAATGTTTATGGAGAAATATATATAATTAAGGAAGTGAAGAAAAAAAATATTTGAAGCTAAAGAAGTAGAAGTAGAAGATAAAAGAGGATATAAAGTGGAGAGTCCACTAAATTAAACCATGCTTTTCTGATATTGTTGCAAAGAGAATTAATGGTGCTCCCTTTTCATTCATAAACACTACTATTTTTTTTTTTTTTTTTTTTTTTTTTTTTTTTTTTTAATTTAAGTATAGAGGCACTTTCTTTGTTTGTAAGGACAATTTTTTTTTTTTTTTTTTTTTTAATTAAGTATAGGCACTTTCTTTTGTTTTGTAGGACAAGCACGTCATTGCATGTTCCAAAACCATTGATTTAAGAAAGATGTTCGCGTCATGTCCAACCCCAATATAATAAATAAATAATATTTTTTGTGAATTGTCATCTTCTAATTCTCTGTGACTCATCCCTTCACTTCATTGCACTGTGGGAGGATAGGATGCAGAGTTGTTGGAACCCATCTAAACAACATATCAGATAAGCTATTGGTATTGGGTTATTGGACCATCCATGCTTTTCTTTTTTATTTATATTTTCCAAAAATCAGAGATTGGTTGGGTTTTAGGTATTTGATGCTGACAAGAAGAGCTCTAAGATGAAAGTTGGAGTTCATTGATTCAAATACACCACTGGTCGATCTGTTTTGGTTATTTCTGGAAGCCAACACGTTGCCAAATCCAAGCCATCTTATTTTTTTATTCTTTTTAATTGAGTATTCCATTAGTATTAATTGTTGCTGATTGAGTGTCACGATTACTGATTTTCAACTTCATGTCCAAAATTGAAAAAATTTACAATTTTAGTCAAGAACCGAATTTTTTTTTTTTTTTTTTATCACTTCTATTCATTTTCTTTTATTCTTTTTCAAATGTAGAATTATTAGGAAAATAAAGTGACTTCTTTAATTTATTAGAAGCTCAATGGGCCTCAGATAAATACCATTCTATAAATCCCCTTTGAAACTCCGTGTACTTGAACTACAAACTTGCAAGCTTCAATTTATAGTTAATTA